TGGCACACTGGGTGCAGTGCCTAAAGACCTTGGCCTGCACTTATATAAAATCGGCACTGACAAAATTGCCAGCTGCAGAAGGCTATCTTACTGGGATCTGCACACATTATTTGCTGATACATCACACAGTCCTAGACACTTGGGAAGTGGCCAACGTGTGATCCAATACAACAGCCAGCAGAGTGTCTGCTATAGACTTATCTTGTGTTTCAAATAAATAATAATAATTTTATTTCTTACCAGCCTCTCACCACAGTATAAATTCCAGGCGTGTCTTGCCCAATTCAATCAATGGGCCTAAACCGAAGCATTAGTATCTTTGTTGTGATGTGTTTTATAGTTGTTTCCTATCAGAGAATTTTCTTGAGAAAACAGGATTCAGAAAAGATTTACCATGTCCTTCCCTTCAGGCTGAGAGTGTGACTCCAGCACCATCCATTGGTTTCATGGCTGAACAAGGATTCAAATACAAATCTGTGGCCCTCAATTTAATCATTAGTACCTTAAGTTCCAATGATTTAAGAGTGTTCAGCCTAGATGTGATGTGATAGTAGATCAGGCATGGAAAAATTGGGCCCTCTTGTGTTTTGGACTTCAGCTCCCACAATTCCCGTAGGCTGTCAGGAATTGTGGGAGTTGAAGTCCAAAACACCTGAAGGGCTGACATTTGCCCATGCCTGGAGTAGGCTCATTTTAAAGCTTGGTTTAATTTTTCATTATATGATGGCTTTTTATTATATTTTCTCTAATTGTAAGGAACATTTAATTTATATCCGGAAGAGCAAACGTTCCATCTTGTCTTAATCTTTCAATTTGGATAAATACTGCCAGGTTGGTCCTCTAAGAACTATAGTGGCAGAGTAACACAGTGATTAAAGCGAATATAGGAAATCGAATGACCTGACAATGGAATTGGACAATGCTTGAGAATAATGAGACGCTGATGATGTTGCTTTTATTGCTTTTGTGATGTCTTATACTGTTTAATGTTTTTTATCTGTTTTTATGTATACTGATTTGTTGGAAACCGCCTTGAGACGCCAATTGGCTGAGAAAGGCGGTATACAAATACAGTAAGTAAGTAAATAAATAAATAAAGACATCTTTGTACTGTTCTTGCCAGTTAAGTTAATATTTTTGGAACTCCCTCCTAAGAGAGACCTAGAAGAGTTCTCATGGGGAAAAGGTGTCTTTGCTGAAGCTTTTTCACCAATCCTTGTTTCCACAATAAGCCATATTTTTTTAAATCCAATTCTCACCAGAACGGAAAGTGAGGTGAAATTTTCTGAACCAGGGGCACAGACAGTAAAACAAACCCCACCTTTTCCTATGCTATCCAAAGCTAAAATATCTATATTTTTGGCTGGAGTTACATTTAAAACATATACCTGTTCCAATGTACATACAAATTCAACTTAAGAATGAACCTAAAGAACTTAGTGGTTGTTTTAAGTTTTTGGGCTGTATGGCCATGTTCCAGAAGCATTCTCTCCTGACATTTCACCTGCATCTATGGCAGATGTCCTCACAACCTCTGAGGATGCCTGCCATAGATGCAGGCAGAACGTCAGGAGAGAATGCTTCTGGAACATGGCTGTACAGCCCAAAAAACTTACAACAACCCAGTGATTCCAGCCAATCACTTCGGCAATACACTACAGAACTTAAGTCTTCGGCAATACACTATAGCAGGGGTTCTCAAACTAAGGCCCGGGGGCCGGATGCGGCCCTCCAAGGTCATTTACCCGGCCCTCACTCAAGGTCAACCTAAGTCTGAAACGACATGAAAGCACACAACAACAACAATTCTATCTCATCAGCTAAAAGCAGTCCCACACTTCCCATTGAAATACTAATAATTTTATATTTGTTAAAATTGTTCTTCATTTTAATTATTGTATTGTTTTTAAGTGGGTTTTGCACAACAAATAAGATATGTGGAGTGTGCATAGGAATTCATTCATGTTTTTTTTCAAATTATAATCCAACCCTCCAACAGTGACCTGGCCCTCTGTTTAAGAAGTCTCGAGGACACCTGCACTATAGAACTTAAGTTATTCATAACTTGGGGGCTTCATCTATTTGGTTCTTATCGTTTATATGTAGTTTTACTACACACGTGTATTCAGGTCAGTCTCTTAACTTACAACATTTAGAAAAGAGCAGCAGTTAAAATCCGAGGATTGCATAACCCAAAATATTATATATACTTACAGCAGGACAGGTTAGCAACTCACCTGTTTTGTCTGCCAATAGCAGCAGTAAATCTATCTGTGCAAATCTGATGTTTGCACAAGTTGTATTGCTGATCTTGCATATATCTATGCAATAAAACTCTTGTATCACACCATTATACTAAGGCTTATAATGAATTTTGAAAAAGGAACTATATCAAAGCTGGCTCCTTGGCAGATTATGAATATGCTGCTTAAGTTACTATAGTAACAATTTAAGGCAAGTTAGTGGAAATCATTAGCCCCCGGTGGTGCAGTGGGTTAAACCCGTTCCGGCAGGACTGAAGACCGACAGGTTGCAGGTTCAAATCCAGGGAGGGCGCGAATGAGCTCCATCACTTCCAGCTCCTCATGCAGGGACATGAGAAAAGCCTCCCACAAGGATGATAAAACATCAAAACATCCAAGCATCCTCTGGGCAGCGTTCTTGCAGATGGCCAATTCTCTCACACCAGAAGCGACTTGCAGATTCTCAAGTCGCTCCTGACATGAAAAGGAAATAATTAGACTTACGTGTTGGTCTTAAATTGCTGTGTATGTATTGTTCTTCCCTGTCTGATGCCCTTCAGCTACATTTTACTTCAGTTCCCATCATCCTTATGGCTGCTTTTCTTCCACCATCAGCACATTTCACTGGCATCACAAGCACAAGCTTTACCTTACTGTGTTTTGACATTTTCATTCTTTATTTTTTGTCATTTTTGGTGAACCCATGACACCGTGTTGTTGTTTTTTGCACGATGAGTTCTGAGAGGGTTTGCCATTGCTTTTCTGTGAGGCTGAGAAAGTGTTACTTGCCTGGCAACACCCAGTGGGTTTATGTAGCCATGTGGGGATGCAAACTCTGTTCTCCTAATGTCCAGCATTCAGATCACCACATCACAAGGGCTTTCCTTTTTTGTTGCAAACAATTCAAACAAATCCTAGCATGCTTTTTTCATATAATGTTATTAAGATTATATGGACACCAGAAGAAAAAAAAACTATCAATATTTCATAAGCAACATCTTTCCTGAAAGGATCCAAGTATATAGAATTTTTAAGGCTGTATTAAGACAAGCCTAATAGAGCTATTATCAAGACTATAGAAGTAATGAATGGTCAATACAAAAAATTGAAGGTAATCCTCAGTTCTTGTGGTTTTTTTCGGGCTATATGGCCATGAAGGTAATGTTATTTTGGTATCAAGCACCACTGAAACAAGGGGATAACTACAATTCTATTATGGTCATAAAGAAAAAGATCAGAAAATACTGGAATGAGGAAGTCCTGACGGCTCTTCGTCATAGAGGATGGAGCGACAGCACCCCGTGTCACGACACAAAACCTTTCTGTTCTGTCTATGTACTGTGTACTGTCTAAACCAGTGGTTCTCAACCTGGGGTCCCCAGATGTTTTTGACCTTCAACTCCCAGAAATCCTAACAGCTGGTAAACTGGCTGGGATTTCTGGGAGTTGTAGGCCAAAAACATCTGGGGACCCCAGGTTGAGAACCACTGGCTAAACAAACGGCATTGAATGTTTGCCGTGTATGTGTACTTGTGATCCGCCCTGAGTCCCCTTTGGGGTGAGAAGGGCGGAATATAAATGAAGTGTTGTTGTTATTTCCATTTACTTTACAGCAAACCCACCCCGTGGAAAGTTCCTTTTTAGACTTTTTAACTGGCAGGATTCTGGCATCTACTGTGCAATAAAATAACTTCTAATTTCTCAGCAAATCTCACTGAATAAACTGAAATCAACTTCATTTTTAAGGTACGTGCAAAATTGGCGTCTTTGGCTTTGCATTGTACAGATTATTAGATTCAAATATATTTGATGTATGTGTTTAGTATATAGAAAGCCTCTAGAAATGTATATACTGCAACTATTTTGTTTTTGTGTGCTTTCAAGTCATCTCCAACTTACAGCAACCTGCACATAAACCTATCATGGGGTTTTCTTGTCAGGTTTTAATAAAAGTGCCTTAAATTGAGTGTTTGTATCTTTATTGTGGTGTACCTTCAAGTTGTTTTCTATAACAAGGTTTTCTTGGCAAAATTTGTTCAGAAGTGATTTGCCATTGCCATCCTCTGAGGTTGAGAAAGTGTGACTTGCCCAAGGTCACTGGGGGGGGGGGGGGGTTCCATGGCCGAGTAGGGATTTTAATCCTTGAGGCTAGATTTATAGTCCAACACTGAAACCACTGCACAATAATAAATGCAGTCTATATTGCTTACACAGACTGCACACCAATATTACTGGTAGGCTTTGGGCAATCATCAATCCATTGTATGACTCTTCAATGTTAATCAGTTATCTATTTGTGGAAAATGCCAGGTTTACTTGCTGTAGAAGGTGAGTTATTGTAATTACTCAAAAATACTATGGGAAAACAAATTATTATCTATCCAATCAGGAACAATTTTTCCTTCTCTTCTGGGACTTTACTATCATACAAGAAATATCAATGACTGCAGATTCTGTATAACATTTAACACTTCTTTTATGACAAATAGTATAAGAGAGCTTCACTTGAACATATTCTTTCTAGTAATCCTGGACTGTGTGTGCATCATTTCTTTGGAGTTCAATTTTTGCAAATTTCCATTCTTATTTTAAAATATTTTAAATGAATTACATTTTAAAAGCTAGGAATTAAGTTTCTAACCATTTTATGGAAAATTTCAAATAGTCATTGTCTGACTATCTCATGTGTGAAACCTATCCTTCCCTAACCTGACATCAAGCCGCTCAAAGTCATACACAGACACACACAACAAGGAATCCAGAAGCACCAGTTTGGGGTTTAATTAACCAACCTGGGGAAGAAAAGGGCACCAGACAAGTGCGTTGCACCCTCCTTGTTGCACCTTTCCAATCAATTACAGAAGGAGGAAAGGGAGCCAGAGGTGGGAAAGAGCAGATACAGGTATAGAAAAGAGCAGTACAGTAAAAACAAGGGGAACTGTGGAGAAAGGGAAAGGGCAGTAGAGGAGAGAGAAGTCACTTTTAAAATCACAATCTCAAACCTTTTATAAATGTACAAAAACCATTTTCCCCCACCTGCCTGGGGCAGAATATATAAATATTTACACTGCCTTATGGGGGGAGGCGCCTCAAGACGCAGCCCTCCCTCTCCCCTGAAAGCAGCCTTCCCATTTGTCCATGGAGGGAGAAGAGCACACCTCAGATTCATAATTTCAGTCCAGCAGGATACGAAATCCCCCGAGAGGATACCCAAATCCACAGAGGCAGAAAGAGGGAGCTTTTGCAGAAATCGGGTACAAAGACTGAGGGTGCTTGAGATGTGGAATCCTACTCCCGTTACCAGCAACAGCCCAAAGAGACCCCATCATCCTAAGCCTCAACCTGAGGCCAGAAAGAAGTTCCCATTACTCACAACTGTTGGGGGCTAAAGTCTTTCTGGGGTGGCAGTGGCAGCAGCGTCATGCCTCTACCTCAGCCTAAGATGGCAGGCAGCTATGCTTCTATTCCCACTAATGTGAAGGGGAGCCTAGATCTCTGGCCGGGGTTCACGCTGACCCTGTCCGTCAGTCTGCCAGAATTAAAAGAAGCTGCTGAGAACAGGCGCTCATGTGCCAGGACCCCACTGCAGCCCCATTATCTGGAGTCCCGGTCCTTGTAGGCAGCTGCCAGTTCTCGGATGTCAGGGGCACGGCGAGGGGAACAGGGGCGAGCGTTAGAAGCTGGGATCAGGGGTGGGGGGGCGCTCAGCAAAGCCGCAGCTGCGGCCGAGGGAGCAGCTTTGGCCAGCAACCCATTTTGGTGGCGGGGATAGGCCATGAGGCCAGGATGGTGGGGTGGCGCCAGGCCATACAGCCGGCCATAGTCCTCAGCAGCTGCAGCAGCAGGCGACGGCGCCTCCAGGTAAAGGGGTTGGCGCTGTAACGAGTGCAACTCCAGCCGCCGGTGGTAGGGCTCACGCCAAGCTTCAAGTGCGGCATAGGAGGCAGCTGAAGGCGGGGCAGCTACCAGATACGGTGAGACGCTTCCACCAGTTCCGGTTTGGGGCCGCTCAAACACAGCCAGTGTTCCCAAGGAGTGGGAGACATGCAGGGTGCTGTGGTAGGGTGCCCCCGTGCGCAGTGCCCCCTCAAACCCGGTCAACTCTGGCTCTTCCTTGACCTTCACTTCCTTCTTCAGAGGCAACTCTGGATAAGGGGAGCGGGAGGCATGCCCTGAACTCGCTGGGCTTCCATAGCGATGCTCACGTTCCACTGGTACATGGGGCCGACCTGGAGGCTCCTCATGGGCCAGTGCGGAGTTCTTTGGGGTGGGTGTAGCAGGAGAAGCACGCAGGGGGTGGCGGGAAAAGAGGACATCTCTGAAACAGACACACAATATATTCATAGAGCCAGTTTTTCATCAATGAATCACAATCGCCCATGTCTATTACTTTCAAACCAATTCTCTGCTGCCTGACTGTTGAGATTGGTCCATTCTAGTCAAATCCTTGTTTCCCTTAATCTCTCTCTCTGAACCACCACCCCCCCCCCTTGTTTGATTTACAATATATCCATGTAGCTCTTTCCTATCTCTTCTCACATGAAAATCCTTTAATGCTCCAACACTGAAAGTCCCTCACCCCGCGCAGTATTGCATTGACAGATTTAAGCCAGGGCTTAGAAAAATGACTTTTTGGGACTACCCAGCCAATGGTTATGCTTTTTGGAAAAAATTGGTAGTCAATTTTTCCTAGTTCTGATTAAAACATGGACATAATAATATCTTCAAGGATGGGGGAACTTTCTTCCACTCCAGAATCCTCAACCATCACCTCGATATCCTGTCTGTCACTTGTGCCTCACCTGTCTTTTTCATCCTTGATCACTGGCCCATCCGGCTTTTCACCCTCCTTGTCATGCTGGGGGCCTCCACGTTCGGTGCCATCTCCAGTGCCACTTTTGGGCCAGGCTGGGGCAGTAGGAAAGGAGGGGGGCGTACGGTGGAGGCGGTTCCAGGTGTCATGGGGATTAGGGAAGGGTGGTGCTCCGGGGCTGTCCTTCTGCCCAAAGACAGCACTTGAATCTGAAAGGGTAGAGCATAAAATTCAGATCCAGGATAGCACAGCACAAACACTCCCTGCCAAACCCTTAGCCTTAACTGCGGTGTACAACATCTACAAGTCTGGTAGAGTATGGATGGGGACTGCAATCCAACTTACATGGCACACACCCTTTGACAAAGAAATGACAGTAGGAAATGCATGGCCTCCAGGATTCTTAAGTTTTATCCCCTTCTGGAAAGGTAGTGAAAGGATCAAAAGAAGGAGGAAACCCCAAGAATCCCAAAGGGCCTGAGAAACTGGATCTCCCCAGGTTGCTCTTCCAGCTGTAGCATCGATGTGTATTCTCTTGTAGAAACAGAGCAGGATTCCAGAGGTCAGGAACCCTGCTCTTAATTGCTCTGAGGATGGTTTGGATCTGAAATGATTGAACCAGTATGATCACTGGTCAAGAAGGCTTAAGATTTGGAGGCAAAAATGCAACCACTTCCGCCACTATTTAGAGCTTTTTCTACCTCTTTCCCCAACAATACTCACTAAAGGATGGGCTCCCCAAGCCTCCAAATGCACCATTGGAGAGTGCTCCCAGGGATGCAAAGCTGGGGGGCCTGCTGAATGGATCTGGAATAAAGCAAGCACAGGAGTGAATAATTCAACAGTGTCTTACTCCTGTTCCATTTGCCCCATATTTCTAGTGCTCCAGCTCTTACCAATATGTGGGCCAGGGCTGAGGAAAGAGCCATGAGGCGTGCCGGGAGGACCAAATGATGCCGCACTGCCAGGATGGACAACACCTGGAAGACAGACAACAGCAGGGATAAGGAGAGTTAACGGGCAAAGGACCTGCTTAGCTCAAGGAGAACAGGGAGTATCCTGTATCCAAGGGACACTGGGCCACCAAAGCAAAACTACTTAAGGGATCAATACAGTAAAAAAAGTCATCAATACAGCATACAACCTAGTCTAGTATTTTGATTGGTTCCCCCCTGAGTTTGGAAAAGGTATGTATGTGTGTGTGTGTGTGTATAGGGCCTTTGCAGAATCTGTTGGAAAAAATGACAATACACTTGAATAATTTTATGCATGGCACAAAAAGTACAAAAGTTCCTTGTGTGATCAGATTACATAAAAATGCAAACATATAAAACAGGAAATCCAGTATATTACAAAACTATTTAAATTCATTTGCAAAAATGGTACAAGAATGTGTCTCCAAATGTGAAAATTATACTACTTTACTTTTTATTTTGGACACTCTTAAGTTTGCATTTAAAATCTGATTTATTTATTAAAATATTTGGATTTTCATACTAAAAGATATCTATCTCTAAATGGACATGGGACACGGAACTTACATACTTGACAACTTTGGTTCTTGTTCAGTTCCTGTCTTGGTTCCCGATGTATGTGTATTGTCCCTTTTCTTTTTTTAAAAAACAACCCCAAAAAGAACATGTAATAATTTCTTGGTAGTAGCACTGAATTTAGTTTTGTAACATCATAGGACTCAGTTTCTCCTTCATGCCAGGTTTTGCCCAATAACCACCATACAAATTGAGAACATATTAATTCATATTTTACAGGCAAATAGACCAAGTCTCTCCTGATGAAGGAGTGAAGAACTGAGAGGAGCTTCCAGGAAGTTCCCTGATATTCTCGGCTTGTCTCTAGGAAAGCTTCCAAGGGCCATGGTGGGGGAAGGTTACACTGTTTTCTAGGGCAGTCAGGAAACATAGAGGGGTGGGCTTTGGTATAGCATGTCTTTTAACCCTCAGGCTCAACTGACCAGAAGCTGTGAAGAGAGTTGCAGGGCGTGCCATCTCCTGAGCGTGCGGCAAACCACCAAAGACTCCAGTCCCAGGCAAGCCGGCAAGGAGATCATTCCGGAAATCCAATTTGTGTGGGTCACCTTGCATCAGCTATGAGGAAATAAAAGGACCCTCATGAACAAACACATCTAGCACTGTTCTATCACATCAACTGCCTGTTGTTGTTATTCTTCTGCTTTTGGCAAGGACTCCTGCTGCTCAGCCCCACCCCACTCTCGAAGGTTCCAGTTCCAGTTCCCCAGCCGCCTGACCCAGACTCACAGACCCCGCCTCCGATCGAGGGTCCAGCACAGACATCAGAAGGGCAGAAGGGGAGAAGCCTCTCCCGTTGCTTGCAGTGACCCTCTGGCGGGCACCAGTGGGAGCTGCGCCAAACCCCGTCACTGTACGCAGGCGGAGGGGGGAGGCGGCACAGGCCCACCCTACCTTCATCTTCTCCTGGTGCCGCAGGATCATATATGCCACACGGACGTGCATAGCGCACCACTTCCCAGGCTTCTGCGAGAGAGGGAGTAACTGTCAGCTCTGAACATTCTATCTCTGATGGGCCAAGCACATGTTGCTCTACATCCTGACTGAAATCACTCCCTGTGCCTTGTGCTCACTGCCTCTCCTGACCTCCCCCCGCCAATGCCTGCTGGATCTGCCCCGATTAGTCCACAGCACCCTGCCTTATTAACCACCCCACAGTGCTGTGGCAAGGAGGGGTCTCTGCCTTACTCACTCTCAGTGTTGGCCGGAAGGGATCGGTGAGCTGCAAAGAAACACAAACAACCAGCTAAAGATTCGCAAGCCTTTACTCAGGGTGCCAGCCTCCCCCCTCTGAACACATTGTTTACTCACCTGAGCCCCTTTCTGGGACATGGTGGGTGGGACAGTGCCTAGGCGGGATGGCAGGTCAGGGTTAGTGCTCTGGGGAAGAAAGAGGAGGTCAGGAAACAGCTGGCGCCACAGACTATTCCTCTCTCTCCCCTCTGCCATCAGATGATGGCAGAATCCACAGGTCCTCCTCCTCCCAACGGCAGACGTCCCAGAATATGCTCTTCCACCCAGCCTCAAACCTTTGCTACTTTCCCTCACAGCTCCCCATCCAACTGCCAAGGAACCTTAGTCCCCAGCCTCCATTTTCTAACCAAATGGATTACTGGCCACCTCAGATGGGAGAATGCCACTGAGATGAAGTCACAAACATACAAGATAGTGCTTGGAAAAATTACCTTTTTGGACTACAACCACCATAACTGAAAAGCCAGAACTGCCATTGGCCATGCGAGCTGGTCCAATTCTGGGAGCTGCAGTCCAAAATACTGTATTTCACCGATTCTAGGGTGCACTTTTCCCATTTTAGGGGCTCTAAAAACAGGCTGTGCATTATAATCAGTGGTATTTTAGATTCACAGATTTTTGGCTTATTTTTAAGTGGCTTACTTCCAAGAGAAGAGGAGGAAAAGGAAGAGTCCCAGCCCCAAAGGGATCTGTTTTTTTAATTGGCTTACCTCTGAGAAAGGAGTAGGAGGAAGAGCCCAAGCCCCAACAGCTCTGTTAGCCCTCACCATTTTGCCTCAGCCATAACCAGACAGCTGTTTAGCCATCTGGCTGAGCTACCTAAGTGCTACTTCCTGCTTCCCCAATAGCCCATAGAGCTAGTAAAAAGACTCATGCAGACAAGGTGACTTCCAGGTTGGAACAAAAACAAGGTATTTTGCATGCAGAAGAAATTCTAAAAATAATTTAAACACAAATTATCTTTTCCTAAAATTGAAGCTTCAAAAAAGGGGAGGGCATACCTTATATTAGATTCGGTGAAATACGGTAGTTACTTTTCCCATCTCTGGCAACAGACATACTTTCCCAAAGCCCATGAGAGGCTTCTCTAATGGGCCTGCTTCTTCCTCAGAGTTGGGAAATGAACCCAAGAGTCCAAAGCACTTCTCCCTCTCTCTCTCATGTTCATACCCACTTGGCCTCACCCACCCGTGGTCACTCTGGCTCCCCGCATCAAATCCCCAAATCTACTCCATTCTTCAAAGAGATCCCATGAGTCTTGCTGCAGGAAATCTAGGAAACCCTAAAACTACTAAACCCACTATTGCAAAACAGTTGAGAATAAAATCTGGGACCTTGAACTCTAACTTCTCCCCCCACCTCCACTTCCAAGAAAGTCCCATTTTCCACTATGTCTGGAGGGTTCACCTTAGGTTGGAACGCCCCCTGCAGGGAGCCAAAAGTCACAGCGGGAGGCAGGACTGGGGAGATCCCCGACACGGTTGGGGGGAATGCAGCATAAAACTGGAAGAAGAAGAGAAAGCAATGGAAGTGCCACCCAGAGAAACCGAGGCAGGGGAGAGGGAGGGATCTGCTCCTTTCTCAGGACTTGCCACTCTGCAAATTTCCCTGGTGCCCCCTGCCAAAAGGCTAGCCCCCTGGGCGCTCCCTGCTCCAAGAACACTACACTTACGTTATGCCTCAGAAGCCCATCCATCTTGCCAGGGTATTTTTCAAACTGCAATGAGACAACAAAATCAGGACATGAGACTGGAGCCCGTGTGTGTGTGTGTGTGTGTGTGTGTATACAAAGGGAAAAAAATCCAACACCCCCCCCCCCCCAATTCTGTCACCAAAGGTCCAATCTACTATCAAGTTTATGACATATGGACACACATCCTGTTCACCAGGTCCCGAATTGCACTCACCACAGCCGAACTGGGCGTGGGTACCATTCCTGGTGGGAAAGGGGTGAAGTGCTGGTGGGTGTGTTGGTGGGTGTGCTGGTGCTGATGGTTGTGTTGGTGGAACTGGAAAGCCAAGGGGCGGATGGTAGCAGCCCCCATGTCGGCTCCGCCTTGTGCCGTGAGGAATCGGGAACTCAGGTCTTGGCGGATTAATTCTTGTTCTGGAGAAGCAGAAAAACAAGCTGTCATGTTGCTGAGGAGGAAAGCCACTGAAAATATTTTATCTCCTCCCCAACTCAATTAAGTCAGAGAAGCAGGTGTATATTCTCTGTATAATTCTCCCCAGAGCGTGGAAACTGTCATTTTGGACTGCAAGTCCCAGTTTCCTCTAGCCAGGATGGGAACTGCCAAGAGGATTCTGGGAGCTGCCATTTATCAAAGAAACTTTTCCAAATCCTGAGTCCTTGCATATATTTATCCCAAGTGGATACATAAAAATCAGACCACATTTGCCCCTTTTTTGCCAATATATTACATCCCCTAAGGAAGCGGTTTCCAACCTTTGGTCTTCCAGGTGTTTTGAACTTCATCTCCCACAATCACCCAAAGAATAACATCACTATACAGATGTTATAGTGCCTTGAGGTTGGAAAAAGTCACTTGTTGCTTAGCATCTTCCCCGAGCCCTCAGCTAACTTGGGCACTAGTCATCCTGGATAGAAAATTCTGGGAGCTGTGGTCCAGAAATGTAACTTCTTCCAGGTTTTTGTCTTGAACGCATCACAACATTTACATGTGATACAGGGAGAATTAAAACAATAACCACCACCCCTCACCACCCAAGTCACATACAGCATGAACTAATGTTCATATTTCTTTAATTAAAGGGCTAAGTTTACTTGTTGATTTTGTGACCTATGTGTGTATATCCATTCCCACAAGCATGGATGTATAGGTTCCTGTATGTGTGCAGAACAGACAATGTGACACAATATATTTTGTACATGTATTGGAACTTGTAAATCCATCCATATGTTTGCGAGAAATAATAATTATGTTTTCACACACTAGTAAACATTCCCAAAGCATACTCAGTCATTGCCCCTCCAGCTGAGTTGATCTTACCAGATATGGCAGCAGCTGCAGCTGGGTGCCCGGCAACTTGAAGCAGCGGAGGTGGTGGCGGGAGCCCAGGCGAAGGGGTGAACATGCCCTGATGGTGATGGGAAGGGGGCCGAAGGGTGGATGGAAAGGCATGGTGAGGCAGAGCCAGTGAGGGGGTGGAGGGCCGGTGAGGGAGCTGAGAGGAAGATGGGGAGCAAGGAGGGAGGATGGACTTGGGGTGAGCTGCACTGCGGCTGCACCTGAAATAAAGAGGGGGAAAATAATTTGAGCACAGTTGTTAGAAGGAAAGAGGAGCATAATAGAAAACAGAAAAATCATGAAGCCTTGCTTTTGGATGTGAGAGGAGCAGATTAAATTCCTATTCCAACAACTGTTGCTAGGCCTGTGTTCCAAGATTCTTTCAAGGTAAGGTCTTTAATTAGCCAAAAGAGAACAACAGAGAAGAAATTTACAGAATCCCCAATTCATAATAATGATATCGCTTGTCATGGCTGTTTAGATGGCTAGGCTTAAATTGAAACCAATCTCCATTTTCACACTATCAGCTTTATGGCAATTAAGATCTCTAAGACATGCTGCTCCTAAAGGAACATTAAGAGGGAAAAGTCAAGGAAGAGAACTCATTTAAAAAAATCCAGCAACGTATGAATAGAAAAACACTCAAGGTGAGGAAAAGGGAAAACAAAACCATACAAGCAAAGGGTTAGAATGAAGCCAAAATGCACAACGCAGCCACAGATGACTGAACAGTTCCATCACTAAATCTCATCTCTGCCATAAACACACTAAAAGTGAGCCTCGCTCTCTTTTAGACAATGTGAACTTCACATCCACTGAAACTGCAATATAGGATAGCATCAGTGACCTATTTTTCTGTGTGGCTAAGTGGAAATAGAAACTGCTTAGATAACTCATTAGGGGTTTATAAACTGTTGTCATTATTACAAGAAAAAGCAAGAAAGCTAAAAAGAAAGGGAAAAAGAAGTCTTGTAGAAAAAATACAGAGGAGGGAAGATAGTTAAGAGCAGGAAGAGTAATTTCTATGAAGACACTGCTGTTACTCACCCTCCAGTGCTGAGGTCCAGCCCGACAGCATACGGTCCCTGCGCCTGGCTAGGAAAGGGCGGTACCTTCATGTGCAGCTGGCTCTGGCTGAGGCTGTGGGGGACCGGTCCCCCCTGAGGTGTTGGAGGCAGTGGGCCTTTAGGCTGGGGAGTGCCACGAACCGCAGTGTTAGGCGTCTGAGCCCGGGTCCTGGCAGGAGGCAGCACAGGAGGACTTGGGGGCAAGGCCTGAGCTGGAACGGGGGCTGCGGCGGCCTGAGAAGGAGGTTCCTTGAGCAGGAAAGGCACTAGCAGAGCATCCCGGTCAGCCTCATAATTACGCTCCTGACTCCGCTCCAGGCCGGAGACTTTCGGGATCACAGAGAGTTTGGCTTCACAGCTCCCGTTTAATGCACCAATGGGTCCCGAGGCTGCCGGAACAAATGGGGAGGGGGGGGGGGAGGCAACTGAAGTGTAGGTAACCACCAAGAACGCCTTGCGTTTTCAATTAGAGGTGAAGTCCTAACTCAGTCACAGACAGCCCATCAGCACCAACAAATAAGGCTACTCCAAGCATGTCATTTATTGTACTAAATAATCATATTTAATATAATAAATCGTTGTCATTATCACCATTACGCGTTCCACTTATTATGGAGTATTCCTTGAGGAAAGATTTGCCACATTATCAAAAGGACAGGCAACATCTAATACAGTAAAATTCCAATCCTGTACAGTATTTATTTTCCAACCAGGGGGCTACACTGCACTCAATGGGACTTATTCCTCGGGTATCGGCAAACTTTGGCCCTCCAGGTGTTTTGGACTTCAACCCCCATAATTCCTAACAGCCTCCCAGCTGTTAAGAATTGTGGAAGTCCAAAACACCTGGAAGGCTGAAGCTTACCCATACCCATCCTAGGTGAATGTTGGACTCCCTGTGGAAAAAGCAGAAGCTCTACTACTTAGCCCAAATTCCTCCCAGCCACACTCAAAACAGCCTAATACATGTTGTTGTTCATCCATAACCAACCTTTGCTGGTTGAGACAGTGAATGACGGCTCGAGGTCATCAATGGAGGCCTGCAGAGACAGGAAAACACAGAAGTTTTGACGATTAAAAAAAACGACACAAAATCAAACAGAGAATGCCAAGAGGTGGATTGAAGGAAATGAGACCCTGCACATTACAGGACTGCGGTGGGGTTATGCCTACCTGCTCCTCTGGGTCACTTTCTGTATCACACTGCAAAGGGAGAAAAAGAAGAAAGTCAATTAATGCAGCAACCTCAAAATGTTCCCCAATGGATCTCCCCACACCCTGCTATAGTCAACAAGAGGCTTGGTGGATGATGTATAGAGAGAATTTTATGGCAAATAAACAGCTGGGCTATGCTGTGGTACTAAATGGATATATGTCAGGAGTAAATAACTACAGGCCTCCAATCTTTTTGAATTGTGAATTTGTTCATTCCTTGCTACTGTTTATGTTGATCAAGGCTGGGGGAGACTGTGGATCCTAAACATCTCAAAAGCCACAGCTGGCATCTTAGTATACCATGATGTACATTTAAGAAAGGAAAGGGAGTGCAATAATTATTTTAAGGCTGAAAAACAAAAACAGTCAGCGCTCATTATGCATGTAACCATGCCTTGGGGTCTCAAAAGGGAACAGAAGCATACTTAAATACATTATGCAGATTGATGTTGCTGTAAAGGAGGTTTACCCACAGGGGATAATGGAATAATTTTTGTCCCTTCTAGCTGCCCAACATTTGCACTGGCTAGCATTTGCACTGAGGCAGTGCTAAGGAGAATTTTTAGATTTCCCACTTTTTCTGGAAAAGCTACCAGCAACGCAATTAACATCCCAGCTTGCAAGGAAAAATGGGAAAGGATTCACTGATGCAAGTAGCTGAAATTCTGCCTGCAGAACGGTGTGCTTCCAGAACTACTGATAGGGAAAGCGACAGTTGTAAGAGATTAGAAAAAGAATGTAAATACACTGCACACTTACTATATATCCAGTTTCCAGGTAAGATTGGAGAGAAGTCTGGATTTTTTTTAAGTGGGGAGAAAAAAAATAAAAAAAATAGGCACAGATTAGATTGCAAGAGGCAGGGGAAGAGATCAATACCAAAGATTTAGAGATAAAAAGGCAAGGTTACAAAATACACTTTCTTTTTTCAGTGATGCATGACTTACCAAAATCTACTATGGTAATTAAAAAAATACTATACTGGCTTTAGAAATATGTGCTCTATATTCCAGTAAGTGGGGATGACCCTAGTTTGTGGCTGGCTGGCATGATCTAAATGGGTACACCATGCAACTTCAGCATTCAGCTGCTTCCTCTTGCATCTACATCAAGAGTCAGCAACTTGTGTTCCCGGAGATATTACTGCATTTCAATTTTCATCAGCCCCCACGATCAGCTGTGTTGACTAGGACTAACAGAACTTTAATCAAAGAGCATATGGAGGACTACAGGTTGCTCACTTCTCTTGTAAAGCAATTGTCTCCAATCTGGCACAACCCATAATTCAGAAACAAACTGCATGTGAACATTTCAATTAATTCAATCCTTCCTCTTGCGACCTTTTCCCTCCTATACATAATCACCCCATATCTGTGAACCACTAATGTAAAAATCTTTGAATTATCACAATAATTTTAAGGTAAACATCATTGACGATACTTTCAACACAGTTTTAACTCTTTACGAATATGCACAACGACACCAAGCATGGGTGAATGTATAGTGTCTGAAGCCAGTATTCCTCAGGCAATCTCATGCAGAAGGCTAGCAATTACTTTTTTTCCAATGAGACTGGCAAATATCTATGGTTTGAATTGTTTCTTTTTTCCCCTGAGGCTTCATCACTTTGAATAGCTTTGACTCAAAAGACCCATACTGTTTTTTACTGCAAGAAGTTAAAAATCACTCTGGAACATATGAGGAGAGATATTTTAAAAAGACAGATTCTTGTGGATTACTTACTACACCAACCACAACTAAAACTCATTACTGTCCACTTCCTCTCATTTCCGCTTAGTAAATAACTTGTATTAGATATCTGCACCAAGTAGACAAATCTGTACTCTTATTATGTTGCCTGCACCCTAAAGCTTGTTTTTTATACACCTGGTCCCTGGACATTATTGTTGATGTTCTTCACAGGACAACATGCAGAAGATGAGTGAGCTTCTGGTCAGCTGTCCCCCTTCACTGTTTCTGGCCCACGCATTTCCCCACTTTCTTTATTCCATCCCACTCCCTTATCTCAAAACCTTACCTCTTCATGCCGCCTCTTGCTACGCTTTGTCGGCGCCCGCTCCCCTCCACAGCTGCGGCTGCGCCCCTTCTCTGAACTCCCATCTTCATCTTCTGGCTCAGAGTTGTTTCCCTCGCCCCGTTTTCTCTTCCCAGAATGTTTCATCCGAAGCTCTAACCGTTCTGGGGTCTTCAGGGTTGCATCCTTCTGTGGGTTAATGGTAAGGTTTGCATCAAATAAATTACAATGACACTGGACCAGAGTGGGCAACTCCATTTTTTAAGTTAGAGAAGGAGGGCAATGGCCCAATTAAAAGGTGAATTGGGACAGTGGGTATCATATTCCATCAATAATATCAAATTAAAGTCAATTTAAACACATTTAAGATTCGATTATTTAAAAGTACAAAGCATAATATTAATCAAGTACATATGAGATGTGTCAATAATGAGCAGGAAGGAGTTTTGTTAATGATGAAATTAAGCTTTCAACAATACAAATCAACTGTGTATCAGTGGGCAGGACTTTGTTAACAACGGAATTTAAATATGAACAAAAATATAAAATGTAAATATAATCATTACCAACTGTTATATATAGTATGCTATGCACAGTCTGTTCCCCCAGTCTTTGGTGATGGGGCCCTCAAGGACTTGAGTCAAGCAATCTGGAAAGTCATCCCCTATGCCACAGAAGACATCCAACCCAGCTAGAATGAAACACTCCCAAAGCCATCCCTGAATCCATGCTGCTCACTCATTTCAGGAGGCCAATTAGTTCCTCCCTCTAGAGCAGTGGTTCTCAACCTGGGGTCCCCAGATGTTTTTGGCCTTCAACTCCCAGAATTCCTAACAGATGGTAAACTGGTGGGGACTTCTGGGAGTTGTAGGCCACAAACATCTGGGGACCCCAGGTTGAGAACCACTACTCTAGAGAAAGGAGCAGAGTATAACCCACAATAAGGTTGTTCTACTACTCTACACAGGAAAATGAGACCATTTGATAAGGAAAATATATCTACTGTTTACTTATCAGCACCAACCTATTTGTTTAACTTGGATTCAGAAAACAACATGTAACATCTGGCAAGATCCAGATTTAAATGATAATTACTACTGAAATTAATTGGACTACTCTAAGTAGGGCTAAATCTGAAACCAGAAATTTTCTTGCGCTATAAAATGGATCTGGTTGACAAAGAAAAAGCACATGGAAAATTAAGAGATTTGTCTATATACTCCATTCAGGCACCATAGTCTGACATATCACTGAGTTTAGAGATAGTCACATTCTAAATTTCTCCTCAGCAATCACACTTGGGCTGGTTAAGTTTCCCTCATCTTCCAACCATATGTCTGTCCTCAGCCTGATGTGGCTCTATATGTTTGGACGACTACCACTACTATCACCACCACCACCACCACCCTCATCCTACCCTGAGCTCTAAGAAATAAGGGTGTAATGATAACATAAAATATACCATAATACCCTTGGTATCAGCTCAAGGTTGGCTCCAGGACCCTTCAATGGTTATCAAAATCCATGGATGCTGAAGACCCATGATATAGAATGGCATAGCAAAATGGTGTCCCTTGTATATAATGGTATTGCTTTTTGGATTTTTTTGTCTTGAATATTTTCAAGCCATAAATGGCTGAATTTGGGGAAACAGAATTTATGGATAGAGAGGGCCAACTGTCATATATTTCCAACTGAGAACCAGACAAGTACAATGGCTAGAGTGTGAAATAGGACTAGCACATAAAAAAGCACATATTTAAATCTGCCTGCAATCAAATCTCCAGTGAGCCCAGTTCAGTTCAATGGGCAAATTTGGGTCAATCATTCTTTCCCAGCCTAACTTATCCCACAGAGTAAGGGGGTGGCCAAGACCTCACTGCATATGACTAAAATGCAATAGATCTCCTTCTTTGGAGCTTTTAAAACACAGACTATGACTATCAGCACAGTTGAATATCAGGGGTTTTTGTGAAGCGAGATATTTATGTTGGTTGTTATTGTTATGTTATTGTTTTTGCAATTTTTGCATTTTGCATGTTTGAATGCTTTGTGAGCTGTCCCGAGTCCCTCCGGAAGATGGTGGTGGGGAATAAATAAAGATTATTATTATTATTAATTGGACTGGATAGCCCTCATGGTTTCTATCATTCCTTCTCTGTCAAGGCATACAGTCATTCCTCATTCTGGGATTCTCTCTGTTGTGCATTGAGCTGTTCCGAAATTCATACTGAATTCTTTCAAGAGATTGATGAAGACACCTGGGCCCACGCCCTGCTGCTCACCCAGTCCTGCCCAGCCAGAAAGACAGGTGCAGCCAGTACAGGATTGGCTTACAAGCTCAACATAGAGTGCTTCTGAGTTTGAAAAAAAAAAACCCTTCCTGTACTGTTTCATAAGGTGAAACAGCTGTGCCTCACATGAAATCCACCCACCATAGTCCAGTGATTTCACACCTACCAACCAGACATTAACCACTGGGTCATATCCCAGCACTAGATCAAGTTCCATTTTATCAGGCACAGGAAACAGGTGGCAGTCTAGCTCTTGGAAAAGAGGAAATAAAGCCTCATGTTCATTGCTTTATGTCTTATGTTACATGACTGTATCCCACTCTGATTTGATGCATCATCAGGGCTATCTCACATGGAAACACATGATGGGTTCATCTGCCTCAGCAATCTCGAGGGTTTAACTCAGGACCTGATCCAATCACAGTTGCAATTTTAGCACCGATCTAGGAAAACACACCTGAGTTGATACAATTCACCCTTTTTAATAATATTTCAAAAATTGGAAACTGCTTTGACTTTCCTCGGGGCTATCTTTTGTTTCAGGGAGCCAAGTATTCTCTCACATGTCAATCAGTTTCAATGTCAGAGTTTGTGTGCCTTTCTATTTGTGCTGGCTAGCAACACAAAGGACCAAGGAAGCACCATCCCTTTTTGGGGGCCTTGTCTCAGGAAGTGAAATCAGAGGTTTTTATGACTTTGGTACCCCAACAGACTCTGCATAGAGGCCAAGCAGAAGTTCATCTCCCTGTCTGCCTTTGTCTTCCATTAGCTGGCTTGAATAGTAATGACAGCTTTCAACCTTCTCTTACACAGGATTTTCACTTGTCTCCCTAGAGAACAAGCAGGTTTATCGCTGCAACATTAAGATCTGTTCTACCAGATATCCTAAACCAGGGATGCTGAACATTTGAGCCTTCAGATGCTGCCCTGCAACTACTATCCCCTTCAATCGATATTGCTGGTTAGGGCTGATGGCAGCTGCAGTCCAACTACATCTGGAGGGAAACACTTTTGGCCACTATGACCACCACCATTTACTACTGTTTTTTTAACTTCACAGGTCCATCATTTCAGAAATAGTACAGGATGAATATCCTTAATTCAAAATGCTTGCGACCAAAAGTATTTGGGATTATTATTATTATTAGTCTGGAATACGTGTATTCTCATATACAGTATATACGTAATGATATACTTTTGAAAAGGGACTCAAATCTAAGAACAAAATTCATTTATGGTTCATATAACCTTTCTATACATAGTTTGAAAATAATTATAACCACAATATTTTAAATAATTTTGAGCATGAAATAAACGTTTGGGTACACTGAACCATCAGAAAGCCAAGGTGTCACTCTCTCAGCCAGTCATATGGACAATTTTGGGTTTTTGGAGTATTTCAGGATAAGAGGAGCTCTACATGTCCTATATTAAAGAATATTGGCACCTCAAAAGTCTTCAGGTGCATCTACAGCAATACAGTTTGACACCACTTTAACTGCCATGGCTCAATGCTATGGAATTATGGGAGTTGTAGTTTTACACTATCTTGAGTCTTCTCTGCCAAAGAGTGCTAGCACAGTGATTCTCAACCTGTGGGTCCCCAGGTGTTTTGCCCTACAATTCCAAGAAATTCCAGCTAGTTTACCAGCTGTTAGGATTTCTGGGAGTTGAAGGCCAAAACATCTGGGGACCCACAGGATGAGAACCACTGTGCTAGTGTCTTTTCAAACCACAACTCCCAAGATTCCACAGCATGGAGCTGCAGCAGTTAAAATTATGACAAACTGCATTAACTCAACACTGTAAAATTCACCCATCATTTCCATTCTCTGATGCACAAGGTCATAGCTCACTTTATCCTGTAGAGAAGGCCTGCACAACCTGTGTCCCTCTGGGTGTTTTGAACCAACTCCCAGAATTCATAATCATTGAGAAGCTAGCTAGTGCTTCTGGGAGTCTAAATCCAAAATCCTGGAAGGCTACAGATTGTGAAGGCATGCTAAAGTGACTGGGTCCATTTCCTTCCTTGGGTTGTTGTAGGTTTTTTCGGGCTATATGGCCATGTTCTAAAGGCATTTTCTCCTGACGTTTCACCTGCATCTAGGGCAAGCATCCTCAGAGGTAGTGAGGTCTGTTGGAACTAGGAAAAAGGGTTTATAGACCTCACTACCTCTGAGGATGCTTGCCCTAGATGCAGGCAAAATGTCAGGAGAAAATGCCTTTAGAACATGGCCATATAGCCCGAAAAAACCTACAACAACCCAATTATTCCAGCCATGAAAGCCTTCGACAATACATTTCCTTCCTTGTTACACCACAAAGCTGAAGAGCCCCAAAAGGCACCTCCTACTCTTTGGAATCAGGGACCTTCCACATAATCATATAACCCAGAATATCAAGGCAGAAAATCCCACAGTATCTGTTTTGAACTGGGTTATCTGAGTCCTCACTCGGATAATGAGGTAGATCCTGCCTTGATATTCTGGGATATAGGGCTGTGTGGAAGGGGCCTCAGACTGTGTGGTGACACCCTGTCTCCAGAGTTCAAGACAGCTTCCTCACCTCAAGTGCCTCAAGGCTGACAAAGCTGGCAATGGCAAAGCCATCAATGAGATCTTCCTCCTCTTCTTCCTCCTCCTCCTCCTCGCGGCTGCAGGATGATCCAGAGGCCTTCTTCCGCCGGAGGGGCCGGCGTCGGCGGCGCTGCTGTTGTTGCTGAATGGGCCGGCCTTTGCCGGCGGCCACAGGGGCAGGTGGGGAGGGCCCTTCGCTGTCCGACCCCGAAGACGAGGATGACAAGATGCCCCGATGAGAAGCATCTCCGGGCCGGCCTCCCCGGCGGCGAGTGCAGCGGTTCTCACGGTCCCGCCGTGAGCAACGCCGTTGCCTTCGGGCCCGGCTACTGCTGCCTCCTCCTCCTCCGCTCCAGCATGGGGCAGGCGCCGTCGCCGTGGTTCCTTCCATGATGCCCCCCTTGAGGTACAGAGAACGAGTCGTGTTGTGTCCAGTGGGTGTTGCAGACACAGAAGAGAAGGCGGGTGCTGCCTTCACCCCTCCCCAGCCAGTTGCATCGCAGCTGCTCTCAACCAGTTCCAGGCTCTTTTGCAAACGAGCACCACTGAGAGAAGCGCCAGAAGCTTTAAAATGTCTCTCCTTTTGAGAAAAATAAATAAATTAAAAAAGTGTTCTGTTTTCTCGACCTTGATTCAATGACAGGAGGATCCTCTTTGCTGTGGGAAAGTCCCTTTTTTTCCAGATTAGGAGAAGATTCCAGTTGGGTTGTCAAACGCCTTCACGTCGATTTAGAGAGCTCTCTCTGTGGCAAGAAGGTCCTCTTTGCTGCGGGAATGTCCCCTTTTGTTCAAGTCTAACAAGCAATTCCTGTTAGGTTGTATTTACGTCTCCTTAAGAGGAAGACCGTTTGCGGTGACAGCGGGAATGTCCCCTTTTGTTCAAGCCTAACAGGCAATTCCTGTTAGGTTTTATTTACGTCTTCTTAAGAGGAAGACCGTTAATTTTTTTAAAAAATGGAATTAAATACTTTCTAAACTCGAGAAAGACGAAGAAAGCGATGCAGTAATATTTCAACCCGGAGAGACAAGGCAGTGCTGTTGGAGATTGGTCTCTTTGGGGAAGTCTGTCAATGAGGAATGGATGCCTCTTCCAGCAATGACAGTGTGGAGGGATGAGCTGCCTTCCAAAGGCCAGGCTAGGCTGCCTCCTCCTCCTCCTTCTTCTTCTTCTTCAAGCGATGCAGTAATATTTCAACCCGGAGAGACAAGGCAGTGGTGTTGGAGATTGGTCTCCTTGGGCCCAGGAGGGAAATCTGTCAATGAGGAATGGATGCCTCTTCCAGCAATGACAGTGTGGAGGGATGAGCTGCCTTTCAAAGGCCAGGCTGGGCTGCCTTCTTCCTCTCCAAGGCCAGGCCAGGCTGGGCTGCCTTCTCCTCCTTCTTCTTCTTCCAGGAGAGCCTTGCTGATTTAAGTGCCGTCAGGGAAAAACAAAATGTCCTCAGACTGCTGCTTGCAAGAGCAGGGAGGCCTCCTCGATCATGGCAGGCCGGGGAAGGAAGTGCTGGCCTGGCCTCCCCTTTAAGACTGCAGAGGCGACTCCTGCCAACAATGGCCAATGGCTTCCGCTCGGAGGGCAGCCCCTTCCTTCCTCCTTTCCTTCGGGTCTCGGGGTCCTAGCGCCTTCCTACCTAATCAACAGGCCCCCCTTCCCTTGCTGCAGGGCGTGACCTTGCCTTTTTTTTTCAGAGCACCTCCTTCTCTCCTCCCATCCCCTTTAAGAGGCCTCCCATTTAAAGTCCGCCACACATTTCCTGCCAAGGCATGGCCTCCCCTTTAAGTGGCCGGATTAATATTATTATTTCCCCTTTTCTTTAAAGGCCTCCGTCGTCAGGCCTCCCTAGTTTCCACCAAAAGCCCTCCGAGCATTCTTCCTTCCCTCCTTCCTCGTCGTCGTCTTCGCCACAATGAAGGCCTGAGGAGAACTTCCCTTTAAGAGGGCCGAGCTCTCTCGAAAGCCACTGACAGGCGCTGAGGGGAGTTGAAAGGAGCACAGCCTCCCCAATGCTAAACCCACCCCCTCCTCACCCTCCCTCAAGGTGTACCTTTAAGAGCGCCTTCCGTTGAGGGTGGATTCCACTCACTCTCCCCCTCTCCCTCCCTCCCTCCCGCGGACCTTTTTTTCCTCTCCTGTCTTCGTCCTTCAAAGGAAACTCGGACGCTGATTGGTCCACACTGTAGTGCCCCTCCGCTCTCCTCGAGGGCCCCCCCAGCTGATTGGCTGGAGGCGGACACGGATGGGGGAAGGGAGGCAGATCAATGCGCGCTCCCCCCTCCTCCGCGCGTCTTGGTCTCGTCCTCCTCCTCCTCCTCGGCGCCCCCCTCCCTCCCTTGTCTTTGGTCCTGGCCTCCTCCTCCTCTTTCTCCCTCTCTCTCCCTCTGTCTCTGCCGGATCTCCTTTCCGCTCTGCTCTGCGCACGACACGCAACTCCGCCCACAGCGTCAGATCCCTCCGCCTATGGTATGGCACAGGATGGAGGCACCTCGCTATACCCTTCCGCCGGAAGAGGAAGGGGCGATGAGAAAATAGTCCCTCCCCAAACTCGTTCTTCTTTATTTATTTTTTTGTCTTGGAAGGAAGGGAGAAAGGGAGGGAGGGGTCACTTCCGCCCTGCGTGTGTTGATGTCATTTTCCCTCCTCAGCCTCAGTGATGTCATGACGCAAGGAGACGCAACAAAAGGGGCTTCACCCTCCCTCTGAGTGCCAGCACCACCGCCTTGGCAACAAAGGAGCCGCTGACGTCACAGCAGTGTCATGGAGACGTCATAATGAAGCAGTGGAGCTGTCACTCAAACCACTAAGGAAACAAAAGAGGCCCTGACGTCACAGCAGTGTCATGGAGACGTCATAATGAAGCAGTGGAGCTGTCACTCACTCCCAGTCCAGCTGAAAGCTGTTCCTCAGGCACAGTCTGAACTTTCAAGGCCTCTGTCCTTGGAACTATACATCTCCTTCCTTTTGTGTATCTGAAGGAGATAGATAGTTCCAAGGACACAGGCCTTGAAGCCCTGGCTGTGCCTGAGGAACAACCTTCAGAAACAAAAGGAAGGAGATGTATAGTTCCAAGGATTGTTGTTGTTGTTGTTCATTCGTTCAGTTGTCTCCGACTCTTCGTGACCTCATGGACCAGCCCACGCCAGAGCTCCCTGTCGGCCGTTACCACCCCCAGCTCCCTCAAGGTCAGTCCAGTCACTTCAAGGATGCCATCCATCCATCTTGCCCTTGGTCGGCCCCTCTTCCTTTTTCCTTCCACTTTCCCCAGCATAATTGTCTTCTCTAGGCTTTGCTGTCTCCTCATGATGTGGCCAAAGTACTTCAACTTTGTCTCTAGTATCCTTCCCTCCAATGAGCAGTCGGGCTTTACTTTCCTGGAGGATGGACTGGTTGGATCTTCTCGCAGTCCAAGGCACTCTCAGAACTTTCCTCCAACACCACAGCTCAAAAGCATCGATCTTCCTTCGCTCAGCCTTCCCTAAGGTCCAGCTCTCACATCCGTAGGTTACTACAGGGAATACCAAGGATGTTCCAAGGATACAGGCCTTGAATTCCAGATTGTGCCTGAGAAACAGCCTTCAGAAACAAAATGAGGGAGATATATAGTTCCTTGACAAGGACCAGGGCCTTGAAGCCCAGACTGTGTCTGAGGAACAGCCTTCAGAAACAAAAGGAAGGAGATGTATAGTTCCAAGGATACAGGCCTTGAATTCCAGACTGTGCCTGAGAAACAGTCTTCAGAAACAAATGAAGGAGATGTATAGATTGTGCCTGGGCTTCAAGGCTTGTGTCCTTGGAACTATACATCTTCGTTTGTTCCTGAAGGCTGTTCCTCAGGCACAGTCTGAGCTTCAAGGCCTGGGTCCTTGGAACTTGGAACTATACATCTCCTTGGAACTATACATCTCCTTGGAACTATACATCTCCTTCATTTGTTTCTGAAGGCTGTTCCTCAGGCACAGTCTGGGATTCAAGGTTCGTGTCCTTGGAACTATACATCTCCTTTATTTTGTTTCTGAAGGCTATTCCTCAGGCACAGCCAGGGATTCAAGCCTGTGTTCTTGGAACTATACATCTTCATTTTGTTCCTGAAGGCTGTTCCTGAGGCACAATCTGAGCTTCAAGGCCCGTGTCCTTGGAACTATACATCTTTACTTGTTTCTGAAGGCTGTTCCTCAGGCACAGTCTGAACTTCAAGGCATGTGTCCTTGGAACTATACATCTCCTTCATTTTGTTTCAGAAGGCTGTTCCTCAGGCACAGCCAGGGATTCAAGGCCTGTGTCCTTGGCAAGGAACTATACATCTCCTTCATTTTGTTCCTGAAGGCTGTTCCTCAGGCACAGTCTGAGATTCAAGGCCCGTGTCCTTGGAACTATAAATCTCCTTCATTTGTTTCTGAAGGCTGTTCCTCAGGCACAGTCTGAGATTCAAGGCCCGTGTCCTTGGAACTATAAATCTCCTTCATTTTGTTCCTGAAGGCTGTTCCTCGGGCACAGTCTGGGATTCAAGGCCCGTGTCCTTGGAACTATACATCTCCTTCGTTTTGTTTCTGAAGGCTGTTCCTCAGGCACAGTCTGGGCTTCAAAGCTGTGTCCTTGGAACTATACATCTTTACTTGTTTCTGAAGGCTGTTCCTCAGGCACAGTCTGAACTTCAAGGCCTGTGTCCTTGGAACTATACATCTTCATTTCATTATGTTCATGAAGGCTGTTCCTCAGGCACAGTCAGGGATTCAAGGCCTGTGTCCTTGGAACTATACATCTTCATTTTGTTCCTGAAGGCTGTTCCTGAGGCACAATCTGAGCTTCAAGGCCCGTGTCCTTGGAACTACAGATCTCCTTCATTATGTTTCTGAAGGCTGTTCCTCAGACACAGTCTGTGTCCTTGGAACTATACATCTCCTTCGTTTTGTTTCTGAAGGCTCTTCCTCAGGCACAGTCTGGGCTTCAAAGCTGTGTCCTTGGAACTATACATCTTTACTTGTTTCTGAAGGCTGTTCCTCAGGCACAGTCTGAACTTCAAGGCCTGTGTCCTTGGAACTATACATCTTCATTTGTTTCAGAAGGCTGTTCCTCAGGCACAGCCAGGGATTCAAGGCCTGTGTCCTTGGAACTATACATCTCCTTCATTCTGTTTCTGAAGGCGCTTCCCCATGAACACCCCAATCTTCAAGGCCTGTGTCCTTGGAACTATACATCTCCATTCTGTTTCTGAAGGCTATTCCTCATGCACTCCCCGACCTTCAAGGCTTGTATCCTTGGAACTATAAACCTCCTTCATTTGAAGGCTATTCCTCATGCACACCCCAACCTTCAAGGCCTGTGTCCTTGGAACTATACATCTTCATTCTGTTTCTGAAGGCTATTCCTCATGAACTCCCCAACCTTCAAAGCTTGCGTCCTTGGAACTATACATATCCTTCATTTTATTTCGTGCATCTTTTGTTCCAAGAGTGAATCTATCCCCGAGTATTAATCCAGTTTGACACTGCTTTAAGTGCCATAGAATCCTGGGAGTTTTCATTTCACAAGGTCTCTTGCCTTCTCTGCCCGAGTGCTGGGGCCTCCACAAACTACAAGCCCCAGGTTTCCACAGCATTATGCTGTGGCGGTTAAAGTGGAATCAAACTGCATTTGTTCTACATTGTAGACCAGGCATGAGACAACTTTGGCCCTCCGGGTGTTTTGGTCTTCAACTCCCATAATTCCGGCTGTTAGGAATTATGGAAGTTGGAAGTCCAAAACACCTGGAGGGCCAAAGTTGGCTCATGCCTGGCCTAGATGCACCTTCAGCCTTTTGAATCCCACATATAAGTCTGTAGATAGTTTGTAGGTTGTGTTTTTTCATCAGCTTCCCTATGTAGTCAGTATTTCCCTTAATTATGGTAAGAACAGTTTTCCTTTGGGCAGATCTTTGTCTTTCCTCTTGTGACTTGTTCTCGGTCTTGCAGCTCTTTTGATGTCTGTGGTGGAGTCTCCATTGGCCTGCAGAGCCCTGTTTAGGTGGTTTAGTTCACTAAGAAAATCCAACAGATGCTACGTTCAGCAAAGGACAAGAGGAATCCTCTCACCGTATACCATGCAACTGTGGACAAGTCTACATAAGGACCACCAACCGCAGCATTGTCCAAACATGAATCAAGGAACATGAAAGGCACTGCAGACTAATTCAACCAGAGAAGTCAGCCATAGCAGAGCACCTGATGAACCAACCTGGACATAGCATATTATTTGAGAATACAGAAATGCTGGGCCACACTAAAAACCACCATGTCAGACTACACAAGAGAAGCCACTGAAATCCACAAGCATGTGGACAATTTCAACAGAAAGGAGGAAACCTTGAAAATGAACATAATCTCGCTACCAGTATTTAAAAAAACACTTTAAAATCGGAACAATAAATAAATAACGACACTAAAAAAAAACAGGGAATTCCAGACAGGAAACTATCAGGGCCAGCTAATACAACCCAGCAAAGGATTTCCCCAGGCAGGAAGCAGCCAGGCTTTGAAGCTGCAAGGCCATTCAATGCTAATTGCAACATTCACATTTGTCTCAAACAGACAAGAATTCTTTCTCCCACCCTGGACATTATTCCACAGATATATAAATCCCACTTGCCTAGTTTCCAACAGACCTCACAACCTCTGAGATTGTGAAACAAACTTGGTGCATATTGAACCATCAGAAAGCGAAATGGCCACTGTCTCAGGCTCCTATTTTAGAGTATTTCGTATTTCCAGATACTCAAGACCTGTATATGTTGAAAAATCTGTAATCTATTTTGGTCCCTTGGAAGTAGAGGTAATAATACAGCCAAGAAGTTCGGTCTTCACTGCCTTTTTCATTCCACTATATGGCCTCGCAGCAGTGCCAAATGAGAAACAGATCTGCTGCCTGTTTCTGCTCAGAGAAAATATAAACTTCTACATTGTTGGACATATTAAAACCACCTTGTTCTGAATCACATTTTTTCTTCCATGGGGACTAATTTAACTACATGCAGTCCCCAAGTTAAGAACAAGATAACACCCCTTGTATGTGTTTTCTCTCCCCCCCCCCCCCCCCCCCCCCCCGGTAATTTATTTTTTACTTGTTCTATCTTTGGCTGTGCTCTTTCCCAGGCATTAATGACCAACATGGTGGAACAGATGCCATGGACCACAGGATGCACTTTCCCCCCTCTTTCATCATCTATACCAGTGGTTCTCAACCAGGGGTCCCCAGATGTTTTTGGCCTACAACTCCCAGAAATCCCAGCCAGTTTACCAGCTGTTAGGATTTCTGGTAGTTGAAGGCCAAAAACCCCAGGTTAAGAACCACTGATCTATACAGAAATCCTATAAAGAAAAGCTGAGCAGAAGCGCCTGCAGTTGGCTGCCACGATTATCCCAAAGTACCCCTGTCACCCAGCAAAGAATGTACTGCATCTCAGGACCTCATCACATAGAAGAATGAATGCACTTTAAATCCGGTTTCTGCCTCCTGCAGAATTCTGAGGCTTGTAGTTTAGTGACGAGCCTTTAACAGCTCCACAAAACTACACACCCCAGAATTCTGAAGGCAGAAACTGGATTTAAAGTGAATTCATTCTCTAGTGTGATGAGGTCCTTCAGACATTCTAAGCTAATAGGAAAATATGACATTACAGCCATGCTCTGCTACCCATCCCATCATGCGTTTGAGAGTGGAAAAGGTCCCCACACAAAAACACAGAGAATAGATAAGGAAACCCCAAAAGTTTGTTTTTAAACCAAGCTGCAACGTTTATTAGAAATATAGCTTAATATAAAAATGCAAACAAATGAACACCCTTCATGCTTAATGCTTAACTGAACAGTCCCAGCAAAGTGATCAAAGCAAAGTGATCCAAGCTTTATGCACTTCAGTCTATTTCATTCGTGGACTGCCCATGTTTTAACAATGAGCAAGGGCACAGGGCCCTTTTCTCGGCCTCTTTATACACGTTTCCGGGGGTGTAAAACATTATTCTTTTGAATTATAACTCCTGGAATAGCCGCCATGAGGGATGGAGGATTCTGGGATCTGTTACCCAAAGGGGTAATGTTTTCAAGCTCTAGTTTTCCTCCGCACATCATCTCCTGCCCTGTAAAATAAGCAAGCAGCTGCTTCTTTCCCAACAGACCATTTGTTATTACCTGTCCATTTCTTTGGGCTTCTTACATTCTGCATTCGGTTTTTTGTTCTGTTTTGTTTTTGGGTGGAAAGCACAAAGACATGTTTCTCATGGAGTTGGGCTCAATCTTTGATGGCCCAAGTCTCTAAAGGATGGCACAATATTAGATAGCATTCGATCAACACTCCATGCAAGGCACCAATGGTCAGGTTGTGCGCAAGTAGCGGAATGCACTAAACAGGCGACTTTGGGACACTGCAAATATTGCTCACTTTGGCTGATATGATGCCAGCACAGGCAGTACGGTGATTGTCCGCATGGTATTTTCAGAGCAACCACCTCCATGGCGTGGTATGATTACCTAAATAGAGGACAAAGTGGCAGCCACAAGCACCAGAGATCAATTTGTCTGGGGAAGTTGAGAATGAAGAAGGCCACAGGAGAAGCCTGGAGTGGTCAAATTGTGGGTTTGTGGTTTGAAATGCAAACAGCACCTCTGGGATGAGGGAAGGAGAAGAGTTTCCAGGGCCACAACTCCCTCTACTTAGAGAGTGGCTTTGCTCAGCTCTCGTCTTCCCCAAACAGGGCATCCAGCTCTGCCAGCCGTTGTCGTAGCTGTTCTTCCAAATCAGGGTGCTGGGGCTGGGCCCTCCGGCCCCCGGCCTTGCGCCCTCCTCGAGTGCGGGCTTTGCGCTGTTTGCGGGGAAGACCACCCTCTCGAAACTCCACAGCCCGCTTCAGCTTGCGTTGGCTGGTGAAAATGAGGGCCCCATTGCGTTCTAGTGGCACCTCAAAGATGGTCTCAAATGACCTGTGTGGAGAGATGGGAGAAAGTTGGACACTGCAGGGAAAAGGATGGTGTGTCTCCAGGAGTACTAGCCTTGCCATAATAGAAAGGAGACATTACTTTGGGAAATGGAGACAAACATAAATTCTCACATTTTGAACATGGGAGAAATATTGTGATTGTTAATTTAATCACAGTTTTGCACAGTATATTCGGGATATAAGGCAGTGTTGACAACCGTGTCCCAATAGACTGGAATTACAAAACTGTAATCTGAAAAATACAATTTTCACTTCACAAAGAGCCAAATTAGTGGAATGGTTTGATCTTTGGACTAGGATTCTAGAAGAATGGGGTTCTAATCCCTGTTCAGCAAAGGATACCCACTGAGACACTTTGGGCAAGTCACGTTCTCTTAGCCTTAGAGGAGTAATAACAATAATAATGATAATAACGATAATGATAATAACATACCTTGTATATTATTATAGCAAGATATTATGATTGTATCTTGGACTGCACTTAAACACAATCAGCACTGACAAAATTACCATTTGTCAGCTGCAAAAGGCCACCCTACTCAGATCTGCATGCATTATTGGCAGATACATCACACAGTCCTAGACACCTGGGAAGTGTGCAACATGTGATTGAATACAACAGCCAGCATAGTGATCTTGTTTTGCTGTGTACTAATCTTGTGTTTCTAATACTGATGATGATGTTGTTAATAATGATCTCACTACCTCTGAGGATGCTTGCCATAGATGCAGGTGAAACGTCAGGAGAGAATGCCTCTTGAACATGGCCATATAGTCCATAAAAACCTACAACAACCCAATAATAATGATAACTTTATTTTTATACCCTGCCACCATCTCCTTGAAGGGATTCGAGCTGGCTTACATGTGGGACCAAGCCCAGAGCAAACAACAGAGTTAACCAACTAAAACACAGTTAAAAACATAATGGCATATCACCTAATTAAACAATTAAAAACAACAGGGTAAAAACATCATTTGAATATATCAAAGCCATACCTCAACCATCAATAACCAGGAATATGATGGGCATATTCATGGAAGAAGTGGCAAACCCCCTCTGAATAAACCTCCTCAATAAAATCCTACGATAGGGTCATTTTGGGATTGCCTAAATTATAAACTATCTGAAGGCACCTATAACAACAACAGTGTACTCCACAATCTGAAATGGCCAAACAGGAGAAAATGACAAGTTTACAGCAATATTTCTTATGCTCACCTTTTCTCTGTAGGGGTGCGGTAGTTCTTGTTTGTGTAGATCTCTTCCAGACTGAATTCTTTCTTGTTCAGCCTAAGAAAGCAAAAAAGAAGAACACTCATCACCCAGGGGTGTCAAGGACAGCAACCCAAAGTCCTTATTTTGCCTGGAATGGGGTAATGGGGAGAGAAAACCAGAGAGGCCTGCTGAACTTCAAGAGGTATCCCTACACATGGTGGACTGCAGCCTGCATTAGCTCAGTGTTTATTGAGACCAGAAAATGGCTTCCAGAAGCTTGTACTGTTGGCCCTCTGTATGCATGGATTTTATCTTCACGTATTTGACCACAGCTTTAAAATATCCCACCCATCCACCCCTGCCAAAAAAAAAAAAAAAAAATCCCAATTTTGCCATGTTATATAAGGAACACCATTTTACCAGTTCATTGAATATCCACAGATTTTGATATTCCTGGGGATCCCGGAGCCAAATCCCAGCAGGATACTGAGGCTGTACTGTAGTTCAGTGCCACTTAATCCAAACAGCCATCAGGCTTGAGTGCCACTACACCTTCCTGACATCACCTTAGTCTTGGTTTCAGCCACTCTCCTTCCTTTAGTCCCACATTCCCTAAGGCAGTGTTTCTTGAAGTGGGCCCCTCAAGGCGTTTTGGACTTCAGCTCTCGGAAATCCCAGCCAGTTTACCAGCTGTTAGGAATTGTGGGAGTTGGAAGCCCAAAACATCTGGAGTTTGAGAAACTCTGCTCTAAGACATTCACAAGCCAGAGCCTTCCAGGAGTCTTCCGCTCCCAGAAGCTGCTACCAGGTTAGTCAAGGATTCTAGAAGCTGAAACTGAAAACCTCTGGAATACCAACAGTTGAGCACCACTGAGCTAGAATATACCAATTAGAAACATATTCCAATCAGAAATATCCTAAATTGATTTAAATGAAATTGGAAAGCAGGCAGTGAACAAAACTTGATATTTAATGGGCAGTCCTAGCCCTCAGATTCCATACACAGTGATACCTTGACTTAAGTATTAGTTCTGTGACTGTTCTTAAGTCAAAACATTCTTATCTCAAAGCAAATTTTCCAATTGGAATGCATTGAAATGCTATTAATGTGTTCCAGCACCCTGAAAAACACCCCAATTTTTTGTTATGTGTTTTTAATTTGAAAATGTACTTTGTAAATAACAAATAATGTATAAAATGTTCAGAGATAATTAATGCTTGGTTCCATCAAGACACGGTGGGAAGGAAGCACATTTGAGGCAAAAAAAATGTGTTGGGCAATGTACAGCAAGGCAAAACAGTATCATTTTCTTCATGGATTTCCAGGAGGCAGTTAGGAATTGTGGGAGTTGAAATCCAAAATACCTGGAGGGCTGAAGTTTGCCTATGCTTGATCTAGCTCTTCTTGAAGCAAAACATACAGTCTTCCTGTTTAGGCTGAGGCTCTGCTGCACTAAGGTGGACTGCCATCTCTGGAGTGGAATCTCCAGATTTAATCCACCCAGAACGTTCAGGGGAAGCACTCACATGGAGTTCCTACCTTGCAGGAAGAGCCAGAGCTGCTCCAGCTAGGAATCCAATCCTCATTTTTTCTCTCTGCCTGATATGGGAACTGGTTTAGATGGAAAAGAGGCTTCTTTTGCACTGTTCATAGGTCAAAACAGTGTTTGGATGTCACTCTAAGCCAGTGGTTCCCAACCTTTTTTGACCAGGGACCTCTCTCCAACATTAGTACCAAAAGGGTTACAATTCAGTTTTGGGTCAACTCTAGATTCAGTTTGGTTATTTGGGGTACTGATTCAGAAAATTGCATTGGAGAGACCACATCTGCTCTAGTTTCTGATACAGGGCATATGCCATCCAGTAGTCACCATCTGCTCACCCACAGAAAACCATATTTAATAAGCCTTGGCACTATAAAAGGGTTTTGCGAGACCAGTCGCTCTTGTTGCAACACTATAGTAACAGTGAGGCCGTGGACCATATTTTAGTTCATGTGGACCACAGGCTGGGAACCACTGCTCTAGCCTGAGTGAGGATTTGGAAGTTAAAATGCACTTATGTGGGGACATTCTTATGTAGAGGTTTTACTGTATATGCAGCCAGGAGTGAGCAGTTTGCAGCCTTCCAGATCCAGTGGACTGTAACATTTATTAGCCCCAGCCAGTATAACAGATAGTGAGAAATACAGGGAGCTGTAATCCACTGAGAAAAACAACTTACCTACTATTCGGTGCTCTCATCTACCCTCAAGGGCACTGCCTAGCCTCACACACAGATGTTTCACTTCCAAGTACTGAAGAATGTGAATTGTATGTTTGCTGGTTGCCTGAAACCTTCTCCCTCACAATTTGGAACAAACTGCACTCGCATTCGAACCCCTTGTGAGGTAGAGGACACTCTCACCTGACAGGCCGTGGAAGTCCCATTGGAGTGAGATTTGCTTGCTGCCTAGCTGGAGTCCTGCGGATTCTGATGCAGGACACTTTCCCTGTGGTGTTGTCCTGTGAAACCTACACATTTCAGAGAGATCAAGGAAGGTGTGAATAAACCGAAGTAAATAAAGTCCCAAAGAGAGCTAGAGTTTAACAGCCACCCTTTCCACACAGCACAGCACCGCTTATGGTAAGCCCTTGGGTCAAGCAGGAACTGACCTTCATTTCATCCTCTGAAAGCATCATCTGTTCTGACGTAGCCAACTCAGTGTCATCTACATCCAGGCCAATGCTAGGCACCCTCTGTCCACCATCGGGAGAAGTGGAGAGGTCCCTGTGAGGACTGGGAGAGGGGGGGGGGCATAAATATACCAACAGAAGTGAGTCTGAGAACTCCTAAATCCACTGGAGCGTAGGGACTAAGTTAAGAGTTAAATAAATGGATCAGACAGGGACACTTAACACTGAAGGTGCAAGCCCTATGGTTGCAAAGTACAATAGAATAATAATAATAATAATAATAATAATTATTATTATTATTATTATTATTATTATTATTATTTCTACCCCACCACCATCTCCCCAATGGGGACTCGGTGCGGCTTACATGGGGCCAAGCCCAGACAACATAATACAGCAATAAAATCATAGCATTTTATTAGCACCAAAAGAGTTACAAATCAGTTTTGGGTCAAAAAAAGCTTTCTTTTTCCAGAGCAGAGCTTTGAACAGTTACTTTTGGCCAGCCTGGCTTGGGGATTCTGAGAGCTGTAATCAAATAAGCTGTGATGATTAGACAAACCTCTAGGAATTCAAATGCAGTCTTATGCACACAGATCAGCTCCCAGGAAAAGGTTTTTGCCAGCACTACGCCTCAAGATCATGGATTTCTCCCAATTCTAGATCTTCATGTGAGATCAGACTACAGCCCCCATCATCACTGACACTGGATCTGGGATGCCAGCAAAAGAGAATGGGAACTGTAGTCTAATCTCATATGGAGACACAAGGTTACCACAAGAGATGGGGGACACGGAAAGAGCCTCTTCAAAGACTGAGTAAATATAGTCAGGAGTCCTCTGGGTAAGATTCCTTGTAAACAGCTAATCTTTCAATCCAAAAACATTGCTTTACAACATTTATAGGCAACGAAATTTTAAAAAAATTAATTGCAAGAGACAATTGCCTCAGGCAGGATGTTAAGATCTTCTGGGGAGGCCCTGCTCTCGGTCCTGCCATCATTGAAGATGCGTCTGGCGGGGACGAGACAGGGCCTTCTCAGCAGTGGCCCCTCGACTGTGGAACGCCCTGCCTAGAGAGATAAGATCAGTGCCCTCCCTCCTGTCGTTTTGAAGAAGGGTGAAAACATGGCTTTTTGAGCAGGCCTTACCGAATACAGCATAGTTATACGAATTCATGGAATTACTGGATGACACAACGGAATGATGACTTGACAGAGAGACGCTCAAGACAATGTTTTATGGTTCTGTATGGATTTTATATTGTATATTGTATGCTAATGTTTTTAACAGTATTTTATGATGGTTTTATTTGTTATAATTGTGTGGCATTGAATTATGTCCCTGGCTGAGAGGTGTGGTATATACCTTTGGTATGGTCCCATCCTCAGTCTAATTTTTTGTCCAGCCCCTGTCCTTAATTTAAAAAAAAAAATAGAATCAACAATAGTATTTAGACAGCTTGGGAGGGAGGAGACTCAAGGAAAGAGGGTAAAGTTTTCACCTGGAATGAACTGGGCTGGAGTCTCGGCAGCAGGACGGCACAGGAGAGCAGTACGAGGTGCTATCCGTATTGGACGAGCGCACCAAGAATCGCGGAGGGGGTGTACTGAATGGGTACACCTCTTTGCGGAGGCAGGGCAGCGTGGGATGGCCCAGCTCTCGGGATACTTCCAGACTGCAGACAGTGTGCCGTCGCTGTCGCAGCTGCGAGGAAGGAGACACGGCCACCAGAGAGGCTTGCCAGGAGCAGGCCCTGGGGAAATCCGGGCAGGAATAGCTGCGTCCAAGGCGGGGCTGAGGAGCCGGATCTCCCTCACTCAGGCGCCACTGGCGGATTGGCGGCCGCCCACTCACCGCCATGCTGCCCATCTCCTCCTCCTCTTCTTGGTGACAGCTTCTCTTCCGGGGACGAGGTTCTGAGATGGCTATTTTCACCTCGATATTGACTCCTCTCTGTGGACTTCCTGGCTGGGACGCTGCCTGGTCCTCATCTGTCTGTGGGCTCAGCGGCAAGGAGGGTGTTTCCTTAGTGGACGGAAGAGCAGGTTTGGACGGGCTCAGGAAGATCTCTGAGAAGGCCTCCAGTTTAGAACGCATGCTCTGGAAAACAGGGGCCAGGCCCCAGTTTCGGAAGCGTGGGATCACTGAAGGGTGCAAGAGGGTTGACGTGGCAGGGGTCCAAGAAGAAGGCACTTCGTCAGCATCTGATGAGACATCTAATGGGACAGATGAAAAATATCATTGGCTACGGGACAATGGAAGGAATGGATGATTATTTCTACACAACAATTATTGGGGATAATGGATTATGACCTGTTAGGATCACTGACCATCGGGGTATAGATCATGAACTGTTAGGATCACTACCTAACTGGGGTAGCAGAATTTATTTAGTAATGGATTATTGCTGGGTATGTACATGTTTTCATTCTATTTGATGCTTTCAGCATACAATGATGCAAGCAGACTTCTTTGAAAGCTAACACGTTTTGTTTACTGATAATTTCATGTATTTAAAGATACAGGCACATTTCTTGTCAGGGGTTAAAGCTTCAGTAAAGTTTCAGAGAGTTTGTATCTTGAACTTACAATCTTTAACAGTTGCTTCCTAAACTATGTTGCTTTATACAGCTCTCTTTAGTAAAAGTTTGCTTTCAAATACAACACAAGCTGCAACAGTTTCTAACTTCCTAACATGAGCTTCTGCACTCTGACAAGACTTCTCTACTCAAGCTCATTCAAGGCTCAACACTGACTTCTCTAACAGTCACTCCCCAACAGACATTCCCTAACTGCCATCCTGTTTAAAACTGAACATTCTAAACTGTCACTGAGACCTGCAGCCCCTCCGACTGCTCTAGGTATATAGAGATAAGGAAACTGCAAATCAAATAAGACATATACTTATGTCATGTCCAGCACTTTTAATCTTATTCATTGCATTTGGCCCGGCCCTTAGTTTTTTAAATGTGTCACGATGTTATTGCTTTAATGTTTATTGATTTGCTTTTTGAGTTTTATTGTTGTTTTGTTATGCTGTTGTTTTGTTATGCTGTTGTTTTATTGAGGGCCTTGGCCTTTGTAAGCCGCACCAAGTCCTTCGGAAGATGTTAGCAGGGTACAAATAAAGTTAATAATAATAGTAATAATAATATACTTCAGGTTATAAAACAACACATTATAAAACAGGCAAACATCATATAGAGGATTGAGAAGGTTGCTTCCTCCAACAACAATCTCCATCAAGCAAGAGTCCTCCAAATGTGTTGGATTTCTTTTCCCATCATTTCCAGCTGTAGTTCAACATATCAAAAAACCTCAAGCTTCAGAAAACCTGCTTTGTACAATAAGTATTCTTAATGGAATGTTCCTTTCTTGCCCATATACCGTGGACCCTCCATCCTGTCAGCATTCATAATAGGTAGAATTGTCAACTGTTATCCAAGAGCTCCAGGTCACCTGCATTTTCATTCTCCCTTTCTACCAAGCCTCCATTTTGCCTCCAACATTAGAACCATGGAGTACCACAATAGAAAGTTGTTTTCCATAGAGTTAGGAGCGACCGGAGATAATAAAAGCCAATTCAGAATATCTTCCCACCACTTATTATTCAGATTCCTGACTTCCCATATGACCTCTCACTGACAAACATTCAACAAAGTAACAGGCCAGATAGCCACACTCACCTGTCTGATGGGTGTGCTCACACGGATCAGGAGGGATTGGCTTTTCCACATGTGAAGCAGGAGACTGGCTATGCAACACTGGACGGTCATTCCTGAGTGAGAACAAAAACACTTGGAAGTGATAAGCAGTTTTTGGCCCTTTGAAACCAGGGTGCTCCAGAACAGCCTCCCACAATTTGGTGACTCCGAAGAGCTGGACTACAACTCCAAGCACTCCCTCGCTAGGCTGGGAGAAGATGATGGGAGAGATAGAAGGCCAACATGCCTCAGGGGGCCCAAATTGGGGGAGACTGCTCCAAAAGCATCTAGGAATCAAGCTGTCAATGAGAAAGAGACTATCCCCAAAGAATTCTGGGCTTGTCACCAAAGCTCTGTGAGCGAATCCTCAATTGGATCAGTTTTCTTGCACTCTAACTGCCAGGCTTTTGAAAGGTAGAGAAGGGGAAGCACAGCCAATTCCACATCTTGGTTGGTTTTGTGGGCGAAGCACTCACCGACAGGGGGGTAGGGAGGTCTCCAGCTGCTCCATGCCAACGCCGGCATCCTGCCAGCGAGAAAAGATGTCTGAACCGAAAGGTGGACCAGGATGTCACCCTCTGGCTCTTTTAGTAAGGCTCTGCTAAGTGCCTCCCCTCTTGGGTTTTCCTCAGGTGTCTCTTGCCACCAACTCACCAAGACTTGACTCAAAGGAGAGCCCTCCACGCTGACAGCTTTCGTCCCCTCATTCCCGCTGACCGAGGAAATGCCATTTTGCAGGCGCTGCCTTTTAGCTTGTAGGCGGTCCGACTCATGGCACAGAAGAGGAGACAATCTCTGAGCCCACAGCTGTCGGCACACATGCGTCAACTTCTCTTGAGGGTCCTCATGTGGTGGGGAGACCTCCTTAGAAGACGTTGGGCTGGGAGCAGGGAAGGAAGGAAGACAGAAAGCTTCAGGAGACATGCCTATGTTGCACACTAGGTCAGGAACACCTTTCACCCAGCATCAAACAGAGTCCAGTAGTAGCTAACTAAAGAAGTTTATTTACAAAAAGGACATACAAAGGGGAAAATGAGCATTTCCCAAAAGGCAGGAAAATAGGTGATATAATCTTGCAATAGTCCAAATATATAAAGATCAATAGTCCAAGACACAAATGTCCATGAAATCCAAGGTAGTTTTCCAGGCTGTATAGTCATGTTCCAGAAGCATTTTTTCCTGACATTTTGCCCACATCTATGGCAGGCATCCTCAGAGGTTAGAAACTAGAAAAGTGATGTTTAGATATCTGTGGAATAATGTCCAGGTTGGGAGAAAGAACTCTTGTCTGCTTGAGGCAGGTGTGACTGTTACAACTGGCTACCTTGATTAGCATTTAATAGCCTTACAGATTTAATGCCCAGCTGGGTGCTGCATGGGGGAATCCTTTGTTCACATTTGCCTCCAGCAGACAAAGAGTTGTTTTTCCCATCCTGGACATTTCAGATATATAAACCCCACTTGCCTTGTTTTCTACAGACCTCAGAACCTCTGAGGATGCCTGCCATAGATGTAGGCGAAACGTCAGGAGATAATGCTTCTGGGACATAGCTATACAGCCCGGAAAACTCACAGCAACCCAGTGATCCCAGCCATGAAAGCCTTGGACAACACAAATCCAAGATGCATGGAATCCATAATTACAAGGTACATGAAATCCAAAAAGTCAAAAGCATAAGCAAAAATCCGTAGCAACTTCAGCAAGGCAAAACTCATTCTGATCATGGCCTTGATTTTAAGGCAAAGTTGTCTGCTCTAAAGAGCCCAGGGAACGCACACTTAATTTAAGCTCAAACCTGACCAAACAGAGATGAGATCATTTTTTCAGCACCTGTGTTTCAAGGACTGCTTCTCACATATTCTTTCTGACCTTCTAATTAACATTTCCTTGACTCTTTCTGAGCAGGGCAACTCCCCTTCCTCTGAAGGCTGTTTCTCAAGAGAAACACCCCTTATCTCTTCTACAGCTGCTGGCTCTGGTCTCTCTCTGTGATCTACAGCCTGCATGTCTATCTGAGTTTCAGAAGCAGACACAGACTCAGTGAAAATGCCATCATTTTCTTCAACCTCTGAATCATCTGAATCAAAACCCCAAGTATCTTGCTGATGAGCCCCAACAGCCAATACCTACCCTCCTCCTGGCAAGTTCTCAAGTCTTATGGACCATGGCTCACCTGCATGTGGTACTACTATGGCCCTTTGCTGAGCAGGAAGTTCCATCTTCCTTCAAGATCATTGGCTGGTGGGAATTTATACAGGGTGATATGGCAGGTTTTTGTAGAGGTGAGCACCTTTGTAGATCCTCCTGGACAAAGAGAGATACAAGGCAAGTTAGAAGCACCTTAGAAGCAAATACGTTCAGGAACTTTTTCTTCGTTTCCTGTTTACACAAAAATTTATTATGGGAAAAATATTGTTTCTAATGTAATGGTTCTCAATTTGTGGGTCCCCAGGTGTTTTGGCCTACAACTCCCAGAAATCCCAGCCAGTTTACCAGCTGTTAGGATTTCTGGGAGTTGAAGGACAAAACATCTAGGGACCCACAGGATGAGAACCACTGTTCTAATGTATTTAGTGCATTATTAAAGCTTTTAATTAAAAAAAAATTGACTTGTGCTATGAGAAAGGGGGCATTTCTTCTGATGGGACAATAATAATAATAATAATAATAATAATAATAATAATAATTATTATTATTATTATTATTATTATTATTATTATTACTATACATAGGAGTAGTGTGTTACAAGCAATGATGTTACCTGGGATAAATTCGAGGCATTGTAATATTACTTAGGGGTAAATTTTGGATAATTTTGTATATCAAAGGAGACTTTTCTAAGCCATTTTAAGTAACGCCTTACTACAAGTAATGATAATTTTTTAAAAAATGAATAATCAAAACTATTTTATTATCTTTCAAGCAATATTAATTAGTAAAAGTAAAGGTTTCCCTTTGACATTAAGTCTAGTCATGCCCAACTCTGGGGGGTAGTGCTCATCTCCATTTCTAGGCCAAAGAGCCAGCGTTGTCCACAGACACCTCCAAGCTCATGTGGCCAGCATGACTGCATGGAGAGCTGTTACCTTCCCGCAAAAGTGGTACCTATTGATCTACTCACATTTGCATGTTTTCAAAATGCTAGGTTGGCAGAAGCTGGGCCTAGAAACAGGAGCTCACCTCGCTCCCCAGAGTCTAACTGCTGACCTTTCGGTCAGCAAGTTCAGCAGCTCAGCAGTTTAATCTGCTGCGCCACCAGTTTGTCATAACATCCCAAGCACTGATAAAGAAGCAATTGAGGGTGCAGCTACACTGCAGAGTTAATGCAGTTTGTCACCATTTGAATTGCCATGGGTCATTGCTATGGAATCCTCGGAGTTGTCGTTTTGGAAAGCCTTTGGCCTTCTCTGCCTTGGAGTGCAGCTGCATCACCAAACTACAACTCCCATGGTTCTGCAGCACAAAGTTATGACAGTTAAAGTGGTGTCAAACTGCTTTAATGATACAGTGTGGTGCACCCCGATTAAGAACCTCTTTCCCTGATTCCTATTTAGTCCTACATCAGAATCAGCTGCAATACAGTCCATGAGGAACTGCACTGACGACCCGAGGTACCCGCCCGTGTTATGCCCTCCTTACAGGCACTTGGGTTGTAGAAAGGTCTTCCAGGTCAACCGCCAACACCTTCCGCTGCTTCTTCTCCATGGGAGACGCCACGTGCCACAAGCTCTCCTCTTCCCCAGGGCAAGCGCTCCCATTTGTTTCCTCCATTGGAGGTAAGCCCTTCTGAAGCCGTTGCCTCTTGGTGGGTGACCACTCTGTATCCCCAGAAGGGAGGAGAGGTGCTCCGTCTCTCTCAAGAGGATTCTGCTGCAGGGAAGAGGACTCCTGCTCCTCAGCAGCAGGCCTGCAATTGGAATATGGCACAAAGGGAGAGTCACGGGGCCACAACACAAATTGTATTTCTTCCCACCGGATTTTCAAAAGGGAGAACACTTTCCTCTCACCTGTATTTGAAGACTTTTCGTTGCCTCACACGCCTCTTGAAAGCACACATTAGAGTCTCGTCTTCTGACGTTCCTTCAAGCATTGGACACTCCATGGCAGATCTCAATCCTCCTCAGAATCGGGAATTTGGTGGCCGCCCCGGGTTGGTCCACCAAATTCTCATTCCTCACCTTTCTGCATCGGGGGAAGGAAGATCCATTGGTTTAGTTGCAGACATTTGTATCACTGGCAGTTCCTTCTTCACAAATATAGGCTGAGTACCCCATTTCCAAAATAGTTGGGAACAAAAGCGTTTGGGATTTTGTTTTTCTTTGAATTTAGAAAAACCTGCATTTTCACATACATACATAATATAAACATATAATTGCTTTAAATATTCTTCCAATATTTTTAATTAAAATTTTTGACAATAAAAATACATATACAGATAGTCCCCAAGTCCCAGACATCCGGCTTACATACGACTCATAGTTAAGAACATGAGTGAGACACCAGGAAGTTAAGAGAAGTCTACCTCTCAGAAGGGAAATTCACTCCTAGAGGAATTAAAATGGGAAACAAGTGTCTCAATTTTTTCAATGTCAAGAGTGACTTCAGAAACTGCAAGTCACGTCTGGTGTAAGAGAATTGGCTGTCTGCAAGGACATTTGCCCAGGGGACGCCCAGATGTTTTACCATCCTACGGGAGGCTTCTCTCATGGGAAGCTGAAGCTGACAGACAGGAGCTCACCCTGCTTGCTGGATCTGAACCGTCAACCTTTCCATCAGCAGTCCAGCCGGCACACTAATTTAATCCATTGTGCCACAGAGGGCTCTGGTGTCTCCAATTAAACTGTATCACCAATCCTTGTTCCCACAACAAGCCAAATTTTTCAAACTCCAATTATCAGAGGGACGGAAAGTAAGGTGAAATCTTATGAGCAGGGGCCCAGACAGAAAAACAAATATCACAGAGGTGTTAACAGTTCCCTATGTTATTCAAAGCTCTCTGTATGTATGTGCGTGTATGTGTGTGCGCACGTATATGTGTGTGTGTGTGTGTGTGTATATATATATATACACTTTAAAATGTCCATGTTCCGACTTGCATACAAATTCATCCTAAGAAAAAATCTGCAGAACATATATTGACTGTAACTTGGGGACTGTAATGATTTATCTTGGAGATAGGATCCCAATCTAATTACGGCATTCATTAATGTTTCATATACCCCTTATACACATAGCATAAATGCAATATTATACAATATTTTTAATAATTTTGGCCATGAAACAAAGTCTGTGTACACTGAACTATCAACAAGACTATGGGTCATCCAAAACGTACTACCACTGTAATAAAATGATGAAAAATACAATTAAGGCAGAGGCAGTGGCGGGTGAGTGGTGCCACATGAAAGAAACAAAGGCAACAAAAGCTAGTGAGTCATGCCAAGGTGTAGTAAGTACAAACAAACAGGATGGGCAGAAAGTAGGTGTCAAAACCATGTCATCCTAAGGATTCTCAGCCCACACTTTCTCTATCAAGACCCACCCCATTGGAAACAAACCAGATATTTCATTCTCAGTAAAATTTGCTGAATCTTTTCTCAATTGTTTCAAAATCCCATTCCTTGGTCTTAAATTCTTCTATATTTTGATATCTCCCTTTGCTACAGAAGCCGTTCCTTCCAACCTGTTGCTTGATAACACTCAATTTGTATTTTTACGCCCATCAGCATCTCTGCCGGAACATGGCTAAAACTCCAGCTTGTAAAAATATCAACATTGTGAAATGAATGCAGTTTGATATCATTTTAATTGCTGTGGCTCAGTGCTATAGGATCATGAGAGTTGTAGTTGTACAAGGTCTTCAGCCTTTGCTCCCAAAGACAGTTAGTGCCTCAGAAAACTATCATAACTACATAGTATCAAGCCAAGGCAGTGAAAGGGTAGAAAAGAGCATTAATTCTACAGTGCAGATGCATCCTTGGTTCAGTTTAGTACCAAAAAACAACTTTTCCAACTTCGAATAGATTCTTAGTCAAGGGAAGGAAGGAGTTATAAACCAACCCAAATATTTATTTATTTTATTTACGATATTTATAGCCCACCTTTCTCAGCCATATAGCAACTCAAGGCGGGTTACAGATTGGCACAATTCGATGTCAGGCATTCATAAAAGTGCCATTAAAAACAATTAACATTACAATATAAAACATATCTGTCCCAGATTATTCTGTTTCCAATGCCTTTAGTGATGATCTGGACATGACAAAGATAAAAGATTCTAGTGTGGATGGAAAATTACAGCAGATGAGTCTTGTCCTCCCATCTCTTTCTTTCTGATGGTGCTTCACAGCTTAGGAGCATACACACCACACCCTTCCTTGGGATGGCTCATCCACTCCTCCTCCTTGTTATGCCCCAAAATCTACCCACACCAAGTTGTCATCATGTACCTTCAAGTCCTTTCATCTCTTACACTCCCTTAGATAACCCATCCATCCTCTTCCACGCAACGTTAGAGTGATCACTGAGTCTACACCTCACTTCTACCTATTGCCCCTTCTTGGCCTGTACAATGAGTGACACCACGTTAGCTGCCATGGCTGAATGCTATGGGATTTATAGTTTGGTGAGGCACCAACCCTCTTTGGAAGAAAAGGCTAAAGACCTTGCAAAACTACAACTCTGAGGATTCTGTAGCACCAAGCCATATCAATTCAGGTACTGTCAAACTGCACGAATTCTAAACCATAGATCAGTGATCCTCAAACTTTCGTCCTTTAATGGATTGGAAATGCAGTTCCTAGAAGCTTCAGCCAACATGTCCAATTGTCAGGAATTCTGGAAGACAAAGTCCTAAACTCTTTGGGGGCGAAAGTTTGGAAACCACTGATAGCTGTACCCTGGATCTCTCCTCAACTGGCCAGTGGCCTGATTTGGAGAAAGCATATGGGTTGGTAAGAATAATCCAGTGCCAAATAAATACTGTAGTTGGGTTGAAAGTTGCCACTTGGTTGTTTTCTCATTTCCCATTAAATTTTCATAACAAATTAGAAACAAAAAACACTGTAACGTGGAGCAAAGAAAAGAACACAATGTCATAATAATCCCATAATATCCCCAGCCCCATTAACACCCCTATCACTGCCATCAAAGGGTTCCCAACCCTTGTGCCTCCAGGTGTTTTGGACTTCAACTCCCAGAAATCTCAGCCAGCTTACCAGCTGTTAAGGAACTGTGGGAGCTGAAGTCCAAAACACCTGGAGGTCCAAAGGTTGGGAAGCACTGATCTAAATTATAGGTTTAATGCAGTCTGACACCATTTTAGCTGCCTTGGTGCAATGCTATGGAAATCCAGCACGCTTTGGTAGAGATGGTTAAGGACCTTGTAAAACTACAACCCCCATGATTCTATAGCATTCAGCCATGGCAACTGAGACAATGTCAAACTGCCTTAATTCAGTGGAGATGCGCCTTCTGTTTCCCACTTTTTAGTATCCTCATAACAATAATAATTATTATTATATAACAAAAAAGCATTTAATTAGGTTAGACCAGGCATGGCCTAACTTCGGCCCTTCGGATGTTTTGGACTTCAACTCCCACAATTCCTAACAGCTGGGATATCTGAGAGCTGAAGTCCAAAACATCTGGAGAAGCACAGTTTGAGAAATACTGCCTTAAAGAATGTGGCCCATGCCTAGGTTAGACTGAGGCTAGAATCCCAACAGTTAGACCTGTGAAGTCAATAACCACATAGGTAAGTCTAACAATGTAGAATGACTACAGCTTGACCTCACTTTTCCAGGGGTCAACAGTATGGAATCCTGGGAGTTGTAGTTTTCCAAGGACTTTCTCATCTGTCAGGCCTTGTTGAACTACAAATCCCAGGACTCAACTTTTGGTATTCCAGGGGTTTTCAGTGTCAGATTCTAGAATCCTTAACTCACCTGGCTGCAGCTTCTGGGAATAGAAGACTCCTGGAAAGCTCAGTCTAGCTTGTGGATATCTTAGAGCAGAGTTTCTCAAACCGTGCTCCTCCAGATGTTTTGGACTTCCAGCTCCCACAATTCCTAACAGCTGGTAAACTGGCTGGGATTTCTGAGAGCTGAAGTCCAAAAAACCCAGAGGAGCACAGATTGAGAAACACTGCCTCAGGAAATGTGCCCCATGCCAGGGTTAGACGGAGGCCAGAATCCCAAGAGTTAGTTCTAATTAAAGTAGACACGTGAAGTTAATAATCACATAGAATCATAGAATCAATGAGGTGGAAGAGACCTCATGAGCCATGCAGTCCAACCCCATTCTGCCAAGAAGTGGGAAAATCGCATTCAAAGCACCCCCCAACAGATGGCCATGCAGTCTCTGTTTAAAATCCTCCAAAGAAGAAGCCTCCACCACACTTTGGGGGCAGAGAGTTCTACTGCTGAACAGCGCTCTCTCTCACACAGTTATGAAGTTTTTCCTAAAGGTCAGGGAGAATCTCCTTTCGTGTAGTTTGAAGCCATTGTGCCACATCCTAGTCTCCAGGGCAGCAGAAAACAAGCTTGCTTCCCCCCTCCCTATGACTTTTCCTCACATATTTATACATGGCCCTCATCATGTCTCCTCTCAGCCTTCTGCAGGCTAAACATGCCCAGCTCTTTAAGCCGCTCCTCATTGGGCTTGTTCTCCAGACCCTTGATCATTTTAGTCGCCCTCCTCTGGACACATTCCAGCTTGTCAATATAATAATAATAATAATACTAATAATTTTTTTTTTAAAAAAACGTTATTTATACCCTGCTACCACCTCCCCAAGGGACTCTGTGCGGCTTACATGAGCCCAAGTCCGGTAGTACATCAGTAAACAGAAGCAATAACAATAAAAACAAAACAAAACAATTAATATAAATCACATAAATATCTCTCACATAAACATCTCTCTAAGTCAGTCTAACAATGTAAAATGACTACAGTTTGACCCTACTTTGGCAAGGGTCAATGGTTGTGATTTTCCAAGGGCTTTCTCCTTCTTCACTGGGGCCTCGCCGAACTACAAATCCCAGAACTGCATGGTACTGAACCGTGGCAGTTGAAGCGGTGCCAAAGTGTAATTATTCTATTGAGATGCACCCTAAAAGCCACAACTAAACACTACCACAGGCATGGGCCAACTTGGGTCCTCCAGGTGTTTTGGACTCCAACTCCCACCATTCCTAACAGCCTCAGGCCCTTTCCTTTTCCCCCTCAGCCGCTTAAGCTAAAGGCATTGTAAGAAGAGCTTAAGATGAGGGGGGAAAGGAAATAATAATAATAATAATAATAATAATAATAATAATAATAATAAACCTTTATTTATACCCCGCTATCAGCTCCCGAAGGACTCGGTGCAGCTTACAAGAGGCCGAGCCCAAATACAACTGTAAAACACAACAACAATACAATAATAATAATAATAAAAACTCATAAACAAAGCAAAAAACTAGGTTGTTGTAGGTTTTTCCGGCTATATGGCCCTGGGCTATATGGCCATGTTCTGGAGGCCATATAGCCCGGAAAAACCTACAACAACCCAGTGATTCCGGCCATGAAAGCCTTCGACAATACAAAGCAAAAAACATTAACAATAACCTGTGGCAGGGCCAAATGTAATACTTAAAATCTTAAAAAGTGCTGGGCATGATCAGGTGAAATAGGATAGATATTTTAGGGATAGGTGGGGCTTGCAGGCAATTCTAGATCTCTAGTAAAGTGCATTTGGGACATATTGCTTGGAGTTTCCTTATTCTGGGAAGGCACACTGGAACAACCATGTTTTCAAGCTCCTTCTAAAGACTGCCAACGTTGGGGCATGCCTGATGTCCTTGGGGAGTGAGTTCCAGAGTCAAGGGGCCACCACCGAGAAGGCCCTGTCCCTGGTGGGAGTTGGAGTCCAAAACACCTGGGGGGCCCAAGTTGGCCCATGCCTCTAAATATATATATAATAAATATAAATATATAATGAATATTAATAAGTATAATTGGTATGGCACACTGGAACAACCATGTTTTCAAGCTCCTTCTAAAGACTGCCAACGTTGGGGCATGCCTGATGTCCTTGGGGAGTGAGTTCCAGAGTCAAGGGGCCACCACCAAGAAGGCCCTGTCCCTGGTGGGAGTTGGAGTCCAAAACACCTGGGGGGGCCAAGTTGGCCCATGCCTCTACCACCACTTTAAATATATATAAATAATAAATATAAATATATATAATAAATATTAATACATATAAATATTTAAAAAATTAAAAAATATAATAAATATAAATATAAAAAATTAAAAATATATAATAAATATAATAAATATAAATATAAAAAGTTTAAAATATATAATAAATATAAAAATATAATACAATAAAAAAACTTTCAAAGTTAACTCCTTTTGGAAGTGAACCCCATAAGGATGCCCTGAACCTGGTTCAAAAGCCAAAACCAAGTAACTTTCCCTCCAAGTAACTTCTGGTGCCTCAGGATCTCCATGCTCTCTTCCAATTTGTGGCCTCAAGTCCCACTTCCAAGACTCCCTCTGCCATCTTCTCCATCTCTTCCCCCCCCCCCCCAAAAACCCAAAACAAAACCCCAATTTCATATCAATTCCATGAAATCTCACCTTCTTTGCCCACTTCCTTGGGCTCCCTTCTCGAATCAGTTAAACTCAGTTTGAAAAACAGCCCCCCTCCTCGTCTTTCCTCCTTCCTTCCTTCCCTCCCTCCAACTCACCAACTAACTCCCTCTTCCTCCTCCCTCCTTGCCCTTCTCTTACTCACACCTCGACGCTACCCTTTTCCCTTTCGTGTTCCACCCCAGCCAATGGCAGCGCGGCTTGTTTTCCCTCCCAGCCAATCAGCGTGCCGGATTTATCTCGAGGTCGCGTGGCCAAACCGCCGCCATCACAGTGAAGGGCAAAGGCGGCTCGCGGGCTTGCGTAGCGTTGGGAGAAAAGAGTCGCGTCTTGCGGCCGCCTTCTTTGTTAAGGGCGAAGGCGCCGGTGAAGTTGGGAAAGCTGCCATTTTGGCTCAGGGCAAAACTGAAGGGGGAAAATAAAAGCGGAGCGAGGGAGAGAAAAGAGAGAAGAAAACAAGGAAGGCGTCGAGGGCGGTAGCCATTTTGAGTGAGGGCAAATTTTTTGGTGGCGCCGTTTAGGAGGCCGCCATTTGAGGCGAGGACCAGAAGTGGGGGATTTAAAGGGGCAGGCTTTAAAATATGATGGAAGCAAGGCTGGCAATGCAGCTTTGATTCCTTCTTTTAGGCTCCCTTTACACTGCTTTAGAATGGATTATTTGGCAGTGTAGACTCATATAATCCAGTTCCATCTCGTCTTTACAAATAATATAATATAGTACATTGTACATACATATAATATTATAATGTAATACAATATAATACTAGTAATAATAATTCAATATTATAATTATATATTTACATTACATATAATATTACAATATAATGGTATAGTGCAATATAGTAATATATACTGATATTGTACTATGCTAATAATATAATATATTGTATGAAAATATATATTGTAAGCCGCTCTGAGTCCCCTTCGGGGTGAGAAGGGCGGCATAGAAATGCCGTAAATAAATAAAATAATAAATAAAGCAGGTAATGTGGATTATCTGCTTTGATAACCTGGATTATATGCCAGTGTGGAAGGGCTCTCAGAGAGGCCTTTTGGCTGTATTGGAATTTTCTCCTTGCTGTATTGGACATTCATTGCTTTCAGAATTAAAACTTGACCCCAATGTAGACTTGTATTGAATCTTCCACACCAAATGGAGGAAAAAACTGAAATTTATTTATTTGTTTACGACATGTAAATAAATAAAGGGGACTCAGAGCAGCTTACAAGATATATAAACATATAATATATTATGTTTTTGCCCATGCGTTGTAATGTATTTTTTGTTTTTTTGGCATTTTAAGTCTTTTCTGCTGTGTTTTTATGAGTGATGGTCACTCGTTAGCCTGATATGTATATTGTGTCCAAATTTGGTGTCAATTTGTCCAGTGGTTTTTGAGTTATGTTAGTCCCACAAACTACCAGTTTGAAGACCTGGCTGTTCCGGTGTGCCTTTCCAGAATAGGAAACTGTCCCAGAAGTACAATATGTCCCAGAAGCACTTTAGAGATTTAAGATTGTCTGCACATTGCACTTACCCTAAAATCCTATATTCCACCTGTCATACTCAGCACTTTTAATCTGTACCCATTACATTCGGCCCGGCCCTAGTTTTATTGTGTCACGATGTACTGTTTCTATTGTTTACTGTTATTGCTTAATGTTTTGATTTGCTTTATAATGCTGTATTGTTATGTTATTGTTTTATTGAGGCCTTGACCTTTGTAAGCCGCATTGAGTCCTTCGGGAGATGCTAGTGGGGTACAAATAAAGTTAATAATAATAATAACAATAATAATACCTGCCACACGTTGTTGTGGCCCAGTCTGTGTTTTGTGTGTGTATATATATGTGTGCATATATTTGTGTATATGTGTGTTTGCGTGTATATGTGTGTGTGTGTGTGTGTGGTTTTGCTCATGAGTTGTAACGTACTTTTTGTTTTTTGGCTTTTTAAGTCCCTTCTTTTCTGTTTTTATGAGTGATGGTCACTCATTAGCCTGATATGTGTATTGTGTCCAAATTTGGTGTAAATTTGTCCAGTGGTTTTTGAGTTATGTTAATCCCACAAATGAACATTGCATTTTTATTTGTATAGATTAATATAGTACAATATTAGTATTACTATATTGTACTATACCATTATATTGTAGTATTATTAGTAATATTACATGTAATATTACTAATTATTAGTAATATTACATGTAATATTACTTGCTGTGATGTTTTTACTTATTTGTATTCGGGCTCGGCCTCTTGTAAGCCGCACCGAGCCCTCCGGGAGATGGTAGCGGGGTATAAATAAAGGTTTATTAATATTATTATTAATAATAATAATAATAATAATAATATATTATGATATATTATTATTATAAGTAGTATTATATTGCATTACATTATTCAACCAATCTTGACATTTTCTAGGTCCTGGGTACATCTACACTGTAGAATTTATGCTGTTTGACACCACTTTAACTGCTAGAGCTCAGTGTAATGGAATAATGAGAGCTGTAGTTTTTATGACTTCGTTAAAGTGTGGTGCTTCATGAAACTACAAATCACATGATTCGATAGCCACATGGCATTTTAAAGTGGTGTCAAACTGCACTAATTCCACGGTGTAGATACCCTCTCAACCGCTCCCTCATCCTCACCTATGTTGTCGAGAAATCAGACCTACCAATGCGACCTCAGTATGATTAAACATGAATTTTTGTTAAAAAAATTTTGCAATACCAAGCAGGCAGTATTCCGCACTTTACCGCACTTTACCCTATTTTCATTGACCCTGCCACGGAAGGTTGACTGACAGAAACATTAACATATTCCTTTGGGGGGAAAGGGAATTGCCTCAGGAAAGGGCTCCACAGGAAATACTTCAAAGATCCTAAACCCCAGCCTAGTATTTTCCTTGAAAAATGAATAGAAAACAATTCAAAGGGGGCTCTTCCCCAGCTCCTGAGCCCGCCTGTATGCTTTCCTTGGACTTGTTAATTCCTACATGGCCATTTTTTGGTTTCAGAGTGATTTGAGAAACTGCAAGTTGCTTCTGGTGTGAGAGAATTGGCCGCCTGCAAAGGCCTTGCCCAGAGGACACCCAGATGTTTTACCATCCTGTGAGAGGATTCTCTCATGTCCCCACATGAGAAGCTGGAGCTGACAGATGGGAGCTCTCCCCAGATCCAAACTGATGACCTTTCGGGCAGCAGTCCTGCCAGCACAAGGATTTAACCCATTGTGCCACCGGAGCTCAATGTGGCATAATGGAAAATAAACCTTGTAGTTCACGTTTGATCAGTCCACACACTGTTTTGCCAGAGAAAGAAAATATGCCACACAGAGGATCAGTAAATAACAAGTAGTTTATTCTTCATAATTCAGAACGTATTTACAATCATGTGATTGGTTGCATTGTCTCACATAATGTCATTTTATGAGAGATTTTTTTGTCCATGTGTGTTGTTACACAGCTGGAATCAGAGGACGTTTCTGACGACGATGATGGGACTCAGGTTCACAGTTTGGTTCAACAGGGGATTTTCCCAGGCTCAGCCAGGCCTTCAAATGCTAATGAAGGTGGTCAGTTGAAACATTCACACCTAGCTCCAGCAAGGAAGAGCTCCTTGCCCCACCCCAGCCATTCCACAGATATATAAACCCATTGTCCTAATTCCCACAAGAAAAACCCACAAGAACCTAATAGATAGATACATAGATAGATAGACTGATTTTTGCTCATTCACAGTGGAAAGCCTCTTGATGACAAAGGGAATAAGAAGAAAGAAAGGAGAAAAATGAAATAAACTTCTGCCAAGTGTGGAAACTATTGTCCTTTGTGGCTGAAAAGAACTGGCTTAAAAGAGGGAGAAATGATTCAGGACCCATTACCTGTGAAGAACCTTTTACACAATGATGGTCATTTCAGGGCCTTGTTGAGATATCCTGCCAGATCAGGAAAGGCCTAAAGGACATGCCTTATGATAAGGTAGGCCTAGGCCAAGTTCCGTACAAACTTCCGTACAGTGCTCAAACTTCCGTACAGTGGCCCTTATTTCTCATGCCAGTAAGGTAATGCTCAAGATCCTGCAAGGAAGACTCCAGCAATACATGGAGCGAGAGCTGCCAGATGTCCAAGCTGGGTTTAGAAAAGGCAGAGGAATGAGAGACCAGATTGCCAATATCCGCTGGATAATGGAGAAAGGCAGGGAGTTTCAGAAAAACATCTACTTCTGCTTCATTGACTATTCTAAAACCTTTGACTGTGTGGATCATAATAAATTGTGGCAAGTTCTTGGTGGTATGGGCATACCAAATCACCTTATCTCTCTCCTGAGGAATCTGTATAAGGACCAAGTAGCAACAGTAAGAACCGACCATGGAACAACAGACTGGTTCAAGATTGGGAAAGGCATACGGGAGGGTTGTATACTCTCACCCAACCTATTCAACTTCTATGCAGAACACATCATGCTTGAGGAATGCAAAGCTGGGGTGAAAATTGCTGGAAGAAACATTAACAACCTCAGATATGCAGATGACACCACTCTGATGGCCGAAAGCGAGGAGGAGCTGAGGAGCCTTCTAATCAAGGTGAAAGAAGAAAGGGCAAAAGCCGGGTTGCAGCTAAACGTCAAAAAAACCAAGATTATGGCAACAAGAATGATTGACAACTGGAAATAGAGGGAGAAACCGTGGAGGCCGTGACAGACTTTGTATTTCTAGGTGCAAAGATTACTGCAGATGCAGACTGCAGCCAGGAAATCAGAAGACGCTTACTTCTTGGGAGGAGAGCAATGTCCAATCTCGATAAAATAGTAAAGAGTAGAGACATCACACTGGCAACAAAGATCCGCATAGTCAAAGCCATGGTATTCCCTGTAGTAACCTATGGATGTGAGAGCTGGACCTTAGGGAAGGCTGAGCGAAGGAAGATCGATGCTTTTGAACTGTGGTGCTGGAGGAAAGTGCTGAGAGTGCCTTGGACTGCGAGAAGATCCAACCAGTCCATCCTCCAGGAAATAAAGCCCGACTGCTCACTGGAGGGAAGGATACTAGAGGCAAAGTTGAAGTACTTTGGCCACATCATGAGGAGACAGCAAAGCCTAGAGAAGACAATTATGCTGGGGAAAGTGGAAGGTAAAAGGAAGAGGGGCCGACCAAGGGCAAGATGGATGGATGGCATCCTTGAAGTGACTGGACTGACCTTGAAGGAGCTGGGGGTGGTGACGGCCGACAGGGAGCTCTGGCGTGGGCTGGTCCATGAGGTCACGAAGAGTCGGAGACGACTGAACGAATGAACAACAACAAGCCAAATCAGCCCTTTACAACCTTTATCTGTTGAATGTTGATCCAACTGTACATCCCTAAGCAGTCTCCCTTTTCCCCCTCAGCCGCTTAAGCTGTGAGGAGGGAAAAGGAAGGGACCTGAGGCTCTTAGGAATGGTGGGAGTTGAAGTCCAAAACACCTTCAAGGCCCAACTTGGCCCAGGCTTGAGCTAGCCCTCTAATAGGGCAGCAAAGACTACATTTCCCAGGGTGCAGCGCGGCGCCATCCCTCTTTCCCGTGGTGCCTCGCGCGGCGTGTGTCTGTTGGATGGAGAAGGGAACTCGGTTGGAGTTCTCCTCCGTGTGTCTTCCGCGATGGCTGCCCCTCTCTCCCCGCTGAGGTTCGGGGCTCCGGCCGAGAGCTCCGTCTGCCTCCTCTTGCCCCTCGTCATCCCCGCCGGAAGGTCCCTCGTCCTGTCCCGAGGTGAGCGCGTCTGCACCGCAGCGTTAATGCGGAGTGGCACCGCTCTAACCGCCAGGACTCCCAAATCCGCGGGATTTGAACTTTGCCGGAGCGCCATTACTCTTTGGCAGAGAAGGTCCAAGACCTTGGGAAAGCTACAACTCCCAGTCGCCTTGAGCCCTGGCAGTTAAAGCGGTACCAAACCGCATTAATGCTAGAGTGTGGATTCAAACTCAAACTGCATTAATTTCAGAGTGTGGATTCAAACTCAGTTTCGTGATTGATTTCATGAGTCTGCTTTAGAATTGGAACTCAGTATCCCAGCCATCAACCTACTAATTTATTATATTTATCTGTCTATTTATATTTATTGTTTGTTTGTTTATTTAGTTATTTATTTGGGTTGTTGTAGGTTTTTTCGGGCTATATGGCCATGTTCTAGAGGCATTCTCTCCTGATGTTTCGCCTGCATCTATGGCAAGCATCCTCAGAGGTAGTGAGGTCTGTTGGAAATAGGAAAATTGGGTTTATATATTTGTGGAAAGACCAGGGTGGGGACAAAGGACTCTTGTCTGTTGGAGCTAGGTGTGAATGTTTCAACTGATTAGTTAATGCTAATCAAGGTGGTCAATTGAAACATTCACACCTAGCTCCAAAAGACAATAGTCCTTTGCCCCACCCTGGTCATTCCACAGATATATAAACCCAATTATCTTAGTTCCAACAGACCTCACAACCTCTGAGGATGCTTGCCATAGATGCAGGCGAAATGTCAGGAGAAAATGCCTCTAGAACATGGCCATATAGCCCAGAAAAAACCTATAACAACCCAGTGATTCTAGCCATGAAAGCCTTAGACAATATTTATTTATTTGTATCCCGCTCTGTCTCTCCATACAGAGACTCAAAAGCGGCTCACAATCAAAAACATCACAACTGAAAACGTAAAAATACACCATGATAAAAAAAGTATTGTTATTTATGTATTTATTTATAACATTTATATGCTGCCCTTCTCACCCTGAAGGGGACTGAGAGCGGCTTACAAGAAATATATATATATATATATATATATATATATATATATATATATACATACAATATATTATATTATTAGTAGAGTACAATATCAGTATTAAATATTACTATATTGTACTATACTGTTATATTGTAATATTATTAGTAATATTACATGTAATATAAATATAATTACAATATCATATTATTATTATTAGTATTATATTGCATTACATTACAATATTAATGTAATATTGTAATGTAATATTGTAATGTACATTATATTACATTATTAGAATCGCACAGAAGACAAGGTGGAACTGTCTCCTGGCCCCCTCCCTCTTCACTCTGGCCCAGAGTGGCAGTTGGTGCTGGGGGGAGGGGTCCCCAGCTGATGACATATGCAGGAGACAAGATGGAACTGTCCCCCCTCTCTCTTCACTCTGGCCCAGAGTGGCAGTTGGTGCTGGGGGGAGGGGTCCCCAGCTGATGACATATGCAGGAGACAAGATGGAACTGTCTCCTGGCCCCCTCCCTCTTCACTCTGGCCCAGAGTGGCAGTTGGTGCTGGGGGGAGGGGTCCCCAGCTGATGACATATGCAGGAGACAAGATGGAACTGTCCCCTGGCCCCTCCCTCTTCACTCTGGCCCAGAGTGGCAGTTGGTGCTGGGGGGAGGGGTCCCCAGCTGATGACATATGCAGGAGACAAGATGGAACTGTCTCCTGGCCCCCTCTCTCTTCACTCTGGCCCAGAGTGGCAGTTGGTGCTGGGGGAGGGGTCCTCAACTGATGACATATGCAGGAGACAAGATGGAACTGTCCCCTAGCCCCCTCTCTCTTCACTCTGGCCCAGAGTGGCAGTTGGTGCTGGGGGGGAGGGGTCCCCAACTGATGACATATGCAGGAGACAAGATGGAACTGTCCCCTGGCCCCTCCCTCTTCACTCTGGCCCAGAGTGGCAGTTGGTGCTGGGGGGAGGGGTCCCCAGCTGATGACATATGCAGGAGACAAGATGGAACTGTCTCCTGGCCCCCTCCCTCTTCACTCTGGCCCAGAGTGGCAGTTGGTGCTGGGGGGAGGGGTCCCCAGCTGATGACATATGCAGGAGACAAGATGGAACTGTCTCCTGGCCCCCTCCCTCTTCACTCTGGCCCAGAGTGGCAGTTGGTGCTGGGGGGGGGTCCCCAACTGATGACATATGCAGGAGACAAGATGGAACTGTCCCCTGCCCCCCCCTCTTCACTCTGGCCCAGAGTGGCAGTTGGTGCTGGGGGGAGGGGTCCTCAGCTGATGACATATGCAGGAGACAATGCAGAAGATAAATAAATGGCATATTTATCTATTTTTGAAGAGAGAGGGGGTGCAGAGGACAGTTCCATCTTGTCTCCTGCATACATATTACATAATCAGCTGGGGACCCTTCCCCTCAGCACCAACTGCTGCTCTGGGCCACAGTGAAGAGAGAGGGGGCAGAAGACAGTTCCACCTTGTCTCCTGTGCTATTGATCTTCTTGCAGTCCAAGGCACTCTCAGAATTTTCCTCCAACACCACTGTCCAGTGTTATTATTACTATATATTATTATATTGTATATATTGAGGGGCTCCCGAGTGATGTTGCAGGAGACATGATGGAGCTGTGTCTTCCTGGCTGCCCACTTTAACCTATTTATTTCTTTATGACATTTGTACCCCGCCTTTCCCCAATCAAGGGCCCAAGGCAGCTTACAGACAATAAAACATACCTACAATACAATAAAAAACTTTATTACAGCACAAAGCAGGGCACAAGCTCCCTGGGAAAGGGAAACACAGCCTCCCAGCGAAGCAGTTATTAAAAAACAGATTAGAAAACAGTTTAAAATCACAGTCTAAAAACACAGGTTCATGTAGCAGGTATGGAACTGAGGCGGGGGGGGGGGCTGATAGGAGGGATCAAAACACTTGGGAGAGGGCACTAAAGGGGATGGGAGGGGCACATTACAAGTCTAGTAGCATTTCAGCTGTAATAGGTTGCTCTAACGACATTCCCAACAGAAGTTGCCTTGTGGGGTCGATAATACGAGTTAAGAACAAAACCATAAATATTAGCAAATGCTGTAAAACCCTTGTTAAAAAACCAATGAGATAGATAAAACCACCCTGACAACACCTAATGAAGTTGAATGGCGTTCTTAACCTTTGGATATCATTGTCATTAGTTTTCCCCCCAAAGACTTCCTTAAAAAGGGAGGTTTTTAGGCTCTTCCTGAAAGCCAACTGCAAGGGTGCAGATCTCATCTCTCCTGGGAGGGCATTCCAAAAAGAGGGAGCCACTCCCCCTCTCTAGCAGTCTTTAGGTGAACAATGTCCCGAATGCTTGAGGACACCAACAATTCCCCAAAAGATCTTAACCGTCCCCCAGTGTTTATACAAGAATCTAATCTCATTGGATGTTATAGAATAACAGGAAGTTTATCTACACTGAAGAAATAATAACAACAACAAGAATTAGAATTAATGCATCTGTAACCTCTCTTCTTGCTATAGGTACCCTTGCTGCACACTTGGGGTGATTTAGGGTGCATTTACACTGAAGAATTGATGCAGTTTGGCACCACTTTAATTGCCATAGGTCAGTGCTATGGAATCATCATAACTGTAGTATTACAACTTCTTCAGGTACAGCTACACTGTAGAATTGATGCAGTTTGGCACCACTTTAATTGCTATAGTTCAGTGCTATGGAATCATTGCAGTTGTAGTTTTACAAGTTCTTCAGGTTCATCTACACTGAAGAATATGTGCAGTTTGACACCACTTTAACTTCCATCGTTCAATGGTATGGAATCTTTGGAGTTGTAGTTTAATAAGTTCTTTAGCCCTTTTTGCCAAAAAGTGCTGGTGCCTGACTAAACTCCAACTCTCAGGATTTCATAACATTAAGCAGTGGTAGTCAAAATAGCGTTAAATTGCATTAATTCTACAGTCTAGACACACCCTTTACCACTGTGCCTCAATGCTGTGGTTTTGCGGGATTTGTAGATTGAGGAGGCACCAGTATTTTTTGGCATAGAAGACTAAAAACCTTGTTAAACTACAACTCCCATGATTCCATACCATCGAGTCATGGAAGTTAAAGTGTCAAACTGCATTAATTCTACAGTATAGATGCACCTGAATTCAGTCCAGAGTGCAGTAAGGGATCTTATAGCAAGAAGACAGATTCCATAGGGGCTGACGGTTCTCCTTTTCTAAGCCACCTTTTGTGTTTGGGGGAATGAGAATGGGGTTCCTTCTCAGCTGCCCAAATTGCTTGGTGTGCTGACCAAAACATGTTTATTGTTGTTCCTAACAGATGGGACAAAAACTGCCTGGATTCTGTCTCTGTCAGAAGAAAATAAGAGCAAAGGGGAAAATCCAGAAGGTGGTTCAGATCTGTGTAAGACATCCTCATGCACCCCCCAAGAGGGTGGCCTTGGGGGAACTCAACGGGGGGCCTCCATAAAAGAGCAAGCGGCCTTTTGTAAAGGGAACTCCAAGGAGCCCCAAAGGAGCAGCAAACCCAAATCCTACAAATGCTCCGCCTGTGGGAAAGTTTACCGAAGGAGCACCGATCTTGGGAGGCATCAACGGACTCACACCGGTGAAAGGCCTTACCCGTGCCTGGATTGTGGGAAGAGCTTCAGTCGGAGTTCGATCCTCATCGAACATCGGAGAATCCATACCGGTGAAAAGCCATACGTATGCAGCTATTGTGGGCAAGGCTTCAGCCAAAGCTCCAACCGTAACCAACATGAGAAGATTCATGGGAAGGATAAGATGGGCCATCCAACACATTGGGTACAAGTAAAACAGACAAGCCAGCAAGAAAAAATCCAAGTCCAGGAAAGAACACAGGCAAGCCAGAATGAGAAGGTCCAGGTTCAGGAGAAGCTGGGCGAATCAACACACTGGGGACAGAAAACACGGACAAGCTGGTATGAGAAGATCAAGAGCAAGGAGAAGCTGGGCAAGCAAACCCAGTGGGGGCAAGGTCAGCAGAGGATAGAGGACAATAGCCTTGGCCCTAAAAGCAAGATGAGAACAGAAGAAGGGTTGGAGCTTAACGAAGGATCTGGAAAGGTTTCTCCACCTCCTGAGAAAAGCCCTTTGTGGAGCTCAAAGGTGGTCCTGAAGCACCAGGGAAGTTTCCTCCTTGAAAAGCCCTACAGGTGCCCTCAATGCGGAAAGTGCTTTGCCCGCAGCACGGATTTCATCCGGCACCATATCACCCACACAGGAGAGAAGCCCTACACTTGCACAGAATGCGGCAAGAGTTTTACCCGCACCTCTGTCCTGAATGAACACCAGCGGATCCACACAGGAGAGAGGCCCTACAAGTGTAGGGTCTGTGGGAAGGGCTTCAGCCAGAACTCCAATCGGAACCAACACGAGATGATCCACCAAGTGAAGGAATCAGCCGAGCCATTCCTAAATGGCCGGGAAAATTTGGACTGGGGTGCAGGACTGGTGCAGCAACAGAGAGTTAATCCAAAGAGGGGGAAAACCCGAGACAAGATCAATCGATAGGAGATATTTTATGAAAGTCAAACCTCAAACCAAAAGAGGAAGAGGACTCATGTGGAGATATTTTTTTAAAATGAGAGATACATTTCAGCTGCTGTTACATGTAAACAAAAGTATTCTTGGTGTAGAAATTCCAAGCAAAATGCATTGATGGGATACTATTGCTACTAATAACAGTAAAAAGGAGAAGCAAAATAATTTACTACATTTATAGTTTGATTAAACACATAGTGAACTGTTTGTCTTCTCTGCAACCAAAGACTGGGAAAAGCCACTTTATACAGCCGGGGTGAGAAATATGTAGATCTCCAGATATTGTCAAACTGCAACTCCCAGCATTCCTCACTGTTGTTACCCATGTGTTACATCACACTGCCTCTTAGCCAGGTTGCCTGCAAGTTTTATTTTTCATTCACCAGCCACTCTCCAAATGAGCATTTCATTCACCAGACTAATCCTTCCTAATAGCCAGAGCCAAACTTTTGAAGAAAGCAAGTAGAATTTTGCTAAAAATTGTGTCAACAGCATAACATCAGAATTTAACTTTTCCTGGAAATAGAATGCCTTTGAAACTATGCAGAATGCATTTTCTTACCAGTGGTTAACCACATTCAGATTAAGGGACAGGATCCCCAAACCATAAGATCCAACTTAAGCCCCATTTACATATAATGCTGTTTCAGAATACAGCTTAGCTGCATTATATGGTAGTGTAGACTCATGTAATCTAGTTTGGTGCAGTTAAACTGCATTCTGAATCTGAATGATACGGCAGTGAAGATAGGGCCTTAGGTGTAGCCTGAGGATAAACACTTCCTGTCTCTTGAAACATTTTAAATTAACAAGCTAAATCTATTATATTTATTGTCCTCACTTGGGTAGCAATCTTATTTTCATATAGCTGAAAGCATTCCCATTTAACTTGGTGCGAGTTCTAAAGAAATAAACAGGGAGCTGCACTGTTAGATCTCAATCAAATTGTTAGTCTCCACTCGAGTAGGCTGTTTGAACCAATAGTAAGTCACCTTAACTCGTTGAGTCTGTTCTGTTTGAGACTAGGAACTGGACTGAGGCCATAGTTTAATATTTGGTGTAGAGCAATGCTAAATAAACAACAAGGCACCTAAATTTCACCTTGGCTACTTTTATATTAACTTCTATATTAACCTGATCGGATTGATATCTGTATTTTTCCCCTGTCCCCCTTGGACATGTAACTGCCTGATGGATCCAGGTGAGGGTTTGGTACAGAACTGGCTCAGATGAGTTCTGTTGCACTGCAAAGTCTCCACCTGGGCTACAAAAAAAGTAAATTTGCTGTGGAATGTGTAGATTGGGCTCTGGTGTTTGACGGAGCTCTCCATTCAAGCGTGAAGGTTACCAGGTGTCTGTGGACCAGTCATTCTGGTTCCCAATCAATAAAACCTGCCTCAAAGGCTTGCAGGTATGTAGCTGCAAAGTGGACAAAGTTAGGTTTCTGTCTTCCCTAAAAGGAATTCTGTCCCCCAATACATTTCCTTCACTCTCCAAATTTCTAGCATTGAAGAGAATGAAACAAATGTGCTCACGCCTAGAACTAATATTTACTGTGTTAGTATTTCCTTGGTAACTTTGCCCAGAATAAATGTTCAACAGAGCTTTTATGTTCCTGTAATGCTAGGAATTTGAGGAAAGAGAAAAATTATCATTTTGGGCGGTAATACTCTCATTTTGGGGGTTTGCTGATATTGCTTCCTTTAAAAAAGGGTCAGGTATATAGAGGGTTGTTTTGAGAGGTATATATGTATGTGTGTATACGTATGTATGTACATACAAAGCATGCCTACAATTTGCTTATTGACTTACAGTGACTCCACGAATATTGTAGTTTTCTTAGCCAAGGGCTTTTGTTAGTTTCTTCCTCTGAAATAGAGCATACAGCAAATGGTATTAATTGACAGTCTCCCATCTAAGAACTAACCAGGGTTGCCCCAGCTTAACTTCCAAGGTCAGATAGGATCTGATGCCTTTTAAAATATTTAGGTTTTGTGATGTCCTTCCTCTGAAATGTAGCATAGCCTTTGTTGTTTTTAACTGCCATTAAGTTGACTTGCACTTATTTATTTATTTATTACATTTATATCCCTTTCTCACCCCAAAGGGGACTCAGGGCGACTTACATAAATGGCATTAATTAAACAACAATTCAAAACAACATATGTAAACATTAGGCGACTATTGTGTATAGATCCAAAGACAGATAATCAGATAATCATATCCATCAATCCAAAGCCAATTCCAACTGTATTGCACAGATAATTATGCTGGGCCAAATGCTTGCTCCCAAAGCCAAGTTTTCACTTGTTTGCAAAACGACAGGAGGGAAGGAGGGAGATGTATTTGGACAGGTAAGTTGGACTGGGGCCATTCAGGGCTTTATAAGCCAAAACCAGCACTTTGAATTGGGCTCAGTAGCAAACTGGCATCCAATGGAGCTCATGCAATGGGTTGTGTGCTCCCTGCATGCCTCTCCCATTAGCAATCTGGCTGCTGCATATTGGACTAGTTTAAGCTTCTGGACAGTCTTCAAAGGCAGCCCCACACAGAGCGTGTTGTGGTAGTCTATGAGATTGACCGCCGCATGGACCACGGTGGCCAAGTCTGACTTCCCAAGGTACAGGTGCAACTGGCACACAAATTTTAATTGTGCAAAATCTCCCTTGGCCACCACCAAGATCTCTGGGGTTCCAGGCGCAGAGATGAGCCCAGGAGAACTCCCAAGCTGCAAACCTGTGTCTTCAGGAGAGTAACCCCTTTTTTTTTGATGGTCTCTCCCAACGGCTTCATGTAGATGTTCAACAACATGGGAGATGATTCTGAACCCTGTGGTACCCCACAGGACAATGGCTGTGGGGCTGAGCAGATGTCTCCCAACAAAACCTGGGAATGATCCTTGAGAAATGATTGGAGCCACTGTAGGACAGTGTCCCTGAGCCCCATTACCATGAGGCATCCTAGATACCGTGGTCTATGGTACTGAAGGCTTCTGAAAGGTCCTGGAAAATGAACAGGGACACACTCTCCCTGCATAGATCATCCACCAAGGCTATCTTGGTTCCATGCCCTGGTCTGAAGTCAGACTCCGAGGGATCTAGATAATAACTTACAGCATCCCTATGAATGTTGAGACCTACAAATCATCCTATGATTAATAACCTACTCAGGTCTTGCAGACATGGGCTGTGGTTTCCTTGATTCAGTCTATCCGTCTGGAATCTGGTCTTCCTCTTGTCCTACTGCCATCAGTCAATGGGCAACTTAGTGGCACATACACACAGAAAGACAAGCTTTGGAATGAGTAGCCTGTCAGGTTTGACTGCTTTTCCTTAATACCTTTACTAGGCAAAAGGAGATAAACATCTTCATTGCCTTAAGGAAGGGTTATTAGTGGAAGAGAGTAAAGACATCCTGCCAAATGACATAACAAAAGAGCAATCCTCCCCAGATCCCGTCAATCACTATGATGGGTTGTTGTAGGTTTTTCCGGGCTATATGGCCATGTTCTGGAGGCAATTTTTGCCTCCAGAACATGGCCATATAGCCCGGAAAAACCTACAACAACCCAGTGATTCCAGCCATGAAAGCCTTCGACAATACAAACCACTATGATCCTTGAATAATAAAAATAAGGCATTCAGTCCCAATGGGAGCTGCATTTTGGTGGTCCCAAAGGTGGCCACCATTGCTGGGAATTGTGTTCTTGGTTTGTCTACAATTGCAAGTAGTTTCCACAGCTCACTTGCAAATTGGATGAACCTTACTTAGGCGATCTCTCGTTTTCCGAGGATGATTGTCTTCCTGTATTCTTGTGGGTCCGTATGTGGCTGTGGAACCCTACTCTTGCTCTGCATCTTCTTCCGCAGTGAGGTCATTGGTTTCCAGGTGGAAGGCGGTCTCGGTCGGGGTTGGCTTGACGCGCCTTCCTCTTGGCACGCTTCTCCCTTTTGCCCTCCATTCGTACCTCTTCACATTTTGCAGCACTGCTGGTCACAGCTGACCTCCAGTTGGAGTGGTCAAGGGCCAGGGCTTCCCAGTTCTCAGTGTCTATGCTGGAGTTTTTTGGATGAACCACACTCAGATTAATTGTTCAGGAGAGGGGGATACACAGATGAGGAAGAAATTGCAATATCATAATGCACAAATCAGATGAGCAAAGAATGGATATCCAAAAACTGGATATTGGTCCATTTCCATGGACTGTTGATGATGGGAGTTGTTCAGTATTTGGCAAGCCATGCCATTTCACATCTGTCCTCCACACTCAAGATAATGTGGGATTTTTCTGGCTCTAGGGGCCCTTCCACACAGCCCTTGTTTTCTGCTTCCTTGGAGACTAGGACGCGGAACAATGGCTTCAAACTACAAGAGAGGAGATTCCATCTGAACATGGGGAAGAACTTCCTGACTGTGAGAGCCATTCAGCAATTGAACTCTCTGCCCCAGAGTGTGGTGGAGGCTCCTTCTTTGGAAGCTTTTAAACAGAGGCTGGAATATTTATTTATCGTGTCATCAGCAACCATACCATTGTATTACAATTCTAACAGAGCAAAACAAACACACAGATTAAAAAGAAAAAGAAAAAAACACACAGATTTTGCAAACTTGGTAGTTGGTTAAATGTCCTTTGACCAGTATCTGGCCACTTGGAGTGCCTCTGGTGTTGCCACAAGAAGGTCCTCCATCGTGCATGTGGCAGGGCTCAGGTTGCATTGCAGCAGGTGGTCAGTGGTTTGTTCTTCTCCGCACTCGCATGCCGAGGATTCCACCCTGTAGTCCCATTTCTTAAGATTGGCTCTGCATCTCGTGGTGCCAGAGCGCAGTCTGTTCAGCGCCTTCCAAGTCGCCCAGTCTTCTGAGTGCCCAGGGGGGAGTCTCTCATCTGGTATCACCCATGAATTGAGGTGCTGGGTTTGGGCCTGCCACGTTTGGACTCTCGTTTGCTGGGGTGTTCCAGCGAGTGTCTCTGTAGATCTAAGAAAACTATGTCTTGATTTAAGTCGTTGACGTGCTGGCTGATACCCACACAGGGGAGGTTCTGGGTTTGAGCCTGCCACTTTTGGACTCTCGCTTGCTGGGGTGTTCCATCGAGTGTCTCTGTAGATCTAAGAAAACTATGTCTTGATTTAAGTCGTTGACGTGCTGGCTGATACCCAAACAGGGGATGAGCTGGAGATGTCTCTGCCTTGGTCCTTTCACTATCGCTTGCTGAGGTGTTCCAGTGAGTGCCTCTGTAGATCTTAGAAAACTATTTCTTGATTTAAGTCGTTGACGTGCTGGCTGATACCCAAACAAGAGATGGGCTGGACATGTCTCTGCCTTGGTCCTTTCACTATTGGCTGCCTCTTCCCGGCGGATGTCAGGCTAGACAGGGAGATGTCACTGCCTCGGGTTCTGGGTTTGAGCCTGCCACTTTTGGACTCTCGCTTGCTGGGTTGTTCCAGCGAGTGTCTCTGTAGATCTAAGAAAACTATGTCTTGATTTAAGTCGTTGACGTGCTGGCTGATACCCAAACAGGGGATGAGCTGGAGATGTCTCCAGTGGACTTTCACTTGCTGAGGTGTTCCAGCGAGTGTCTCTGTAGATCTTAGAAAACTATTTATTGATTTAAGTCATTGGCATGCTGGCTGAGACCCAAACAAGGATGGGTTTGAGCCTGCCACTTTTGGACTCTCGCTTGCTGGGGTGTTCCAGCGAGTGTCTCTGTAGATCGTAGAAAACTATGTCTTGATTTAAGTCGTTGACGTGCTGGCTGATACCCAAACAGGGGATGAGCTGGAGATGTCTTGGCTAAAATTCTCACTTGCTGGGGTGTTCCAGCGAGTGTCTCTATAGATCTTAGAAAACTATTTCTTGATTTAAGTCGTTGACGTGCTGGCTGATACCCAAACAAGAGATGAGCTGGAGATGTCTCTGCCTTGGTTACTCTCGCTTGCTGGGGTGTTCCAGCGAGTCTCTGTAGATCTAAGAAAACTATGTCTTGATTTAAGTCGTTGACATGCTGGCTGATACCCAAACAAGAGATGGGCTGGAGATGTCTCCTGCCTTGGATGGCCATCTGTCAGGGGTGCTTTGAATGCAATATTCCTGCTTCTTGGCAGGGGGTTGGACTGGATGGCCCATAAGGTCTCTTCCAACTCTTTGATTCTATGCTTCTATATCCCAGAATATCAAGGCAGAATATCCCACAATATGGGAATTGGGTTATCTGAGTCCACACTGCCATATATTCCAGTTCAAAGCAGATACAGTGGGGTTGATATTCTGGGATATAGGGCTGTGTGGAAGGGCCCTAGAGCAAAAGGTTCAACCAGGAATCAAAAGGGATCTATCTTGGCAGCCCAACCAATGAGAGAAGACAAAGGAGGCGACGCTAGCCAATCCGAAGCCTTGCTTTTTCCTAAGTCCCTCCTTCCAGCCGCCTAACATTCTTTCCCCGCCCCCTATGGGGGTCTCTAAGTCTAGGAAGGGAAGGGAAGCCAGAGCGCAGGCGCAGTAGGAGGAGGAGAAGAGGAGGGAGCGTGCACGCGCGCATGTTGGCTGCCCGGGGCGCGTGCCCAAAGGCATCCCCGGATCTCAAAGCCCCGCCCCTTTTTGCTCCCCATCAGTAGCCAGCAATAACAGCAGGAGGAGGGCAGCCCCTTGCAAGAGGCCTGGGTGAGTCGAGGGAGGGGGAAAGAGGAAAGAGAGCAGGAAGGCGGTCACTCCCTCCTGTTTCAACTTCCTCCCTAGAGTCCCTCCTTTGCCCCCTCCTTTCCAGAAGGGGGACGTGGCGGGGGGGGGGATTGGGGGTTGGAGGGAGGAAGAGCCCCCCCACGTGGGTTGGAGGAGCAGCTGTTGCTTGGCTAGAGAGGGGAAGGGGCCTTCCTGCTCCCACTCTTTGGCCTCTCCTTCCCTTGGCATCATCAAGGGGCATTGCTTAGGCTAATAGGTAAGTATTGGGGACCCCCTGCCCCCCAAAAAGGAGAAAAGGCTTTTATTTGGAAAGTAGCAGGATTCTTCAAATGGGGAGTTTGTTGGGTATGCAATCTGCACACGCTCAGAGGTCGCCATCAAATAGATGAATGTTATTGGAACATAAGAAATGTCAGTTCCTGCTCATCTATGGCTGCCTCTGAGCATGTGCAGAATGGCATGTCCAACAAGTGGATGCATAGAGGCTGTGGAATGAATGGCTGCCTCTGCACATGCTCAGAGGTCATCGTAGATGAATGTTATTGGAACATGGAAAATATCAGTTCCTGCTCATGTAGAACTGCCTCTGAGCATGTGCAGTATGACATGTCCAACAAGTGGATGCAATCAAGGCTGTGGGATGAGTGGCTGCCTCTGCACATGCTCAGAGACAACCATAGATGAATGTTATTGGAACATGAGAAATGTCAGTTCCTGCTCATCTATGGCTGCCTCTGAGCATGTGCAGAATGGCCTGTCCAACAAGTGGATGCAATCAAGGCTGTGGGATGAATGGCTGCCTCTGCACATGCTCAGAGGCCATCATAGATAAATGTTATTGGAACATGAGAAATGTCAGTTCCTGCTCATCTATTGCTGCCTCTGAGCATGTGCAGAATGGCATGTCCAACAAGTGGATGCATAGAGGCTGTGGAATGAATGGCTGCCTCTGCACATGCTCAGAGACAACCATAGATGAATGGAACATGAGAAATGTTATTGGAACATGAGAAATGTCAGTTCCTGCTCATCTAGGACTGCCTCTGAGCATGTGCAGTTGCTATGGCCAACAAGTGGGTGCAATCAAGGCTGTGGAATGAAATTTGCCTCTACACATGCTCAGAGGCAACTGTAGATTAATGTTATTGAAACATGAGAAATGTTAGGTCCTGCTCATCTATGGCTGCCTCTGAGCATGTGCAGAATGACATGTCCAACAAGTGGGTGCAATCAAGGCTGTGGAATGAATGGCTGCCTCTGCACACACTCAGAGGCCATCATAGATGAATGTTATTGGAACATGAAAAATGTCAGTTCTTGCTCATCTAGGAGTGCCTCTGAGCATATGTAGATGGTACGTCCAACAAGTGGTGCATCGAGGCCGTGGAATGAATGCACCTTGGCACCCACTTGAATTAGCTGCCTCTGAACATGTGCAGATGGCATGTCCAACAGGTGGGTGCATCAAAGATGTGGAATGAATGCACCTCAGCATTCATTTGAATTGCTATGGAATCATGGGAGTTGTAGTTTGGTGAGGCCCCAATGCTCTTGGGCAGAGAAGGCAAAAAGACCTTGCAAAACTCCCATGATTCCATCATATTGAGTCATCACAATTTAATGTAGTGCCCAAGTGCATTATTTCTGCTGCCAAGGTCACTCCTCCCCAAACTCTGCCCTTTCAGGTATTTTGAACCTTAACTCCCAGAATCCACTTTCATTGTCCAAAGCAGCTGGGGCTTCTGGGAACTGAAGTCCAAATCTCCTACAGGAACAGAGTTTGGGTATTACTGTTCTAGCTGCACACAGTGGGAAGGATGCATCTACACTGTGGAATTAATGCAGTTTGACACCACTTTAACTGCGATGGCTCAATGCTGTGGAATCATGGGAGATGTAATTGCCCAATCTAAAGCTGTGCATTGCCTCTAATCCAGGATGGATGACGATAAGGAGAGCATGGGAGAAGAGAAGATGAAGGGGATCCCTCTCTCTGCTGCACCAGCTATTACTAGAGATGGAGAGAAGGTGAGTAAGAGGAGATGGGTTTTTTGCTGAGTATCTTCTCCAGATTACTATGGATCTGGCTTTTGTAAACATTGGGTTTTTTCTCATTTCAGAAGCTAGAGGCAGACCGACAACCTGTGAAAGATGAAAGCATCACCTGGGGATCTTCAAGGAGAAAACGACTGAAGTTCAGAGTAAGGAAAGAAGTAGAAGTTGTACAGGACCCCAAGGTGAACCTATAAAAGGATGTTATTTTTGGAGACATTCTTTGTTGAACTTGGAGAGGGAAGGATGTGGCGTAGAAAATGTATATGTGTCTCGTATGTAACCTGACTTTTTGCCATTTTAAAATATTAAAAGTAATTTAAGGCCTGGAGTAGAAAAAAAGGTAAAGGTTTTCCCTGACGTTAAGTCTAGTCGTGCCTGACTCTGGGGGGTTGGTGCTCATCTCCATTTCTAAGCTGAAGAGCCAGAATTTTTTGGTGTGGCTTGTTAGTGCCTGGGGCAATCTTTTGTTGAGAGGTGATTAGCTGTCCCTGATGGTTTCCTCTCTGTTGTTTTGCTGTTGTAATTTTAGAGTTTTTTAATACTGGTAGCCAGATTTTGTTCATTTTCATGGTGTCTTCCTTTGTCCACATGCTTGTGGACAATTTCAACAGAAAGGAAGAGACCACGAAAATGAACAAAATCTGGCTACCAGTATTAAAAAACTCTAAAATTACAACAGCAAAACAGCAGAGAGGAAACAACCAGGCACATCTTAACACCTCTCAACAAAATTTTCCCAGGCTCAGCCAGGCCTTCAAATGCTAATGAAGGTGATCAGTTGAAACATTCACACCTAGCTCTAGCAGAGAAGAGCTCCTTGCCACACCCCAGCCATTCCACAGATATATAAACACATTGTCCCAATTCCAACAGACCTCACTACCTCTGAGGATGCTTGCCATAGATGAGGTGAAACGTCAGGAGAAATGCCTCTAGAACATGGCCCTATAGCCCGAAAAAACCCACAAGAACCTAGTGATTCCAGCCATGAAAGCCTTCGACAATACAGAGAGGAAACAATCAGGGACAGCTAATCATCTCTTAACAAAAGATTCCCCAGGCACTAACAAGCCACACCAAACAACTGCCAGGCCATCAAATGCTAATCAAGGTGTCAGTTGAAACATTCACACCTAGCTCCAACAGACAAGAGTTCTTTGTCCCACCCTGAACTTTCCACAGATATATAAACCAAATTTTCTTAGTTCCAACAGACCTCACAACCTCTGAGGATGTTTGCCATAGATACAGGCGAAACGTCAGGAGAGAATGCCTCTAGAACATGGCCATATAGCCTAAAAAACCTACAACAACCCAGTGATTTTGGCCATGAAAGCCTTCAACAATACATTATGACAATTACCTTTTTGAGATGCAAATCTTTTCTTAGGATTTCTGCTAATCAGAGTGGCTTCTAAATACACAAGGGTAAGAATAGGCAGCTTGGTGCCAGCTTGAGGCTCTGCATAAATTTGTATGGCCAGTAATAAGGACTTGTAGGAATAATGATCCAAAATACTTGGAGGATCAAAGCTTCTTAGTTTTAGTGGGTCATAAAACGTGATGGCTTGATTTCACGGAGGACTCTCACCTCATTTGAAAATAATTGGAGAATAAGAATGATTAGAAACTGAAATCACTTGTATTCCTTTTTTTGCCTTTTCCAGCCAGAGTCTTCATCCTTCAAGAAAGGCTTACCAGTGATAGAGGACAGGAGGGAAGAAAAGCTGGTTATTAGAAGAGTGAAGAAGGAAAAAAATGAAGAAGGGGATCTGGCATTTCAGGTGAAAGTCCGAAAGGTTTCTACAGATGGAGGTTCGGTGAGTGGAGCTGGGAAGAAGAGAAAGCCAGGGATATTTATTCTGGGTTTTGCTCTTCTCTTTTATTGTTGACGGTGTTTCATATACGGTGTATACTCGAGTATACGCCGACCCGAATATAAGCCGAGGCACCTAATTTTATCGCAAAAAAACTGGGAAAACATATTGACTCGATTATAAGCCGAGGGTGGGAAATGCAGCCACTACAGGTACATTTCAAAATAAAAATTGATACCAATAAAATTACATTAATTGAGGCACCAGGAGGTGAAATGTTTTTGAATATTTACATAAAACTGTAATTTGAGATAAGACTGCCCAACTCTGATTAAATCATTATTTTAACCTTCTTCAATATAAATATACTTACACATCTTTCCAACAATAATAAAGAGAATAAAATAATAAATATAATAATAATAACAATAAAGTAAAATAATGGAAATGCAATAACAGTAATAATAGAGCAAAATAATAAATGTAATAATAGAGTAAAATAATAAATGTAATAATAACAATAAAGTAAAATAATGGAAATGCAATAATAACAGTAATAATAGAGCAAAATAATAAATATAATAATAGAGTAAAATAATAAATGCAATAATAATAAAGTATAACAAATGTAATAATAATAATAATAATAATAATAGGGTAAAATACTGTAAATGTAATAATAAAAAAGTAAAATAATACATGAAATAAAATACTAACAACAGAATAAAATAATAAATAACCTTGACTCAAGTTTAAGCCGAGGGGAGCTTTTTCAGCCTAAAAAGGGGGCTGAAAAACTAGGCTTATACTCAAGTATATACAGTATTATAAAGCTGCTCTAGCTTGTGTTATGGTCTTGCAGGGCTCACAACACAAGGAAGAGATGACAATGGAGTCGATGGAACAGAAAGCTCAAGGGCTGGAGATGCAAAAAGTCATCATCCCAGTAAGTGCAAGTTTGGTGGGTATTGACAAAAGCACAGTTATGGATATGTTGGGGAGCCCTCAGAGGGAGAGATGCATGGTACACAAGTTGTTGGGGGTGAGATTCTAGCCATAAAGGGAACATTAAACTGTTTCATATTGGAGTACTACAGGACTGCGAGAAATTGAATATGGAGTGCCCTGGGTCTCCAACTTGTTCAGGGTTTGGTTAATGCTACTGAAAAAAGTATTTTTCCTCTATATTTTTCAGGTTCCATCATTGCTGATTGGGGCTGATTTGGGGGTTGATAGTTTGGAATATACGCGTTGTCCAGCGGCTGAAGGCATAGCAGCATTTTCAAGCATTTCAAAGACTATAACACAGGCATGGGTGAACTTTGGCTCTCTAGGTTGTTAGGAATTGTGGAAGTTGAACTCCAAAGCATCTGGAGGGCCAAAGCCTGTTATAACAGTTGTAAAATGAACAGCTCAGATTCAGACTTTTTGACAAACTGCATCTCCTACTATAGACCAACTCAGACACTGTGGTCATCAGAGGAGGCTCTCATCTCAGTCCCACCCCTGTCCCAAGTATGGCCGGTGGTAATGAGAGTAAGGGCCTTCTTTGTGGCTGACCCCCACCTCTGGAACTTCCTTCCTAAGGAGTCAAAGAAACAGCTGACGATGTACTTTTGCTCACTGGCTCACGAGGAGGAGGAGTTGGTAATATTACCATTATACCTCTGATTAATAGCTACCATCCGTATCCATGCCCTGCTCACCCCATCAGCTCAATAGATATCTTGAGCAATGATTAATCGATTTGCCCCAAAGAAATGGGTAATCAATGTTTCCATTTGATGTTGGATGTTTTGTCTTATGTCTGTGCTTTTTATTTAATTTTAGTTTGTGTTTATGTGTTGGGTTGCTAAATTTCGTTACTATGGGTGTACTGTTGTTGTATTCAGCCATTGAACATTTGCCTTTTATGTTTGGAATTTGCCCTGAGTCCCTTGGGGAGATAGGGCGGAATATGAATAAATTGTTGTTATTGTTGTTGTTATTATTAAAATACTTTATCTGCCCTGGGGAACTTGCTAGATGCACCAGATGATTCTATTACATATTTCCCGTAAAAGTTACTTTAGAGTTCCTTTCTAGGAATTTTTAGGTCCTCCAGTAGAACTCTATCAAATGCTGATACCAAAAGTGATGTAATTTGTTGGTATTTTGTTGTATTTGCGGTTTCGTGTAACCATGGTCCAGCCAGGAATGTTTCCCCCATGGATATGGGGGTCTTATTGCATTTGAACGCTGAATGCTCCCATATTTGTTTTTCACATTCTTTCTGTTCCCACAGCCCCTGCCTTCCTCGTCCCACCCCAACACCTGTGGCGTGTGTGGTAAGAGTTTTAGCCGCCGCTCCAACCTGGCCAAGCACCAGATCATCCACACGGGCGAGAAGCCTTACCGCTGCAATGACTGTGGACGCAGTTTTAACCAGAGCTCTGCGCTCACCAAGCATCAGAGGACACACACTGGGGAGCGGCCCTATGTCTGTGGGGACTGTGGGAAGGCCTTCACTGCTAGCTCCAACCTCCTCCAGCATCGGCGCTTCCACACTGGCGAACGGCCCTATCGCTGCGAACTGTGTGGCAAAGCCTTCTCCCAGAGCTCAAACTACAACCTGCACCGCCGGGGCCACACAGGCGTCACGCCGTACCAGTGCGGGGTGTGTGGCAAGCGCTTCACGGGCAGCTCCTGCCTCACCCGCCACCAGAGGACCCACACTGGGGAGAAGCCGTACCAGTGCCAGGAGTGCGGCAAGCGCTTTTCTGGGAGCTCCACTCTCGCTAACCACCGACGCACCCATACTGGCGAGAAGCCTTATGGCTGTGCGGAATGTGGCAAGCGATTCACGCACCACTCCAACCTGGTGGACCACTGGCGGGTTCACACCGGCGAAAAGCCTTACGTGTGCAGTGAGTGTGGGAAAAGCTTCCGGTTGAGCTCACACATCATCCGACACCGCCGCACTCACGCCAATGCCCGGGCCACCAGCTTGGGCCACGATCTTCTCAACAGCGTCATGGCCAGCTTTGATGAGGCCAACCTCAAGGCGCACCATTTTGGCCTTGGTTACACCAGTGACGGCAGTGCCGATGTCAGCAGTCCCCATGTCGCCAATCACGATGGCCTGTTTGGCGATTCCAGCATCTCCAATGGCAACAACGATACCGATGAGGAAGACAGCGACCGGCTTCTTATCTGCAGTCAGTGTGGCAAAGGTTTCCACCTGGAGTCCGATTCTCAAGAGCGAAGCCAAGAAGACTCAGCAATGGGGGACGGTCCCTATAGTTGTACTGAGTGTGGCAACAGCTGTTGGACGTAACAACTAAGTTTTGGCCACCATCTAAGCTGTCAAACCATTCAGAAAGGAAAGCTGCAGTTTAGGAAGAAAGAGATGTATTGACTGATAAATCAGGAATGGACCCAGATATGGACTGGGAATATATGCTGAGCCCTATCCTTGACTTTGCTTCCACTGTGTTCTTATTTTCTCTCCTTTTGTTTTTGTTTTGAAGGAATAGGGCAAATAATGTCAATGTTTACTTGTAAATTCTACGCAAGATGGGGCTTTGATCAAATTGTGCCCCATGATGGTATTGGGAAAACACTTCCCTACTTTCTGTTCTCATTCTGTTTGTTTTCTTGTTCCTTTCCCACTCCTTCCATCTTGCAGAATAATGGCAACAATAATTGCCCTTCTTTCTTCGTCTTCCTTTCATGGGGAAAAATCAGTTTGATAGTCAAGTCTGTTTCTGAGCCCGAGTGTTATGAAAAATAATGGGCCTAAAAAGGGGCTCTGTATATACCTCTATGTTATTAGCTCCCTCTTCAGGCAGGGAAAAGTGCAACAAAGAGAGAAGGATGTAGATACTATAAGAAGCGGAGAAGGTGGCCTTCTCTTTTGGCTTTCCCCCACGACCCCTTGCCCAAATGTCTGATCTGTCTGTGTCTCTCTTATATATGTCTGTAGAAAGATTATTGGGCCTCACTAGCAAGATTATCCTTATTTTTAAATCCTTCTGCAGCAGGAGAAAATTGAAATTTAGTACACACATGTAATACAGGTTGCTTAATCATTTTTTGAAATGTGGAAAAGCACTTTTAAACATTTTTCTTCCAATATTTGGCAAACGGTCTGCCTTCTAATAGTTACTTTCATTCCAATACTGTGCAAACAATGAACCACATACTTGACACTGCTCCGAGGCAGAGGTTTGTTGGGGCAGCCAGGCGTATATCTACCGTTGTTGAAAACAGGCTGTATGTATTTGAATGCCTATAAAATCTTCATAGCCATTTGTTCTCTGAAGTTTTATTGTCAGGCTCACAGCTTTCTTGACGATGCCAAGGTCTCAGGAAAATAGTGTTTTCTCCACTTCCTCAGTTAAGCTCTTAACAGCCAGTGTGGTTCTAAGGAAGTTCTCTTGTGTATACTTTCTTATTTTTTCCCACCATAACCCTATCTTTTTTAAATGCACTAAAGTAACTCTTTAGTCCCAATGATGCAGCAGGTTAAACCACTGAGCTGCTGAACTTGATTGAAAGGTTGTCAGTTCGAATCCGGGGAGCAGGGTGAGCCTCCGTTGTTAGCCCCAGCTTCTGCCAACATAGCAGTTCGAAAACATGCAAATGTGAGTAGATCAATAGGTACCGCTTTGGCAGGAAGGTAATGGCGCTCCATGCAGTCATGCTGGCCACATGACCTAGGAGATGTCTATGGACAACACTGGCTCTTCGTCTGAGAAATGTAGATTAGCACCACTCCCAACAGTCGGAAATAACTAGACTTAATGTCAGGGGGAAACCTTTACCTTTACTTAAAGTAACTCTAATACATTGTCACAATGAATGCAATTTGCAAACGACTGTATATTTCCTTACCTCTGATCTGTTTCCCCAAACAGCGTTGAGATAGCTATCTCTATAGAACAGGGGTCCTCAAACTTTTTAAGCAGAGGGCCAGGTCACAATCCCTCAAACTGTTTGAGGGCCGGATTATAATTTGAAAAAAAAATATGAATGAATTCCTATACACACTGCACATATATTATTTGTAGTGCAAAAACACTTTAAAACAATACAATATAATCCAATATAATAATAGAATATTATAATTATATATTTTATATTACATGTAATATTACTAATAATATTACAATATAATATTATAGTACAATATAGTAATATATAATACTGATATTGTACTATGCTAATAATATAATATATTGTATATATGTGTGTGTATATATATATATATATATCTCAATAATTAAAATGATGAACAATTTTAACTAATATAAACTTATTAATATTTCAATGAGAAGTGTGGACCTGCTTTTTTGGCTGATGAGATAGCGTTGTTTTGTTGTTGTGTGCTTTCAAGTCATTTCAGACTTAGGTTGATCCTGAACGTGGGCCAGGTAAATGACATTGGAGGGCTGTATCCGGCCCCTGGGCCTTAGTTTGAGGACCCCTGCTATAGAAAGTCCTGAAGCTCCAGTCATTCATCACTGCAGGAATGATAGCGTCTAGGGTCAAATAATACTATCATTTTATTATTAGCATCAGCTAATATTATTTATAAGGTACAGGATGCTTTACAAGGAAAAGACCAAACCAAAAAAAAAAAAACCTCTAGTGCCCTGCTCTTAGCCTTACATTTAAGACATGACACACAAATAAAAGGGGATGGCCATAGGGAGGAAAAGTCCAACAGAAAGTAAGTATATATCCTTAGAATCATAGAGTTGGAAGAGACTTGATGGGCCATCCAGTCCAATCCCCTGCGAAAAAGCAGGAAAATTGAATTGAAAGCACCCCAACAGATGGCCATCCAGCCTCCAAAGAAGGAGCCTCCACCACACTCTGGGGCAGAGTTCCACTGCTGAACGGCTCTCACAGTCAAGAAATTCTTCCTAATGTTCAGGTGGAGTCTCCTTTCTTGTAGTTTGAAGCCATTGTTCTGCGTCCTAGTCTCTAGGGCAGCAGAAAGCAAGCTTTCTCCCTCCTCCCTGTGATTTCCTCTCACGTATTTATACATGGCCATCATGTCTCCTCTCGGACACGACTGGACTTAATGTCAGGGGAAAAGCTTTACCTTTGCATTTATACATTAAGGGGCTCACGAGTGATGTTGTAGGAGACATGATGGAGCTGTGTTTTCCTGGCTGCCCTCTCTTCACTCTAACCTATTTATTGGTCCCGCCTTTCCCCAATCAAGGGCCCAAGGCAGCTTACAGACAATCTTTACCGATATAGGCTTAAGCGCCTATGCCTGTTTTATAGGCCTGGTCAATCCACGGTTCTGAATGGTTCTAAAGTAATTAAAAAACAAAAGTTCTGGTGGTGAAAATTTCAGAACTCTAACAAAACTCTCATTATAAATGGCAGTTCCTTACAGAGAGAGGTCAACCCTCCTGTTCAAGGAGCTCCACTGGCTGCTGTTTATTTTCCGAGCCCAATTTAAGGTGCAGGTGCTTACCTTCAAAGCCCTAAACGGTTTGGGACCACCCTACCTGCGTGACCACATCTCCGTCTATGAACCCACACGTTCACTTCGTTCATCCGGAGAGGCCCTGCTCGTGATCCCGCCTGTGTTGCAGGCGCGCTTGGTGGGGACTCGAGACAGGGCCTTTTCTGTGGTGGCCCCCCGACTCTGGAACACCCTCCCAAAAGATCTTAGACAGGCCCCTACATTGGCAGTCTTTAGAAAGAACTTGAAGACCTGGCTGTTCTGATGTGCCTTCCCAGATTAGGAATCTCCAATACCAAGTCCCAGAAGCACTTTAGTAGGACAAAGATTGCTGCACACCGCACACTTCACTTACCTTATAATCCTACATACCTCCTGCCACATCAGCACTTTTAATCTTGTATCCATTACTCTGACCCGGCCCAGTTTTATAGTGTCTTGATGTATTGTTTATTGCTTGTTGTTTATACTGCTTAACTGTTTTAATTTGCTTTAGGTGTTGTATTGTTGTGTTGTGTTTTGAGGCCTTGGCCTATGTAAGCCGCATCGAGTCCTTCGGGAGATGCTAGCGGGGTACAAATAAAGTTTAATAATAATAATAATAATAAGTTCCTAATGGGTTCTATCATAAAAATCATCAATAATGAAATAATAATTAAATTTTGAATGTTTTGTTAAGAGTTCTGAAATTTTCACCACCAGAACTTTAGTTTTATAAGTACTTTAGAACCATGGTTTGCCCAGGCCTACTGTTTTACATGCTAAACACAGGAGCCCCCGTTGGCGCAGTGTGTTAAACCCCTGTGCCTGCAGGACTGGAGGTTCGAAACCGGGTAGAGTGCGGATGAGCTCCCTCTGTCAGCTCCAGCTCCCCATAGGGTGACATGACAGAAGCCTCCCACAAGTATGGTAAAACATCAAAAACATCTGGGCGTCCCCTGGGGTAACGTCCTTGCAGACAGCCAATCCTCTCACACCAGAAGCGACTTGCCCAAAAAACCCAAAAGAAATGGTAAGCACGCCCCCTGCTCCTGCCTCCTCTCCCTTACTTCCGGTTTTCCAACAACATTCCGCGCGCGCCTCGCCTGCCCCTAGTTGTGTCCGCCCCCTTTCCGCTTCCCTCCCGCTGATTGGCTCCTGCGGCGCTTAAGAATCCCGAGGCGCACCAATGGGAGCGCAGCATCCGCCTTTTCCTCCTTCTCCTTCTCTTCCTGCCATAGAGGTGAAAAGGGGATCAAGTGCTGTTTGGAGGCAGGAAGACCCAGTGCCTCCAAACAGTGGCCTGCCTGCTTTCTCTCTCCTTACCAAGCTTTTCCTTCTCTTCCTCCTTATTCTTATCAGGATGGAAGGCCAGCACATCATGGCCCAGGTCCACATCCAGGCCCCTTTGTCTTCCTCCTCCTCCTCCTCCTCTGTGGCTGGAGAGGAATCCAGGAGGTTGCCCCACCCAGCTCGGGATCGCATGGCTGGTGGCCGTTTGCTGGACAGCCAGAGCTTAGATGGGATCAGCCAGGTCTATGGGGCCTCCAAGGCCCAGGAGGGGAGGAGAGCCACCATCTCCAGCGCCTTGGAGTTGGAAGGCACGGTCAGCCACGACGGGGACCTGACCCACTTCGTGGCCAACAACCTCCAGATGAAGATCAAGATGAGCTCTCGGGGCAGCTTAGAGGACACAGAGACTACCGCCACCACCGCCTCCTCGGCCTCCTCGCAACTCTCCGTCCGGGGCAAGGTGGCCGACATCCCGCCCGTCGACCCGCAGGTGATCCGGGACCTGGAGCGGCTGACCCAGGACGTGGCCCAGAAGGTGGACCAGATGCTGCGGGCCTTGAACGGCTCCATCCAGAACATGACGGCCCTCAGCGTGGGCTACATCCAGACCTACCGGGACGCCGTGGACGGCCTGGGCGAGTCGGTGGACATGAGCATCAAGGGCATGTACACCCTGATGGCCAGGTGCGAGGAGCTGGACCGCTCCATGCAGCCTGTCCACGCCCTCGCCAAGCAGATCCGGGAGATCAAGAGGACCCTGGAGGTCTTTGAGGCCTTGTGCAAGTAGCACCAAAGAGATCTAGGGATCCACCAGACCTCTGGGGACCTTCGAGGCCCTTTGCAAGGTCCTTGGAATCCTTTGAGACACTTTGCAAATAACGCCAAAGAGATCTGGGGGATCCACTGGACCCCTGGGAACCCTTGAGGCCCTTTGCAAGATTCAGAGGGTCCTGGGATCTTTTGCAAGTAGCTCCAAAGAGATCCAGAGGAGAACAGGAATCTTTGAGACCCTTTACAAGTCGCTGCCAAAGAGATCTTGGACATTAAGAGGGCCTCAGATCTCCAAAGCACCTTGCAAGGTTTGTGGGACCTTAGAGATCATTGAGGCATTTTCCAAATAGTGCCAAACAGAACCAAGTAATTCAGAGGGCCTTGGGGATCTTTGAGGCCCTTTGCAAGTAGCAGCCAAAGCGATCCAGGAGATTCGGAGGGCCCTGAAGGTCTTTGAGGTGCTCTGCAAGTAGCAGCCAAAGAGATCCAAGTGATTCAGAGGACCCTGGAGATCTTTGAGGTGCCGTGCAAGTAGCATCTCTTTTGCATGGACTCTTCAGCAGTGGGACATTGTGATTCAGACTCCAAAAGGGAAAGGATGTGTGTGTGGTTTTTTTTTTTTTACTTGCAAGGGCTCCTGAAGAACTTTGAGGCATTGTAAGTTGTGCCAAACAGATCTGGGAGATTCAGAGGATCCTAGAGATCTTTGAGGTGCTTTGCAAGATTCAGAGGGCCAGATAACTTTTGAGGCACTTTGAAAGTTGCACCAAAGAGATCCAGGAGATTCAGAGGAGATCTTTGAGGCCCATTGCTAGATTCAGAGGACTTGGGGATCTTTGAGTACCTGTGCTAATAGCATCAAAGTGATCCAGGGAGATTCAGAGGATCCCGGAGAGTTTTGAGGCCCCTTGCAAGTCATAGCCAAAGAGCTCTGGGATGTTAAAAGGGTCTCGGAGATCTTTGAAGTGCTTTGCAAGATTCAGAGGATTTTGGAGATCTTTGAGGCACTTTGCAAATAGTGCTACACATATCCAAGTGATAAAGAGGGCCCTGGAGATCTTTGAGGCCCTTTGCAAGTACCACCTCTTTTGGATGGACTTGTTCAGTGGTGGGTCTGAGGTGGACATTGTGATCTAGATTCCAAAAGGGAAAGGATACGTGTGTTTTTCTTGCAGAGGGTCCTGAGGTGCTTTGCAAGTTACGCCAAACATCTGGGATATTAAAAGGATCCCAGAGATCTTTGAGATACTGTGCAAGTAGCCTTTCTTTTGCTGATTCAGAGGACCTGGGAGATCTCTGAGACACTCTGCAAGTAGCACCTCTTTCGGGTGGACTCCTTCAGTGGTGGAACTCTGGTGGATACTGATTCCAAAAGGGAAAGGATACATGTGTTTTTCTTGCACTGGCGTAAATAAATTCTGATGATGTTTCTCAAACTCTTGCCCTGTTTATATTTATAGTCAGCCTGTCACATTTGTAGGTTTGACTATTGTGTGTTTGACTAATGTGATGTATTAACAGTACTAGATCTCTTGCCAGTCTAGAAATCTCAATGGAGGCTCACCTATTCAGTGTATCCTTCTGCCACTTTTCCCCATCCGCCTGGATTCTTATCCATGCTCCATAACAGCCTAAAAACACTGAGTCTTTGCTTTTTCTCCTAGTAACAGTCACTCTTACCTTAAGTGAGGTAACTGAAAAAAATTGCAGTCCCATTTCAACACGGATTAATCGTGGAACAGGTATTAATACTGTGCACAAAGTATATTATTATTATTATTATTATTATTATTATTATTATTATTATTATTATTATTACCGGCTGTTAGGAATAGTGGGAGTTGAAGTCCAAAACCCCCTTAAGGCCAAAGTTTTCCCATGCCTGATATAAAGCATGTGGAGTAAAAAAAAAATAAAAAGTGACTCTCCTCAACAGATCCCAGCAATAGTGTTGGCAGCAAAATTTGTTCTGTATTATCATAAAAGTGGACAGATGCGTTTTAACTTCTGGATGAACTAGTTTTCTGGGAAACTTGGTAGCCTATTCACACACCACATCCTGTCTGACCTTGGAAGTATTTACCTTGTGTTTAGGGTTGAAAAAATATTTCCTAACCTTTATTTATTTATTTAAAATCCTGCTTTGCTTACCTTTCTTTGCATTTAAAAATAGTTTAAATAGTGAGTGGGATACAACAAGGTCAGGATTTAGTTGCAGATGGGTGGGAGAGAAAGAAGGGAGCAGTTATAAAGTTAGTGAGCAATATGGAAAGATACTTTTTCAATAGGTTTCAGGGATATCTTTTTGCAAAGGAGTCATATCCTAAAGGCATCAGATTCCAACTGAACTTATCTTGGATGTTAAACATGGCCAGCCATCGGATAGATAGATAGATAGATAGTACATATACACACATTTATATACACACAGCATATGAGCAAGGTTCTAGAGAAGGAGGTGGCCGCCAACTCCAACGTTTCTTGGATGAAACCGATTATCTGGATCCATATCAATCTGGTTTCAGGCCTGGCCACAGGACAGAGACTTCATTGATTGCCTTGGTGGATGATCTAAGAAGAGAACTGGACAGTGTGTCTCTGCTGGTTCTCCTGGACCTCTCAGAGGCTTTCAATACCATTGATCATCGTATCCTTCTGGGTTGTCTCTCCAGGATGGGACTGGGAGGCACTGTCTTGCAGTGTCTGGAGGACCCTACCAAGATGATGGAGTTGGATTCCCTAGTTTGTGGACTGTAGGGTTCGTCAGGGTTCAATTCTGTCCTCCATGGTGTTTAACATTTATATGAAACTGCTGGGAGAGATCATCCAGATTTTTGGAGTTTGGTGTCAAATTTATGCCGACGACATCCAACTCTATTACTCCTTTCCCCCGAAAGCCAAGGATGCCATCATACCCCTAAACCGCTACCTGTCATCAGTGATGGACTGGATGAAAGCTAATAAATTGAAAGTAAATCCAGACAAAACAGAGGTACTCCTGATCGGTCAGAAGGCAGACCAAGGTGTGGGATTACAGCCTGTGTTGGACAGGGTCACACTCCCCCTGAAGACACAGGTCTGCAGTCTGGGGGTGATCCTGGACTCATTGCTGACCCTGGAACCTCAGGTGTCAGCAGTGGCCAAGAGTGCCTTCACACAGCTAAAACTCATGTGCCAGCTGCACCCATACCTCGAGACGCCATATCTTGTCCTGGTAGTCCACGCCTTACTTACTTCATATTTGGACTACTGCAGTGCTTTTTACATGGGGCTGCCTTTGAAGATACTTCCGAAGCTGCAATTAGTTCAGAGATCGGTAGCCAGGCTACTAACTGGAGTGCCATATCGTGAGAGTATAACTCCCATGTTGCTCCAGCTCCACTGGTTGCTGATCTGCTTTCGGGCTAAATACAAAGTGCTTGTCGTTACCTATAAAGCCCCAAACGGTTCAGGCCCAGACTATTTGAAAAACCACCTCTCTACATACAAACCAACATGAGTTCTGCAATCTGCACTACCAAGCCTAGACCTACACTGACTAAATATAGTAATGCAGTTTGAACTGCATTATATGGCAGTGAGATCCAACCAAAAACAGCTATTTTACATTGTGTTGTCATTTTTAAACAGAGAAGCAATACCTTTCATTGCAAGTAATAAAATTTACTTGGGGATGAAGAGGTGATCAGTGTTTACTCTTGCTTTTGGGTGCATCTACACTGAAGAATTTATTTATTTATCATATTAGGAGTGAACCAAACAGTTGTATTTAAAAACAAACAAACAAACCCCACAAACTTTGCAAACTTGACATTCTATTTAATGTCCTTTGACCAGTATCTGGCCACTTGGAGTGCCTCTGGTGTTGCTATAAGAAGGTCCCCCATTGTGCATGTGGCAGGGCTCAGGCTGCATTAAAATATTTGGTCTGTGGTTTGCTCTTCTCCACACTCGCATGTCATGGATTCCACTTTGTAGCCCTATTTCTTAAGGTTGGCTCTGCATCTCGTGGTGCCAGAGCGCAGTCTGTTCAGCGCCTTCCAAGTCGCCCAGTTTTCTGTGTGCCCAGGAGGGAGTCTCTCATTTGGTATTAGCCATTGGTTGAGGTTCTGGGTTTTAGTCTGCCACTTTTGGACTCTCACTTGCTGTGGTGTTTGAGTGAGTTTTAATGAAGTATTAATGCAATTTGACACCACGGTTCAATGCTATGGGGCCCTGGGATTTGTAGTTTGGTGAGTCACCACTACCATTCTGGAGGGGAAGACTAGAGACATTTCAAAACTGCATCTACTATGATTCCATAGCATTGGCCCATGGCTGGCAAAGTGGTATCAAAGTGCACAAATCCTACTGTGTAGATTTTTTTTAAAAATATCTACTATATTTATATACCGCCCCTCTCAGCCCGCAGGTGACTCAGGGTGGTTTACAGTCAGCATCAAAAACATAAAATATGATTAAAACTGTTAATTTAAATATAAAACCAAATAAAACCAATATCAATAAAAACATGTATCAATTAGAGCCTCCTTTTTAAAAGCATTATCCAATAGTGTCATCAATAATAATAATAATAATAATAATAATAATAATAATAATAATAATAACTTTATTTTTATACCCCGCCAATCATCTCCCCTAGGGGACTTGGGGCAGTCTAGTCGTTCTGCCCCCCCCCCCAATGTCTGTTATATTGCATCTGCAAATGCTTGCTCAAAAAGCCAAGTCTTGTCTTTTTTTCGGAATGTTAAAAGGGAAGGGGCTGATCTAATATCCCTAGGGAGGGCGTTCCATAGCCAAGGGGCCACCACTGAGAAGGCTCTGTCTCTCCTCCCCACCAGACGTACTTGTGACGCAGGCGGGATTGAGAGCAGGGCCTCCCCAGACAATCTCAAAGTCCTAGAAGGTTCATTAGGGGAGATGCAYTCAGACAGGTAAGTTGGGCCAGAACCGTTTAGGGCTTTATAGGCTAAAGCCAGCACTTTGAATTATGCCCGGTAGCAGACTGGCAGCCAGTAGAGCTGGCACAGCAGGGGAGTTGTGTGTTCCCTGTTAGCAATCTGGCTGCCATCCCTTGGATCATTTGAAGCTTCAGTCTTCAAAGGCAGCCCCACGTAGAGTGTGTTGCAGTACTCTATACAGGATGTCTAAACCATCAAGATGCAAGCCCATCAAGAATTCAAAATGATCTTGACAGATTAGAGAGATGGGCCAAAACTAACAAAATGAAGTTCAACAGTGACAAATGCAAGATACTCCACTTTGGCAGGAAAAACGAAATGCAAAGATACAGAATGGGGGACGAGGCCTGGCTCGAGAGCAGTCAGTGTGAAAAAGATCTTGGAGTCCTCGTGGACAACAAGTTAAACATGAGCCAACAATGTGATGTGGCGGCAAAAAAAGCCAATGGGATTTTGGCCTGCATCAATAGGAGCATAGTGTCTAGATCTAGGGAAGTCATGCTACCCCTCTATTCTGCTTTGGTTAGACCACACCTGGAATATTGTGTCCAATTCTGGGCACCACAATTCAAGAGAGATATTGACAAGCTGGAATGTGTCCAGAGGAGGGTAACTAAAATGATCAAGGTTCTGGAGAACAAGGCTTATGAGGAGCGGCTTAAGGAGCTGGGCATGTTTAGCCTGAAGAAGAGAAGGCTGAGAGGAGATATGATAGCCATGCATAAATATGTGAGAGGAAGCCACAGGGAGGAGGGAGCAAGCTTGTTTTCTGCTTCCTGGAGACTAGGACGCGAAAAAAAAAAACAAGAAAGGAGATTCCATCTGAACATTAGGAAGAACTTCCTGACTGTGAGAGCTGTTCCGCAGTGGAACTCTCTGCCCCGGAGTGTGGTGGAGGCTCCTTCTTTGGAAGCTTTTAAACAGAGGCTGGATGGCCATCTGTCAGGGGTGATTTGAATGCAATATTCCTGCTTCTGGCAGGGGGTTGGACTGGATGGCCCATGGGGTCTCTTCCAACTCTTTGATTCTATGATTCTATAAGGTGTGTCCCATAACACACACACACACACAAAACCAATCTATAGCCCTAGCTTATTTAGGAAGTGTCATATTTCCAGGGAGAAGGGGCTGCAAATAAAAGGCAACCCTTTGAACTGGAAAATATGGCAGTGTGGCCTCAGATAACCCTGTTCAAAGCAGATATTGTGGGATTTCCTGCCTTGATACTCTGGGTTATATGGCAGGGTCCTCTGACTTGGCTGGGGCTGGGGAAGCGACAGGGTTAACACCGTAGAGTCTGCGCCTAGAAAGGCCTGAGAAGGAAGTCCAGGGGCTCGATGGTGCAGGGACCTCCTTCCTGTGCCAGAGCGGATCTCAGTTGCAACAAGGCACCTTTGCAGCATCCCATGCCCGGGCGGCAGAGGAAAACAAAGCCACAAAGAGGAGGATCAAAGCTGAGTGGCAAGGTAGGGCATTATAAGGAGCATCCTCTCATTGAAGGGAAGGGGATGCAGAAAGGGGTTTGTTTTGCAAAGGCTGGGAGGGAGAGCAGCAACCCAGGCAATTCTTGGAAGAGGAAGGGAGATGGGCTTTGCAAAGGCAGGCAGCCAGATCTATGTGACTATATTCAATATGGGTTGTTGTGAGTTTACCAGGCTGTATGGCCATGTTCCAGAAGCATTCTCTCCTGACGTTTCACCTACATCTATAGTAGGCATCCTCAGAGATTGTGAGGTCTGTTGGAAACTAAGCAAGTGAATTTATATATCTGTGGAATGTCCAGGGTGGGAGAAAAAATTCTTGTCTGCTTGAGATAGGTGTGAATGTTGCAATTGGACATTTAATAGCTTCAAGGTCTGGCTTCTTACTGCCTGGGGGAATCCTTTATTGGAAGGTGATTAGCTGGCCCTGATTTTTCTTGTATCTATATAAATAAAAAAGGAATGTTCGTTTGTGGGATTAACATAACTCAAAAACGACTGGACGAATTGACACCAAATTTAGACACAAATCAGGCCAACGAGTGACCATCACTCATAAAAGCACTCAAAAACACAGCAGAAGGGACTTTAAAAGCCCAAAAACAAAAAAATACATTACAACGTATGTGCAAAACCACATATATACACAAACATACATATATACACAAATATATACACACATATATACACACACAAACACATATACACAGACTGACCCACAGCAATGCGTGGCAGGGGATGGCTAGCATTTAATATATATATTATTGATAGTATCCTTGAGACTCAGCCAAAAAACAAAAAAATACATTACAACGCATGTGCAAAACCACATATATACACATATACCAAATATATACACACATATATATACACACAAACACATATACACAGACTGAGCCACAGCAATGTGTGGCAGGGGATGGCTAGTATTTAATATATATATAATTGATAGTATCCTTGAGACTCGGCATGGCTAACAATACCCTGCTTTGAGTCTCTTTGGAGTAGATCCATGTTCCTTGTATACAATGCAACACTGTAGAGGTGCATCCACACTATAGAACTAGTGCAGTTTGACACTACTTTAAGTGCTATGGCTTCATGCAGTGGAATCCTAGGAGTTGTTACAAGGCCTTTCGTCTTCTCTGCTGAAGTGTGGTTGTATTTGCCCAAACGGCTTTCATGGCATTGAGCCATTAAGTGGTACCAAACTGCATTAATTCAACAGTGTGGATCAGGCCTGAGCAAACATGGTCCCTCCAAGTGTTTTGGACTTCAACTCTCACAATTCCTAACAGTCTCAGGCCCCTTCCTTTCCCCCCTCAGCCGCTTAAGTGGCTGAGGGGGGAAAGGAAGGGGCCTGAGACTGTTAGGAATTGTGGGAGTTGGAGTCCAAAACACCTGGAGGGACCAAGTTTTCCGAGGCCTGCACTAGATGCATCCAAAGACACAGTTGGTCTTTTCAGTTTTAATAGATTACTAGATTCTCGATGTCTATATGCAACCTGGAAAGTATTCATTCTACATCACCAGTCAAGATGGGAGCAGAAAGAGCGAGAGAGAGAACAAATAGATACAGTATAGTCTCGCTTATCCAACTTGAACGGGCCAGTAGAACGGTGGATAAGCAAAAATGTTGGATAATAAGGAGGGATTGATGAAAAGCCTATTAAACACCAAATTACGTTATGAATTTACAAATTAAATACCAAAACATTATGTATAACAACAAATTGACAGAAAAAGCAGTTCAATACATGGGAAACGTTATGTAGTAAGTATTGTATTTACAAATTTAGTACCAAAACATCACTATGTATTGAAACAACTGCAGATCTGGGTGGGAGGCAGACTGTGTTGGATAATCCAGAACACTGGATAATCGAAGGTTGGATAAATGAGACTGTACTGTACATTCCAACTGACATTCAGGAGCCAGGGGGAAGGGAATTCCCTCAGCCTATTCTAAAGCTAACTAATTGTTTTTCATTGAGGACTGCAGGCTTGGGCATTGTGGAGTTGAATTCCAACACTAACTCTATTCACATCATGTTTTTCTCCCCTTCGCAATCAAGGTTAACTAACACTGGTGTGGTTTCCTGTATGGAAAGTGCAAACGAAGCATGCATTCTGGAAGGAGCAACACTAAAAGGTGAGGAATATAACATAAGAGCTGTCAACCAGGGAAGTTCTTGTTTCAAATCTCACCTTATCCACAAACCTTCTAAATCATATTGGCCAGCTGTCATCACATCCTGGCTTTCTATAGATATCCAAAGGAACAAAATATAGGACAAATTACCTGGATTATTAGAATTTAACATAGATATAAAACATTGTTTTAGATTCTAGTAAGAGTTCAGCTATGTTTCATACCTTTCTTTATTGTGGATCTTGTCTCTATCTTAGTTCTTTTAACACAGAATCATTACTATTCCTAATAATTTATTCACAACTGTAGTTTGTGAGATTCCAGAGACCATTCCAGAGATTTGTATAAGCCTTTCATTTAACTTTTTGTTGAACATCTTAGTCAACATTTATTTATAACTGGACAATAACATTTTAATTTTATGGGTATCCTATTTTTAAATAAGGCATAAAGTAATTGATTGCCATTTGCTTTATGTGTGCTTTTTTCTACCCACAATTCTATCACTTTCTTTTGATTAGTGAATTGTGGGTAAATAAGAGTTCTTATATCCAAAGCAGCTTGATTGACATTAGCAAAGTATTATAGATCTATTTCAGAGAAACAAGACCCACTGAATTTGTTATTTTTGTGAGTCCCATACTTGGTGTGTGTGTGTGTGTGTGTGATAATTAATAATAATGACGGGGATGATAATAATAATAATAATACTGTATTTCATCTATTGTAAGATGCATCTTTTCCCTTATATAAACATCTTGAAAAACAGAGTATGTCTTTAGAATTGGAGGTGATGATATATATGTACTTATGTTAGGAAAAACTATCCTAAAATAAAGCAGAGCATCCAAAAACAAACAGGACACAAAAGTTGAGCATTAGCTCATTAGCGAGCAGAGTGTGAAGGGCAGAGTCCAATCTTTAAAAAATCACAAAAGGTTTATTTACAACAATGGTTCCCAACCTGTTGTTCGTGGACCACCAATGGTCCGCAAGAACAAAACTATGGTCTGCGGCCTCACTATTACTACATTGTTGCCTCGAAACCATGTGGCAATGAGAGTGACTGGTTTCGTGAAACCCTCTTATAGTTCTGAAGTAACAGGGATGTCGGGAGGGTAGACCCTGACTACCCACAAAAGATGACTACTACCACATCAGCTCTAGATTATTAGATATGGTTTTCTGTGGGCGAGCAGATGGTGACTACTGGATGGCATATGTCCTGTATCAGAAACTAGAGTGGATGTGGTTTATCCAATGGAATTTTCTGAATCAGCATCCCAAATGACCAAACCAAATCTAAAGTTGACCAAAAACTGATTCACAACCCTTTTGGTACTAATGTTGGAGAGTGGTCTCTGGTCAAAGTATCTCCTGGTCAAAAAAAGGTTGGGAACCACTGGTTTACAATAATAAGAAGTAACCACATTTCTTAATAATCAAGAACTGGGTCTGAGCTCCTTTAACACCCATCTCTTCTAAGGTTTCAAAGAGAGGGAAAAACTCAATAACTACATCTCTCCTGACACACAAGCAGAGAGAGATCTCAAAGCACACAGCACATTATCTCCATACTGAAGTGTAAGAAGGCAGAAGCCAGATTCAAAAAGTCTTGCAGTAGAAAAGTCTCCATTTTAAACAACCAATCAGAATGAGAGCTGAAAGAGAGAAGTAAAAGATACATTCCAAACCCTTAGTCTATACTAAGATAACTAAGCTGTTCCTCGTTGAGGATTTGAGACTTGGGCAGTGTGGGGTTGAATTCCAATAATTTATACATATACATAAATATATTTGTTGTGCATATGCTGTGCTCTGCTCTGAGTCCCCTTTGGGGTGAGAAGGGTGGAATATAAATGTTTTAAATAAATAAATGAATAGATAAATAAAATATAAAGCTTGTTTTGCTGGTTGTGGGACTGAAATTAGTGTGCATCTTAAAATCAATGAAATATGGTAATGATAATGACGACAATGATGACCTATTTATTACTTAGAATAGAGAGTCCAAATGACAACAGTGAAGTAATAAATCTCTGGTGTGATTGTTCTAACAGAAGGCATCAGCATAAAAAAGGAAGATGAGGAAGAGGAAGAAAAACAGCTACCAAGCACACAGACAGCAAACAAAAGGATTGACAGAGTTGCAGAAAACCAATGCCAAATCTCTCCAAAGAAGGAAGTCGTAGCAGAAGATAGATTGCTAGAAAATTCTAATTGTGAAGCCAGCAATGGTGAACTTGTAATTGTGGTGGAACAGGAATCTGTTGACAGTCTTTCAGATAATGACAAGGTGCCCAAAGCCACCATTTGTCCTGACTGTGGGAAAAGCTTTAGTAACAGTTCTCACCTCATCCGGCACCGTCGGGTCCACACCGGTGAGAAACCCTACAAATGTTCCCACTGTGACAAAAGCTATCGCCAGGACTCCCACCTGGTCCAACATATGCGCTCCCACACAGGTGAGAAGCCATACCGGTGTACCCATTGCGGCAAGGGCTTCTCGCAGAGCTCGAACCTCATCATCCACCAGCGGACTCACACGGGTGAGCGCCCCTTCACTTGCCCCGAGTGCGGTCGGAGCTTCAGCCACAGCTCTGACTTAATTCAGCACAAGCGGATCCACACCGGAGAGAAGCCTTACGTTTGCTCCATCTGTGGCAAATGCTTTTCCCAAAGCTCCAAGGTCACCCAACACAAGCGCTTCCACTCGGGGGAACGTCCCTTTTCCTGTGGAGAGTGCAACAAGACTTTCCGCCTCCGTGCTGACCTGGTCCGCCACCTCCGCGCCCACACCGGTGAGCGGCCCTTTGGCTGCCCTGAGTGCGGGAAACACTTTGCTGAGAGCTCCCACCTGATCCGGCACCAAAGGATCCACATGAGTGAGCGACCCTTCCGCTGCCCGGACTGTGGCAAAGGCTTCAACCAGAGCTCCAACCTCCAGCAGCACCAGCGGGTGCACGGAGGGCAGAAGCCCTTCAAGTGTGACAAATGCGGGAAAAGTTTCGGTGTCAGCTCAGCACTGCTGCAACACCAGCGCACCCACACCGGTGAGCGACCTTACTGCTGCAATCAGTGCGGGAAGAGCTTCACCGTCAGTTCCACCTATCACATACACCAGCGCATGCATGCTGGCCAAAAGCCCTACTCGTGCGCCGATTGTGGGAAAAGCTTCGTACGCAGCTCCGCCCTCATTCAGCACCAAGCCACCCACACTGGCGAAAAGCCCTTCCGATGCCCTTTCTGTGGCAGGGGCTTTGGACAGAAATCGGCGCTCTCTCAGCACCGACGGGCCCACATTCGAAGAGGAGAGACAATGGCTTTGGTGGAGGGGTGGGACGGTACCGGCATGGAAAGCATCGTGGACCAGGAGATGGGAGGAGAAGTAGACAACTTGTGGCAAAGCAATGGCCTGGGCATCATGGGGCAAGATTGGCACGCTGATGGGGATGAGAGCATCAGGCAGGACTGGGAGGATGATGGGGATGATGCTGACAGGCCAGAGTGGCAAGATGATGGGGATGAGAGTGGAGGGCAGCGATTGCAGGATGGTATTAAGGGGATTATGAGGCAAGAATGGGAAGAGGGCCCAGATGAAAAGGCGAGGGCACACTGGGAGGATGCGGAGGATGAAGGTGTGGAGCAGGGTTCTCGGGAAGACTCTACGGATGGCATGAGGCTGGAGTGTCATGCGGTTGATGAGGATGGAAAGCTGGAGGAGTGTTTGCCAGAGGGTGATGAAGGTATGAGGTTGGAGTGCCAAGATGACGACGACGAAGATGAACATGTGCAGGAATGTGGCGATCAAAGCATGACAAAAGGGAAATGCCTGGATGGGCGCATGGAAGGGAGGACACGGGCAAAGTTGGAAATGGCCATGGGGGATAATTTCAGGCAGAAGGAAACGAGTGGGACAGCAATGGCCGGACAGTGAAGGCGATAGTGATGGGCATAGTTGGCTGGGAGATGGAGAAGATGGCTTGGAGGAAGAGACAGGATTGGCACGACAAAAGATCTTGTGGAGTTCAAGTGAACCTCTGAATGGGAAAGGGATATCCTGGGAATCATTGGCAGCCAAAACCATTAATTCAAGATGCAGGAGCTAGAAACGGCTCGACTACCTCTTGATGCCAAATAGCCTTGGCCTTCTGCAGCACTTATTGCTGTTTGCAAGATATTGTCAGGGATGCTTTTCCTCATCCCAAAACTTGCATGCCTGGGTTGGGAAGTGCTGAATGGTTGCCTCGTGGATGATGACAGAGATCTCTGTATTGTCTCCAGTCTCGTACCATTTGCTAACCAAGTTAATTCCAAATCGGATGGGTTTTATCCAGACTGTTTTCAACCTTACCATACGTATGTCTATGGTGTGCCATATTCTGTGCTAAACTATCAAGCTCCTCCCCTGAGGTAGGTGCCTTGACATTAATGCAGGCATGGGCAAACTTGGTCCCTTCAGGTGTTTTGGACTCCAACTCCCACCATTCCTAACAGCCTTAGGCCCTTTCCTTTTCCCCCTCAGCCGTTTAAGCGGCAGAGGGGGAAAAGGTAAGGGCCCGAGGCTGTTAGGAATGGTGGGAGTTGAAATCAAAAATACCTGGAGGGCCCAAGTTTGCCCATGCCTGCATTAACACCTGGTTGCCACACCTTGGTCTGAAAGCTTTGAAACCGTCGGCAAAAATTGTGCTTTGTGAACAAACCCCATTAATATCATATTTTATTTTTACACTTATTTAGGAGCCCGGATGAATCTGGGAACATGTGTAAAACAACAGTATTGAAACTAGAAGAGCTTTTTGAACTTTTTATTGCATGCACCAGACCCTTTCCCCTCCACCCCCCAACTGTAGTTATTTTTGTAACATTGGGATTTCCTGCATTTATCTACATCTCCTTCTTAAGAAGTAATAAAAGCTCTTTTTGATTCTATTCAAGTGTCCTCTAACTTGAATTTTGATCTACGGTAACTTTGAGGCCAGAGTTAAATGTGTTTTGAATTGGTTTCTAGACTTATTTACTAGCCGTTCCGTGCCACGCATTGCTGTAGCCCACATGGGGGTTCTGTGTGGGAGGTTTGCCCCAATTCTATCGTTGGTGGGGTTCAGAATGCTCTGTGATTGTAGGTGAACTATAAATCCCAGCAAGTACAACTCCCCAATGTCAAGATTCTATTTTCCCCAAACTCCACCAGTGTTCACATTTGGGCATATTGAGTATTCGTGTAGAGTTTGGTCCAGATCCATCATTGTTAGTCTGCAGTCATCTTTGGATGTGGGTGAACTACAACTCCAAAACCAAAGGACACTACCCACCAAACCCTTCCAGTATTTTCTGTTGGTCATGAGAGAACTGTGTGCCAAGTTTGGTTCCATTCCATCGTTGGTGGGGTTCAGAATGTTCTTTGATTGTAGGTGAACTATAAATCCCAGCAACTACAACTCCCAAATGACAAAATCTTTTTTTTTAGTGAAGGACATACATTGGGTTGTTAGGTGTCTTGTGTCCAAATTTGGTGTCCATTTGTCCAGTGGTTTTTGAGTTCTGTTAATCCCACAAACGAACATTACATTTTTATTTATATAGATTTAGCCAGGAGTGACTTGAGGAACTGCAAGTTGCTTCTGGTGTGAGAGAATTGGCCATCTGCAAGAATGTTGCCCAGAGGACACCTGGATGTTTTGATGTTTTACCATCCTTGTGGGAGGCTTCTCTTATGTCCCTATATGGGGAGCTGGAGCTGACAGAGGGAGCTCATCCGAGCTGTCCCTGGATTGGTTTTCAGTCCTGCTGGCACAAGGATTGAACCCATTATGCCACTAGAGGTTCCTAGTTCCAAGATCAGATGGGCACACCAGCATGATGTAGTGGTTTGAACACTGGACTATGACTCTGGAAACTTAGGTTCAAACCCTTATTTGGTTCTGGAAACCCACTGGGTCTCTTAGGACAAAACACATTCTCTCAGCCTCAGAGGAAAGCTGTTAGGAATTTGGGAGTTGAAGTCCAAAACACCTGGAGGGCCAAAGTTTGCCCATGCCTGCTTTGGAGCTTCTTCTATGGTCCTTTCTCCGCCAATCAATGATCAAGGGTGGAAACAGGGAGGCTGAGCTGAGTTTTCTGGATCTCTATGAGTGTTTCCATAGAATCATAAAAGAGTTGGAAGAGACCACAAGTGCCATCCTGTCCAACCCATCCAATTTGGTTGCAAAGTGGAAGTTGCTCTCTTATATACATTCTTATTTATAATGTGCAAATGAACCTAATGAAACACATAACCATATCTATACAAATAATTTGCCAATTTGTCATTGAGCAACAAGGATACTTGTCCATAAGAATGCCATCCTTGTTTCTGATCGCTTCATCCTGAGCAATGCCACAACTTACACGGATGGTATTTTTAAATGCCAGAAATAACCACAGTCATACAGTTTCCATTTTCCACAGTATGTGCAGACAGTAAAAGTGAAATATTCCTCTTTCCTGAAAAAATAATAATCCAAGTATCAGGATTCCAGTCCAAGGGGCTGATTTGGTCATTTGGCCTCGGCATCTCCATTCAGTGGCTCTGCCAAGGCATCCGCTTCTTTTTCTTTGTCACTCTCTGCATCGTTTTCTGGTTTGGCTTCTTTCTCTGTACCTTCCTCGACGTTGTCTTTGGGTTGTAGCGCGTTCTCATTTTCTTCCAGACCATCACCCATCTTTGCCTTATAATTACGCTTAAAGAACCCACACTGGAGGGAAAAAAAGAAGGGAAAACTATTAGCAATGTAGAAGTAATAGAGACAGTTTGGACATGGGAAAGTCAGCTGCAGATCCAAATTTGAAATGAATAAAATGTCCTCGGGAAACAAATCGCCTCTCACAACTTAACCCATATTTCTTTGCTTTTCTCATTAGAAGTAGAGCATGCCATACAATTAACAGAGCCATGGATTTTTCAATAAATCAGTCTAAATTTTGTAACAAAAATCCCTGAGCACCTCAGCTCCTCATAATAATTAATGTCACTTCACTCAGACTTACCTTGTAAAGTAGTACAATGATGAGGATGAGCAAGAACAAGCCTCCTACTCCACTGCCTATTATAATAGGAAGATAATTCATCTCAAAAATCACCTCCAGTTCGGTATCCTGTAGGCATGTGCAAAGGAAGGAAGTGTAGGGAAAGAGGAAGAAGCAACACAGATCATAACCAAAGATATTGGATGCCATATGAGACAAACAGCCTGATTCTGAATCAGGAACATTATATTTGTATTATCACTCAAGCCTGGGATCCTTGCCCAATGGCATATTATTCTCTGTTACAGGCCTATCTTATCTGCTACCCCTTTTCAAATAAATGTGATTTCTATCATACACTGAATATACTTGTTTCTTCTAAAGCAGAAGTACAAATATCAGATTTATTTATTTATTTCCTATATGTTTACCCTGCTCTTCTCACCCCGAAGGGAACTCAGAGCAACTTACAGTTTAGCCATTTCAGTGGCACATTGCAAATATATAGTGTATAATATATATTACATTAAAAATAACTAATAAACATATAAAAACAATAAATGATTAAAAACTGTTAAAACCACATCCCTAAATCTTCATGCTGCAGCATTCATATCAATTCTATATCAATTCTCTGAATGTCTGGTCCCAAAGCCAGGTCTTAATTATTTTCCTAAAACCCAGGGGGGGATCTAATGTTATTGGGGAAAGAGTTCCACAGTTTACAGGCCACCACTGAAAAGTCCCTGTCTCTCATGCCCACATTTGTGCTTGCGAAGGGAATGGGACCGAGAGCAGGGCCTCTCCGGCAGATCTCAATGCTCTAACTAGTTTATAGGGAGAGATAAGTTCAGACAGGGAAGTTGGGCCAAAACTGTTTAGGTAGTGGTTCTCAACCTGTGGGTCCCCCGGTGTTTTGCCCTACAATTCCTAGAAAACCCAACCAGTTTACCAGTTGTTAGGATTTCTGGGAGTTGAAGGCCAAACTATCTGGGGGCCCAAAGGTTGAGAACCACTGGTTTAGGGCTTTATAGACTAAAGCCACCACTTTTGAATTGTGCTCGGTAGCAGACTGGCAGCCAGTGGAGCTGATGTAATGGGGATTGTATGCTCCCTATAATTTGCTCCAGTTTGCAAACTGTTTCTTGGAGCTTCCAGGCAGTCTTCAAAGGCAGCCCCAAGTAGATCACGTTGCAGTAGTCTATTTGAGATGTAACAAGAGTGTGGATGACTGTGGCCAAGTGTGGCTTCTCAAGATATGGATGCAGCTGGCGCACAAGTTTTAGTTGTGTTAAAGCTCCCCTGGCCACCACCGAAACTTGGGGTTCCAGGCTCAGCAATGAGTCCAGGATCACTTCCAAACTGAGAATCTGTGACTTCAGGGGGACTGTAACCCCATCCAGCACAGGCTGTAACTCTATACCCTGTTCGGCTTTTCAACAGACCAGGAGTACCTCTGTCTTTTCTGGATTCAATTTCAATTCGTTCGTCCTCACCCAGATCATCACAGCTGCCAAGCATCGGTTCAGCACTTGGACAGCGCCCTTAGCAGTAGGTGGAAAGGAGTGATAGAGTTGGATGTCATCTGTGTACAGAAGGCATCAAACTCCAAAAATCCGGATGAGCCCCTTCTGGGATTTAATGAAGATGTTAAGCAACATGGGGGACAATACTGAACCCTGCGGGACCCCACAGGTCAAAGGCAGTGGGGGCCAAACAGGTGTCCTCCAATAACACCTTCTGAGACTGACCATCTAGAAAGAACCAGAGCCACTGTAAGAAAGTGCCTCCAAGTCCTATTTTTGTGAGGCATTTCAGAAGGATACCATAGTCTAGGGCAGGGATCCTCAAACTAAGACCCGGGGGCCGGATACAGCCCTCCAAGGTCATTTACCCGGCCCTCGCTCAGGGTCAAACTAAGTCTGAAATGACTTGAAAGCACACAATAACAACAACAACAACAATCTTATCTCATCAGTCAAAAGCAGACCCACACTTCCCATTGAAATACTAATAAGTTTATATTTGTTTAAAATTTTTCTCCATTTTAATTATTGTATTGTTTTAAAGTGTTATTTTTTGCACTACAAATAAGATATGTGCAGTGTGCATAGCAATTCATTCATGCTTTTTGCAAATTGCAATCCGGCCCTCCAACAGTTTGAGGGACTGTGATCTGGCCCTCTGTTTAAAAAGTTTGAGGACCCCTGGTATAGGGTATCAAAAGTTATTGCGAGGTCCAAGAGAACCAACAGGGACACATAGATGATGAAGAACGATAGCCAAAGCAAAATGCCACAATAAATCTATATAAATAAAAATGTAGTGTTTGTTTGTGGGATTAACGTAACTCAAAAACCATTGGACGAATTGACAACAAATTTGGAAACAAGACACGTATCAGACCAACAAGTGACCATCACTGATAAAAACACCGAAAGACATAGTGGAAGGGACTTAAAAAGCCAAAAAATAAAAAAAATACATTAAAACATATGCACAAAACCATACACACACACAAGCACACACACACATACATATACACAAATATATACACACAGATATACACACACAAAACACATATACATAGACTGGGCCACAGCAACGCGTGGCAGGGGATAGCTAGTTGTAACATAAAATTGGACACACTTTCAGAGAAGGCAACCAATAACTGCTGCATGTTGCTGTTACCTGTCTTCACATCAACCCTGACTTACAGTGACCCAGTTTGAGACGGTTCCCATTCATTCTCTATTGTTCTCTATTTGAAGTTGTTTTGAAAATGTTCCAGTTGTTTTCTCCTCATGCTATATTCCCCCTTTGTTCTTGTCTTGCTTCATTTCCATATAGTTCAAATTGCAAATGGAGTTTGCATTCAATTAATTCATCAGGGGGAACAGAAGGGGGGATTCTAGCCCTTCCCAGCAATCTCAGGCAAAAGCAAACTGCTGCAGTCTCTCCTAGCTTGTCTGTTCATCTTGTGTCATATTGACCAATTAGTGATGTTTTTCATGTGTGAAATATTGGAATGTATGTCACATCAGCATCAGAACTAGGACAATTTAGTGAAAAGGCAGAAAGTTGAATAGTTGAGAAGAGTATTTAATTCAGGCATGGGCAAACAGCCGGTAGGCTGTTAGGAATTGTGGGAGTTGGAGTCCAAAACACCTGGAGGTCCAAAGTTTGCCCATGCCTGATTTAACTGGTTCAGTTTAAGAGGGAAATGTAATCTATTTGTCCATCTAATAATTCAACCCTCATAATAATTCATTAATTCTGATTGTCCAAAAAATAAATAAAGCAGATGTTGACCCAAGTACAGATATTTCCCATTGTTCTGTAACTTATTCCAGACTATTGCAAACTATAGTTTTGAGAACCTTTCCCCTAAAACAAACAGCTTTAAATGAATCATGTTTTGATGGAAAGTATTAAATGAATTAAAGTTCTAAAAATACAAGCACAATAAGGAAGTAACATTGGACTTTACTACCTGACACTGGGCAAATTCTTGACCGTAGAAGTTCACATATCTTGAGGTATTAAACATTAACCATAATGCGGTGCAAAACTTTGACGGAAGAAAATGCTAATAAAGATAGAAAAATGGACAGTGAGTTTCTAGTCATAACAAACATCATAATTCAGATGCAGGAAATCCTAACTTATATTTAAAACAATTGGCAATTGGATAACTGGCAGGACTGAAGACTGACAGATTTCTGGTTTGAATCCAGGGAGAATGTGGATGAGCTCCCTCTGTCAGCTCCATCTCCCCATGCAAGGACATGAGAGAAGCCTCCCACAAGGATGGCAAAACATCAGAACATCCAGGTGTCCTCTGGGCAATGTCTTTGCAGACAGCCAATTCTCTCACAGCAGAAGTGACTTGCAGTTTCACAAGTTGCTCCAAACACGAAAAAAAATTGGATAGCTACCTAGAAGTTGCTGAACTACAACTCCCATCAGTTATTTCCAGCAGTGAATGGACCATACAACTCTTACCCTTTATTTAAAACAAGCAGTTTGTGCTAAACGCACATCTCTGCAGCACCAAACATGTACCACTCTCTTTGTGATTGTCTGAGCTTTTGTGCATTAATAGCTCTCCTCATAGGTCTGCAAACATGTTGGTACAGATTTAAAACATCAGAGCATGATCAACACATCTGGTACGAATAGAGAACATCTGCTATGTCATTCCTCTTGTTTATGTTCAATATAATTGAGGTTAAATCTAATATTGACCCAAACTAGAGTGGACTCTGGGATTTATAACTAAGGCCGGTTCTACTCCAAGCATAAAATGCAGTTTGAACTGCATCCAAATCTGGGCACCAGAACTGAAGGGAGATGTTGACAAGCTGGAATGCATCCAGAGGAGGGCAACTAAAATGATCAGGGGTCTGGAGAACAAGCCCTATGAGGAGTGGCTTAAAAAGCTGAGCATGTTTAGCCTTCAGAAGAGAAGGTTGAGAGGAGACCTGATAGCCATGTATAAATATGTGAGGGTAAGTCATAGGGAAGAGGGAGTGAGCTTGTTTTTTGCTACCCTGGAGACTAGGATGCAATGGAATAATGGCTTCAAACTACAAGGAAGGAGATTACATCTGAACATTAGGCAAAACTTCCTGACTATGAGAGTTGTTCAGCAGTGGAACTCTCTGCTCCAGTGTAGTGGAGGCTCCTTCTATGGAGGCTTTTAAGCAGAGGCTAGATGGCCATCTGTCAGGGGTGCTTTGAATGCAATTTTCCTGCTTCTTGGCAGGAGGTTGGACTGGATGGCCCACGAGGTCTATTCCAACTCTATGATTCTATGAACTACCTTGAACTGCATTATATGGTCAGGGTAGAACCAGCTTAACTTAGGTCCCTTCTACACAGCCCTATATCCCAGAACATTAAGACAGAAAATCCCACATTATCTGAGTGTGGACTCAGATAACCCAGTTCAAAGCAGATATTGTGGGATTTTCTGCCTTGATATTCTGGGATATAGGGCTGTGTGAAAGGGCCCTAGATCTCCATTCATTTCTGGTCGGACTTCTACTAGATTAAATTATATACATCTAAAAATGGAGACATGATGGAGCTCAGCAACAGAGCGTATATTGTACATGTGATGTAGGGCCTGGTTGTTTCCAGAATCTCAGGGACCTTCCACACAGCCCTATATCCCAGAATATCAAGGCAGAAAATCCCACAATATGTACTTTGAACTGAGTTATCTGAGTCCAACTCCGATAATGTGGGATTTCCTGCCTCGATATTCTGGGATATAGGGCTGTGTGGAAGGGCCCTCAGATAAGAAGATCTCTGTCTGAAACCCTAAGATTGGCCCCCAAATAGAATTATAGAGTTGGAAGAGACCTTGTGGGCCACCCAGTCCAGCCCCATTCTGCCAAGAAGCAGGACAATCACGTTCAAAGCACACCCAACAGATGGCCATTCAGCCTCTATTTAAAAGCCTCCATAGAAGGAACCTCCATCACACTCTGAGGCAGAGAGAGTTCCACTGCTGAACAGTTCTCACAGGTAGGAAGTTCTTCCTAATGTTCAGGTGGAATCTTCTTTGTTGTGGTTTGAAGCCATTGTTCCACATCCTAATCTCCAGGGCAGCAGAAAACAAGCATGCTCCCTCCTACCTATGACTTTCACTCACATATTTATACAAGGCTATCATGTCTCCTCTCAGTCTTTTATTTTGCAGGCTAAACATGCCCAGGTCTTTAAGCTGTTCCTCATAGAGCTTGTTCTCTAGACCACTGATCATTTTAGTTGCCCTCCTCTGGACACATTCAAGCTTGTCAACATCTCCCTTCAATTACATACCCAGAATTGGACACAGAGTGATTCCAAGTGTGGTCCAACCTAGGCAGAATAGAGGGGTAGAATGATTTCCCTGGATCTAGATACTAGACTCCTATTGATGCAGGCCAAAATCCCAGTGGCTTTTTAGCTGTAGCATCACATTGTTGGCTCATGTGTAACTTGTTGTTCACAAGGACTCCAAGATCTTTTTCACATATACTGCTGTTGAGCCAGAAGTCCCCCAACAAGTATAAATAATACTGAATAAGGCTTCACTTGGGATAAATAGTAATATCCTTCATTAATTAAATTGGAGCAATTCCAATTTAATTTTGTGCCACAGTTGAAATGTTCTTGCACCTCCACAATGCTGAGTTTGTTTAAATCACTGGCAACAATTCCAGCTCATAACATCACAGAAACTTAAAAGGTGAAGAAGGACTGAATATTTTTGCAAAGCACTGGAAATAATGGGATGCATGAAATGGGGGAAAGTTCCCATTCTCCCAAGTGTCAATTCTACACAATTGCTTGGTTGCAAGGAGGACCTGTTGCATGTTGTTCTTTCAGAACTATTCAGGAGCGTTTACCTCAATGTTGCTTTTCACATGCATCACCCCAGTAACATTGATTACAGAGGAATTTATCTGTCCAAGATCACACCGATAGATGCGATATTCGCCAACTTCACATTTCTAGGAAGGAAACAGAACAGTTTTATGAAAGGGAACATTCACATATAAGACATCTTTGTGGCATCTCTACAAGCTTCTACCCAGATGCCCATTTGTTTTAATATCAGAATAGTCTAGCGGTTTGTTGTGTTATCGAAGGCTTTCATGGCCGAAATCACTGGGTTGCTGTGAGTGTTCCAGGTGGTATGGCCATGTTCCAGAAGCATTTTCTCCTGACATTTTGCCCAGAGGGGTTGTGAGGTCTGTCAGAAACTAGGCAAGTGGGTTTATATATCTGTGGAATGTCCAAGGTGGGATATAAATAGGATAAATAAATAAAAAATAAAAATAAAATCTCTTGTCTGTTGGAGGCAAGTGTGAATGTTGCAATTGGCCAGCTTGATTAGCATTGAATAGACTGGCAGATTCAAAGCCTGGATGCTTCCTGCTAATCAAGTTGGCCAATTGCAACATTCACATTTGCCTCCAACAAACAAGAGTTCTTTCTCCCACTCTGGACATTCCACAGACATATAAGCCTCACCTGCCTAGTTTCCAATTGACCTCACGACCTCTGAGGATGCCTGCCATCGATGTGGGCAAAACATATGGAGAGAATAATAATAATAACAACAACAACAACAAATGCCATCAAAGCCAAAATTTAAAAGTCGACGACAGATCCCAAGGGTAGACTCTGCAAGGAAGCAGATGAAACAATAGATCACATCCTCAGCTGCTGCAAGAAGATAGCACAGACAGACTACAAGCAGAGGCATAACACCGTTGTTCAGATGATTAACTGGAACTTGTGCCACAAAGACCATCTACCTGCAACAAAGAACTGTTGGGATCACAAGCCTGAAAAAGTTACAGAAAATGAACATGTCAAACTACCCTGGGACTTCTGGATTCAGACAGACCGAGTTTTGGAGCACAGTACTCCTGACCTCACGATCATGTTAAAAATCCAAGTATGGATTGTCGATGTTGCAATCCCAGGTGACAGCAGGATTGAAGACAAACAACTGGAAAAGCTGACACGATATGAGGATTTAAAGATTGAACTGCAAAGACTCTGGCATAAGCCAGTCAAGGTGGTCCCAGTGGTGATTGGCACACTGGGTGCAGTGCCTAAAGACCTTGGCCTGCACTTAAACACAATCGGCGCTGACAAAATTATCATCTGCCAGCTGCAGAAAGCCACCTTACTGGGATCTGCAAGCATTATTCGCCGATAAATCACACAGTCCTAGACACTTGAGAAGTGTCCAATGTGTGATCCACTACAACAACCAGCATAGTGATCTTGTTTGCTGTGGACTCATCTTGTTGTGTTTCAAATAATAATAATAATAATAATAATAATAATAATAATAATAATAATAAATCTTTATTTATAACCCCCTTTTCTCCCTAAACAGGACCCAAAGCAGTTTACAACATTATATAAGAGACCATAGAAAACAATATGTATATGTAAAACAATAACGCATAAAAACAAATTTGCAATAAACAAACATCTTTTAAAACTGGGTTGTTGTTGGTTTTTCTGGACGATATGGTCATGTTCTAGAGGCATTCTCTCCTGACGTTTCACCTGCATCTATGGCAAGCATCCTCAGAGGCAAAACGTCAGGAGAGAATGCCTCTAGAACAGTGGTTCTCAACCTTGGGTCCCCAGATGTTTTTGGCCTTCAACTCCCAGAAATCCTAACAGCTAGTAAACTGGCTGGGATTTCTGGGAGTTGTAGGCCAAAAACATCTGGGGACCCCAGGTTGAGAACCACTGCTCTAGAACATGGCCATACAGCCCGAAAAAACCTACAACAACCCAGTGATTCCGGCCATGAAAGCCTTCGACAATACATATTTTAAAACATTTGTCTAATACAATTATTGCAGGAAACTTAACAAGATAGATGGCAAACATTAGCATGACTCAATAAAAGTTAGTCTTCCCAGATCTATACTCCTCTCATCATTCAGAGAGTGGCATATACAGTACAGAATGCTTCTGGAGCATGGCTATACCGCCCAGAAAACTCACAGTAACCCAGTCTAGCAGTTCTTAAACTCATTCACTGTCTCTATCTCTCATAGTCTCACTCACTTTCTCTCACATACAAATCCATTCTTTGTCTTCCTTAAAAGTCAATAAATTAATAAAACACATAATATAATTCTCCTCTATACTCCTGCTTCCATTTCCCTCCCTTCCCTGTCTTATCTCCCTTGTACTAAATTGCAGGTTGATATGAGATTGATATACGGAAGAGATAAGAATGATTTAATTAAGTATTACATTAGCAACAGAATTTGACATATGAGTCTTATTTGTTTTGTTTTTTTACAACTCTCATACTGAGATAATTTACCATATCAATCCATTCAGAAGGACTACTTGCACTTCTCTCCATTAGAATGGGTTGACAAAACACCGAGGGATCCTAGAAAGAGAACAATCTGTCAGGGCATGTAAAAAAAACAGTTGGTGAGCGTGTTAACTGAAAATACGAAGCTGATTGGTTGGGCTATGCAGGGAGACTAGCTGAGCCTGGGAATTTTGGCAACAGTTACATTTAGGCTTGAGCTGTGCAAGAGCTTATACAGAGAGACAGTTTTGAGTTCTTGCTTCATGACCTCCCACACGGACACCTAAAGACCATTGGAATTTCAAAGGACAATGTGTGAGTCAATGCAACTGTTCACGTGACTATATAAATGTTGCTCTGCATTACAAAGAAGACTTTCAGAGGGAAAGGGAAACTAAGATGGAAAGGAGGAGGGAGAACAGGGGAGCGAGAGAGTATAGGGAATAGATAGATAGATAGATAGACAGACAGACAGACAGACAGACAGACAGACAGATAGATAGATGTGTACTCCTGTTTGCTAGGAAAACTGAATCATTATGTCATTTGTCACCAACATGAAATATTTGGAAAACTTTTAGTTGTATGAGCATTTCAGTGGATCTTCACATATCCTAATTTAGCACTAGAGGGTGCTGAGTTTCCACCTTGTATTTTCAGTTGCAAGTCCCATACTCACAGTCTGGACACCTTCCACCTCCCAAGTCAGCCCATCAGGAGACTTGGTTGGCACCTTCACAAACACTGATACTTCAGGAGGTGGGAAAGTGCCCATGGGCCAGTTTGTTACCTAGAATGGAAGGAAAAGGATTTTTTTAAAAACAGACTCAGGAAAGAAAGCTTAACAAGCTGCAACTCGAAAGACCAGAGGCCACGAAATTGGAACCTGAAGCAGGCAGGCACAAGGTACTCCTGATGTTCAAGTCAGACTTTTAGTCTCTCGCTCTAGCTCATTACAGTCTCCTCTGATCATCAGATACGGAGTCTACAGCTAATTATTTATACTTGAATTAATCATACCAGCTGGAACAGTGAGGGTAGAGGTGGATCAACCCTGGATATAGGGCAGGAGAGTTGTAACCTTAAGCTTCCACTATGGTCTCAATGGAACTTTGTTTTTATCATGTCAGAAGCAACTTGAGAAACTGCAAGTCGCTTCTGGTGTGACAGAATTGGTTGTCTGCAGAGATGTTGCCCTGGGGACGCCAGGATGTGTTACCATCCTGTGGGAGGCTTCTCTTATGTTCACGCATGGGAAACTGGAGCTGACAGACAGGAGCTTACCCTATCTCATGGATTTGAACCGCCGACCTTCAGGTCAGCAGTTCAGCCGGCACAAGTAAAGTAAAGACTTTCTGTATATATTTCAGATTTCAATATTAATGTCAAAAATACGTAGTATGATTTGACATAGGAGCCCAAAGTACCATTTCCAAAGACAAATGTTTTGTAAATATTAGGAGCATGGAAGCCCTGTTATAGCTAGATCATGGCAAGGGGAAAAGAGTTAATGCCCTTCTCTTCAAGGCATGGTCATGATGGGGCTCAGCACCTTTTATTGATTGATTGATTGATTTATATCCCGCTTTATTTCTCCATACGGATACTCAAAGTGGCTCACAATCAAAAACATTACAACTTAAAATATACAAACATATAATAATAAAACAGTATGATCATTATATGTTATTATATATTGTCAATAGTATTATATTTCATATATTATGTTGCAATATTATTATATATTATTATATCTTGTTATATAATGAACATGGAACGGCTTAGACGATGCAAATGGATAAGGAATTGATCTGGAAGACATGGATGTTTATAGTTTTGATGGTTTTATATGGATTTTTATTATGTTATATTAAATTTTTAAAATTGATATGTATGTATGTATGTTGTGCCATCAAATTGTTGCCAATCTGTACGCAGTCTTGAGTCGCCTTTGGGCTGAGAAAGGCGAGATAAAAATGCTGTAAATAAATAAATAAATAAATATTGTATTACATTATATTATTTATATTATATGTATAAATATTATATTATATTATCGGATTGCACTATACCACTATACTCCAATGTTATTAGTAATATTACATGTGATATATAATATACAATTGTTATATTCTTATATATCATTCTATTGTACTATATTATTATACCACAATATATATAATACACTACCAGTATATTATGCTATTAGTATTATATAATATATTGTACTATATCATAAGTCGTAGTATATATGATATATTACAACCTTATGTGTGTATGTATGAAGAATCATCAACAGTACCTATGTCTTATACCACCTGTTTACTTCTCTCTCTCTTACACGCAAAGGGCATTAAATACCATATCTGGTTTGCTTCCATTGCACTTCCTCATGAATAATGGATTAAGGTAGATATTTTCCCTCTACATCAAGGGTCCTCAAACTAAGGCCCGGGGGCCAGATACGGCCCTCCAAGGTCATTTACCTGGCCCTCACTCAGGGCCAACCTAAGTCTGAAACGACTTGAAAGTACACAACAACAACAACAACAACAATCCTATCTCATCAGCCAAAAGCAGGCCCGCACTTCCCATTAAAATACTAATAAGTTTATATTTGTTAAAAATGTTCTTCATTTTAACTATTGTATTGTTTTAAGTGTTTTTTGCACTACAAATAAGATTTGTGCAGTGTGCATAGGAATTTGTTCATGTTTTTTTTCAAATTATAATCTGGCCCTCCAACAGTTTGAGGGACTGTGACCTGGCCCTCTGTTTAAAAAGTTTGAGGACCCCTGCTCTACATCATGCAGAATCATTCCTATGTTCTGCATGTCTGGCTGGGAATCGCTGCCTTCAGCTCCGTATATAGGAGATACACATGTCTTAAATATGTATTTGGAATTTTAAACTTCATCCATTGCCCTGCATTTTGTCAAGGTTGTATATTTCAGATGGTCAGAAAGATGTAAAAGGTCTGCAGGACAGAAGATTAGACATTTATTGAAATTATTGTGTTTAAACCCTGTATTCGTGCCTTCAGGATGGAATTCAGGTCTGCATATTTAGAGCTCCCATCCAGGCATTAATCAGGTCCAGATTTGCTAAGGTTTAGCAAGGTTGCTATATCACATTTGGATTCCAAGCACCAGAAAGAAACCTGATGTGCAGTTTATTGTCCTTGAACTCCACTTACATTATAAGAGTGTATCACAGTCTTGTTTTCTTGACGTCGAGAACTGAAGCTAATATGCTGGGTAGATGCCTGTAACCTGTATTGGAAAGAAAGATCTGAGGGTGAGAGAGGCATCAGAACTGAGGTATTTTACAGCTAATCTTCATTCTGTGAGTCATGTTTGCTGAATTTTAATCATGATGCTCCTGATATTTTTTCAAATGTAGCTGTGGGATGCTGTGATTTTTTTTGGACTAAACAAAAAGAAGAAGGAATTTAATTTTTTGCTCCATATACTGTTTCTGAATCAAATTTCTTCCCATGCAAGAGAGGGAAAATTAATGTATTCCTTCCCTTCCAGGCAAAAATAAACTTGGGCTTTAGCACAGATGGTTAATCACTAGCAGCAATAGATCTTTCCCAACCAAAAGGTTGGCAGTTCAAGCCCAGGTCGGGGTGAGCATCCGGCCTTCAGCCTAGCTTACTGCCCACCTAAGCAGTTTGAAAACAGCTATGAGTTGTGAGTAGAGAAATTAGGCACCACTTAAGCGGGGAGGTATTTTATGGCACCATAAAAAGTCGGCAATCAAAGAACAGGAGGAAAGCCTATGATCAAAGGCTCTTCATCATAGAGCAGTGGTTCTCAACCTGTGGGTCCCCAGTTGTTTTGGTCTTCAACTTCCAGAAATCCTAACAGCTGGCTGGGATTTCTGAGAGTTGTAGGCCAAAACACCTGGGGACGCACAGGTTGAGAACTATCATAGAGGATGAAGGATGGAGTGACAGCACCTCCTTGTGGCCAGAATCAAGCATAACCTCCAGGGCACCAAAGTTGGAAAAATGCCGAAACACACCCCTATCTATTTGTCTCTCCTGTATGTCTAAAGGCATTGGATGTTTGCTGTGTATGTGTTCTGTGATCCACCCTGAGTCTCCTTCAGGGTGAAAAGGGCAGAATACAAAAGCAGTAAACAAACAAACAAACAATTACAAAGTAGACCTAGAACTATTTTTTAATTGGGAAGATGGTATTCCCATATTCTCTATTCTATATGTGGCAGTATCGCATTCACAGATTTTATTTATTTATTTATTTATTTATTTACATTATTTATATCTCGCCCATATCAGCCCGCAGGCGACTCAGTTACCAGATCCATAGCAGCAGGGCAGGAGAAAGACCTCTAGAGACTTACCTCTCAACTACGATGTTGATGGGGTACTTGATAGGGATTCGGAGTCTAGCTGTGTTGTCATGAAGGGTATCATTTTCCTCATTATCACTATGAGAAAGAGATTGTCAGATAGATGCCAAGAACACTTGTAATTATTTGTAAAGGTACTCTTCACAACAACAACCTTGTCTTTGCGTATATAGTTTTACACCTGTATCCATGAGGGTTATGTTCCTGGATTTTGTGTGGATGCATGAAATTGTGTATAATAGAGAACACTATTATTTTCAATGAGATTAACAAAGTAGGTGCCAAGAAGAGGTTGTAGCTTACAGAGAATATCTTTGTCCACAGTTTAGTATTCAATGTTATGTCATGTCACTTCGGGATTTTGTCTAGTTCCTTCATAACTGCCCTTCCAAATCCTAGTATTTGTCTGATATCTTGACTGCAGTTGTTCTAATACAGCCTGAGGCTGATGGGTTCATTGATGGTTTAGAGAGAATTGTGAGATTTCCTGGGGCACCAAAGTGATGAAGATTCAAGTCAGAGAAATGGTAGTTTTCTCTGGAAGAAACCTGACTCAGAAAGTCCAGAGCTTCAAGGTCAGTGATAGGAGCCAGAAACTGCAACATTAGATGAGGAGTTGGGAGAAGAGCTAAGTAATACAGAAGGCCCCCAGGGAAAAACACCTGGAGCTACAGAGATCAACAAAGATCTTCATTTACAGAATAGCATAGAATATAGGCAGCACCAGTCAGAGTGCTTACGTGGGAAAGTTGAGGAGAAAATTCATGGGAAAAGAAATGACTTCATGGGTGCCTATTAATTAGCAAGTTGTTTACCTAAGGGTTAGTTCAGGCAACATAGCGTTCAAGTGAGGAGCTAGGCCTGAGTTCTCTGGTTCTTGTTTCAAGCCAAGCCTTGGTTTTGGATTAAAGTATCCTGGAAGTTTTCTATGTTCTTGTTTTTGTGTTCCTGCTAAGTTTTATTAAGTATACCTTTTGCTTGTGGATTTATGTTGAACTTATTTATTATTATTATAACATTTATACCCTGCCCTTGTCAACCCCCCCCCCGGGGGGGGGCACACTCAGAGCAGCTTACATTGGCAACAATTTGATGCCGCAACAAATATTACACTAATAGCAATATAGACAATAAATAAAACAAAACAGTTAAAACATTATTATAACTTGTGACTTTCTGGCTATTCTTGGACTGTAATACCTAGTGATTTACATGAGACATTTGGATTATTATTTGGTTATCACCTACTGCTAAACCTTTTTTGGATTATACATCTTATTTCCTTATTCCTGATTTTTCATATATTTTATGTATTTTATAATAAATTGTTTGCTTATACTTTGGACTCTTGTGTGGTGCTGTGGTCATAGGTCATAGGTGTTTCGAGGCCTGGGATGCAACAGCAATCTCCATTGTGATTAATGACTGAGACAAGGTTTGGAAAATCCTGAATTATTTTAGTGCCTTAATCGTCTGCTTTAAAATTAAGTAAACCATGGGTTGTTGTAGGTTTTTTCGGACTATACGGTCATGGTCTAGAGGCATTCTCTCCTGACATTTCGCCTGCATCTATGGCAAGCATCCTTTCCGGACATGAAAGCCTTCGACAATACATTAAGTAAACCATCTTCAGGTCATTATTTTTGTTTTCTTAATGTTGAGCAGTGAATTAGCCCAGCTGATGTAATTCTGTTAGTGATTTTCTTTTTAATGGATCACAGTGTTTTGTGCCCATTTGGAACCAGTATTTTAATCTATGATGCTTCATAAAGTGAAGTGCTTCATCATGAGGAGTTGCATGGATGATTAAGGCTTTGCTTCTGCCATTGCCATGATTGGACTGCCAATGCCTTTGTCTTCATTGGATCCTGTTATCTTAACTCTGTTCTTCTCCTTCCTCATTTAAGGAGGTCTCCTCAAGAATGGACATGATACACAAAAGGAACGTATCCTTCTTTATAACTACAAGGTGAAACAGTTGTACCTTCTTTATGGGAAAAATAAACTAATTCCAGAGAATTCTTTAACATCAAAATATGGAAAACCTTATGATTAGGAACAAAGGCCATTGTGTATATGTAGCACTGGAAAAAGCTGCCCTATGGTAGAAATAAACAAGAATCCAGGACAACAAATAGAATAAATTTACCTGCTGACGTTCACCTCCATTTCCAAGTCATTCCCCCAGGAACTTTCGGTAAGGATGCCAAACCGGAGCTGGATCAACGCCTGAAATGGAAGGAGGAGGAGAGCAAAAATGAGATTATTCACTTACCATCAAACAGTTGTCTTTCTGCAAGTTTGTCTTTCTAACTAAAGAGGCAGTGATCATAATACCAAACAGTTGATGTTGCACACCTTGAAATGCAGAAAGTGGTTGAGAAGCAAAAGTCACATTTTGCTATTTCCACCGTTAGGATCATCAGTGCCTTTAAGGTGACTTTCTACAGCATTGGATATCAACATTCTTAATGCCACAACCCCTTAATACAGTTCCTCATGTTGTGGTGACCCCCAACCATAAAATTATTTTCATTGCTACTTCATAACTGTAATTTTGCAACTGTTTTGAAGCATAATGTAAATATCTGATATGCAGGATGTATTTTCATTCACTGGACCAAATTTGGCACAAATGCCCGATACGCCCACATTTGAATACTGGTGGGGTTGGAGGAGATTGATTTTGTCATTTGGGAGTGTAGTTGCTGGGATTTATAGTTAACCTACAATCAAAGAGCATTCTGAACTTCACCAATGATGGAATTGAACCAAACTTGGCACACAGAACTCCATGAACCAAGAGAAAATACTGAAAGGATCTGGTGGCATTGACCTTTAGTTTGAGTTGTAGTTCACTACATCCAGAGAGCACTGTGGACTCAAACAATGATGGATCTGGACCAAACTTGGCACAATTACTCAATACACCCAAATATGAACACAGATGGAGTTTGGGGAAAATAGACTTGACATTTTGGAGTTGTAGTTGCTGGGATTTATAGTTCACCTACAATCAAATAGCATTCTGAACTTCACCAATGATGGAATTGAACCAAACTTGGAAAACACAACTCCCATGACCAAGAGAAAATACTAAAAGGGTCTGGTGGCATTGACCTTTAGTTTGGGAGCTGTAGTTTACCTACATCCAGAGAGAACTGTGGACTCAAACAATGATGGATCTGGACCAAACTTGGCATTAATACTCAATATGCCCAAATGTGAACACTGGTGAAGTTTGGGGAAATAGACCTTGATATTTGGGAGTTGTAGTTGCTGGGATTTATAGTTCACCTACAATCATAGAGCATTCTGAACCTCACCAACGATAGAATTGGGCCAAACTTTCCACGTAGAACCTCCATGACCAATAGAAAATCCTGTGTTTTCTGATGGTCTTCAGCGACCCCTCTGACACCCCCAGGATGAGAAACACTGTTCTACAGAGAAGCCACAAGAATTCTGACACAAAAAAGTGCTAATTTACACACTTCTTTCTTATCCCCACTCAAGGGAACCCATTTCTAGGCTGCATTTAGCTCTCTGTCAGGTTTGTTCCTATTAGTACCTTGAAATGCCCTGAACTGCTCATTCAGTGGTACTCACCTCTGTGTTATCCCTAAAGATTGGGTGGCTGATATTGCAAGAGAGGCCCCTGTGCTCACGATTCACCTGCATGCCGTCACAGTTCACGATGATCAGGTGATTGGGCTACATTAAAAGACAAGGGGTTTATCAAAGCTGCAATGCTTCTTTTGCAACATCATAACCAAAAGGAAGAACCCAACATTTTGAAACTCTCTTCAGTGTCTCTCAAGTCTCTGAATGTTATCATTTCCCCTTCTACCAGCAATGGGCAATATTGCTGCATACATACATTTCAACTAGTTTCCCCACTCGCCCCATTGAGAAATAATAATCAGAAGAATGTGAACCATTTATATCATTTTTTTTAAAAAAGGAAATGTCAAAACACTGGTAAATTTTGAAGATTGAAAAAAAAATTAAGATAGTAAGGTAGAATGAAGAAATTGTCTAAAATGATAGATTGGCAGAATTATAACACTATTTCCACAGTGTGTCTATGATTATTTTGATTAATATTTCTGTCTTTATACAGACAGAATACTCACTTTGAGCACAGAAGCCTTGCGGAAGGAGAGGCCAGGCATGTGAAGCACATGGAGGGTTGGGTAGTATGCATTCTCTCGCGGGTTCCTCAGCTCCAAGTTCATGTTCAGGTAACGTTTGGGAGATATCACCAGCTCCTGAGAACTGTTCAAAAACGAGTTAGGACGTCTTGATTAGAAATACTTGGTTGTTGTACATTTTTCGGGCTGTATGGCCATGTTCTAGAAGCATTTTCTCCTGACGTTTTGCCTGCATCTGTGGCAGGCATCCTCAGAGGTTGTGAGGTCCTCGCAACCTCTGAGGATGCTTGCCACAGATGCAGGCAAAACGTCAGGAGAAAATGCTTCTAGAACATGGCCATACAGCCCAAAAAACCTACAGCAGCTAAGTGAACCCAGCCTTGAAAGCCTTTGGCAATACATAGAATACATAGAAATACTTGCTTCCTCACTCAGAAGGCTTTCCTTCTCTTTATAAACTAGAAAGCTGGCATACCATTCACATCTCACCTCAGTCGAGAATTCACTAAATACTGTAGGTCATATTTACATAGAACATGTTTATGGACAATGTTCTACTTACCCTGAATTATGGAATGAGATTTGCATATCAGCCACACACTTATCATCTGTCCCGCAGTTCTTCGAAAAAGGAATCTAACGTATTTTCCAAAAGAAAAACAATTGTTAATATACTAGCCCTGTTCAATGTAGTGCATCCTCTTATTCAACTCTACTACATTTGTGTTGTAGATCAGTCAGAGGCTGATGATTTAACTGAGAGAAAACAGGCTCGTAAAGTGCAGGGCCTCAAGGCCAGTTGAAGGAGTCAGAAGTAGCAACAGCAGATAAGGGATTGAGTGAAGAGCTTAGTGATAAGGAGGGTTCCCAGGAGAAACCACCTGTAACTACGGAGATCAACGAAAGTCTTTGTTTACAAATTGGACCAGAAAATAGATTACGCTGGTCTGAGAGACTATGTGGGAAAGCTGGGGAGACAGAAAACTGCTACTTTTGTACTTGATAGGCCACTTCGTTAGGGACCTCTAGGTTTATCAATATGACTCTGTAGTCAGTTTCTACCAGACATTGACCATCACCCTGGAGGACCTACAGAGTCTTAGAATGAACATTTTAATCAAATCCACAAAAGCAAATCTACAAATGTGGTGGACTGAGTAGTATTCTATTATGAAGGTTATTTCCATGGATGTTCTTACACAGCAGAATTTGTAGCTAGTTTCCTGCATTCCAAGTATACAGCTTTGAAAAGCTATTATTGGATAACAACTCCAAAAATATCAAGGCAACATGGCCAATGACAGTGCTATGGGAGGTTATTAGAGCTACACTCTTAAAAATCAAGGTTCTCGAGTTCTGCTAAGCTTTCTTCCTCCACCATATGTCATACGTGTCCACACATTTCCCCTAATTGTCCACTCCTTTTCTACCAGAAACCACTAAACTCCGTGCCCTAGCCAAAACATCCAGTCTAAAGTCTGTTAAATCCACTTTCTTTCCAGGACTTGCTTTTACCTCTACGGTTGTCGTGTTGCCTAATGAGTTCTGGACAGGCCTTGGATGACTCTCATCATGGTCCTCATCACTGCTCAAAGAGAAGTTCACAAAGAGCTTGATAGGTGAGATGTAATCTTCAATGCAGTTCTAAAAGGTTGCAGAGACAACACAACACTTAGACATTTAAATCAGGCTTCTCCTAACTCTGTCCCAGAGGTGGCTTCAGTTTTGGCAATGCTCAGGAAGCATTATTCTAAATGACCACTGGATTCCCCACTCAAACAAAGTTCAGCAAATTAAGAATAAATCCCTGTTTACCGTGATGTTTATCGTTTCCTGAACACACACTTGTCCCAGAGTGGTTTTTTGGACCCCATTTGTGGTCCTCTTGCCATTCCTAAATACTCCTCGGTTCTTCATTCTGTTGGAATCAATCTCCAAATGGAAGGAGAGAATGGCAGAGAGAGGACCTGGAAAGAGGGAATGAGAAGCTATGAGGCAGGAATGGGGAACCTCAAAATGTCCAGATGTGTAAGAGGTATGAGGGGCTGCTGATAAGTCTTTGGCTTTACCCAGAAAGAAATGAGATAGGAAGATGAAACTTTACATTTACTCTACATACTCTCCACTAATATCAACACACTTCTTACATTGGTATTCCAAGTTCTGTAAGCATTGCGAAACGGAGGATTTTGGTTGTGCCACAAACTAGTTATCCGTAGCAGCCATGGCATCGGAAATGATGTGAAATTTGGTACCCTTGAGGTGTTTCTTCAGATTTTGAAAGAGATGATAGTCAGAGGAAGCTAGATCCGGTGAATAAGGTGGGTGGTCAACCAGCTGGAAGCCTAGCTCCACCAGTTTTGCCATGGTCTCTTGTGCAGTGTGAGCGGAGGCATTGTCTTGTAGGAACAAGATTCCTTTGGTCAGCTTGCCATGCCTTTTGGCCTTCAGAACTACCTTCAATTGGTTCAAAAGTTCAGTGTAATGCCTTGCATTGATGGTGGAACCATTTTGAAGGTAGTCCACTAGCAGCACACCCTCCTTATCCCAGAACACAGATGCCATCTCCTTAGTGGCTGATTTTTGTACCCTTCTTTGGATGAGGAGAACCACTGTGCCTCCACTCTTTAGACTGCCCCTTGGTTTCAGGGTCATACAAATAAATCCATGTCTCATCCATAGTGACCAGTCAATCCAGGAAGTTCTTATCAGTCCGGAAACACTGACAAATGAACCGGGAAGTTTTCACTCGCATGCTTTTCTGATCTATTGTCAAACATTTGGGGACCCACTTTGCAGAGAGCTTCTTCATGTCCAAATTTCATGGATAATGACACAAACATGTTCATGAGCAATCCCCATGATGTCTGCTATTCCTTTAGCTGAAATTTGCCTATTCCCCAGTAGGAGGTTGTGCACAGCATCGACGATCTCTGGAACAACGACCACTTTGGGTTGTCCAGGACATTCCTCATCATTGGTGCTGAAGTGGCCCATTTTAAATTTGGCAACCCAGTTCTTAATTGTAGAATATGAAGGGCATTGATCCCCCAATGTCTGCGACATACCACCATGAATATCATTCGCAGACCTTCCTTGCAGAAACAAGAATTTTATCACTCCTCTGCTCTCATTTGCTGTGAATATCGCCTTAGACTTTGCCATTTTGTTTTCCCGCATGCCTAGATCACTGTTGACATAAGCTACCAGCACAATATTTTGAAAACATATATTAGACACATAAGGTTTTCATGTGATGTAACATTCATTACCCTAGAAAAAAAGCAAGAACACAAAGCCAAAGATTTATCAGCAGACCCTCGTACATCTGGTTCTTTACACCAAGGTTTAGTTCTGGGCTCCAACAACCCACCTCACCTTGATAGCTCTGAGTAGCCAAGCTGGTGTTGAAGCAGACGTTGAGACCGAACCCCTTGTTCCTCCATTGGGTGGCATCTCCCAAACATTCCACATCTTCCACTGGGATCTCCTTGTGCAAGAATGTCACCTGTGGGACCACTGTGACAATGGGTCTGGAACTGCAGGTACCAGGGAATGACAATAATTAATGTGTTGTCAAAAGCTTTCATGACTAGAATCACTGGGTTGCTGTGAGTTTTCCAGGCTGTATGGCCATGTTTCAGAAGACTCCACAGATATATAAACCTTACTTGCCTAGTCTCCAACAGACCTCTCAACCTTTAAAGATGCCTGCTATAGATGTGGGCAAACTGCCAGGAGAGAATGCTTCTGGAACATGGCCATACAGCCCGGAAAACTCACAGCAACCTAGTGACAATAATTACTTGGTGTTCTTTAGAGAACTGTTTCTTAAACATACACTTCTTAAACTTAAACTAGGGGTCCCCTTGCCTCAATGTTGGGATCATGAAAGATTTGGCAACAGTAAAAGATTTCTGAACAGCACCTAATCTACAGTGGCCCCACAAGTAGATTAATATGTGGTGTTTACAGTGGACTCTGCAGAATTTGCTTCAGCCGTATTTCATAAAACGGAAAATCTGTCTGTTTAGCAAGCCCTGCAAATGCTAATTTATTACACTGGCCAACACACAGTTTGCTGCATCAGCCCAAATGGTATTTAGGTGTCCATGTGGAAGATCCTCTTCCAGTAGCTTGTCAAGCAAGAACTGTCTTTCCCTCTAAGCTGCTGCTCAGCTAAAGCTCAAATATGTAACTGTTGCCAAAGCTCCTGGGCTCAGCTAGCTTCTTGGGCATGACCCAATCAATCAGCTTCGTGCTTTGCATCAACTGATCTTTTTACATGCCCTAACATATTTGACACACTGATTACAAAAATGGCACCAGATTTCACCTATTAGCTCTAGTTTTGGAGATACAGAACATGTGACATCTGCCAGTTGCCATCTGCTCGCTCATAGAAAACAATGATAACCAGATGTAATAAACTAGAGCTGATGTGGAACCATTTTGATTAGCATTCCATGTGGAACCATTTTGATTAGCATTCTAAATCAGCACCTAACTAATCCCAGGAACAGGCCTAAAAATCAAGGCATCAAGAATTTTTTTGTGTTGGGCTGTAATATCAATAAATGTTTGATGTACTGTTATCACAGCCAATGACCCGTTTTCTCAGGTGAAAAGGGGCTGCGAGTGGAAAACGTTTAACAAGCTCTACTCTACAATTGTAGTTCTTTGCAAATTGTAGTTCTTGTCCAATTTGAGGAGGCCAAACAGTTACAGCAAGAGCAGGGTTAATCCTTTCTTCGCCAGTGATAATCCCTTCCCATGGACAAGTCATTCTAATTAAGATTGGAACAACTTTCCATTGAACCAATAGACAGCCTGAAACCTCTTCTATACAGCTATATAAAATCCACATTATCTGCTTTGAACTGGATTATATGGCAGTACAGACTAAGATAATCCAGTTCAAATCAGATAATGTGGTATTTTATGCCTTGATATTCTAGGATATAGGGCTGTGTGAAAGGGCCCATAGACACCAAGAACTGGGAAGCCCTGGCCCTCGAGCGCTCTAACTGGAGGTCAGCTGTGACCAGCAGTGCTCTGGAATTCGAAGAGGCATGAAAGGAGGGTGAAAGGGAGAAACGTTCTAAGAGGAAGGCGCATCAAGCCAACCTTGACCGGGACCGCCTTCCACCTGGAAACTGATGTCCTCACTGCGGAAGAACATGCGGATCAAGAATAGGACTCCACAGCCACCTATGGACCCACCACCAAGACACTACACTTGGAGGACAATCATCCATAGGCTACAAAGGATCGCCCAAGTAAGTAACCTGGATTACCTAGCAGTGTAGAAGGGACCTGAGAAACATATCTGAGCTGGGCTTCAGCAGCCTCTATCTTAGAAGCCTTGGTTCTCAACCACTCACCGGAGGACCACCACTTTTCCCAGGGCTCCCACTGCGATGTCTATGAGGCCATCTTTGTTGAGATCTGTTTTTCCATGAATTGATTGTCCAAAGAATTGCAAGCCAGGAGAAATGCTGGCTCCTGTAATTTTCTGCAAGACAGAAATGTCACTGGTCGAGAAAAGCAAAGGAGCAATGTGGCAACAAATTACACACAGACAAAGTAACACACCCAGCCATTGTGGAAATGGCTGAAATAAGATGTGATGATGGCTTCCATCTGTTATTATCTGTGGATGTTGTTAACGCTCTTGTAAAAAAAAAAGAAGGGGAGGGGGCTAAGGTTGAAAAAAAATGCAAAAAGCGGAGCACAAGACCCAAGAATCTGTTCCTAATGGCTTTCTCTCACCTTCTTGCCATGGGGGCATGGCCACTAGGAAGGGGGCATGGTCCACTCACCAGATTGCTGGAGTTCCCACCTTGTAGGACCAGCACTTCTCCCAGGGCTCCCACTATGATGCCTATGAGGCCGTCTCCCACTACAATGACTATGAGGCAACAGTGTAGCAACTGTGAGACCGTGGACCATATTTTAGATCTTGCGGACCACTGGTGGTCTGTGGATAACAGGTTGGGAACCACTGCTCTATTGTTATCTACATTCAGTTTGAACTGCATTATATGGTCAGTGTAGATCTATATAATGCAATTCTAACTGCATTTTAAGGCTGTGTAGATCCAAGTAGCATTCCATTGCTTCCTTTTGTGCAGTACTGACAAGAGTGCACTGGAGTACCAGTGCTGTTATCTCTTTTCCGCCAGCATTGCCCCAGAACAATACTGCCACCCCATAGCTTCTCCCTTAATAGCAGTAAGGTGTTTGACACTTTTAGACAGGTTCTTCAACAGAAGCTTGTTTACTCTTGCCTCACAGGAATATATGTCCCAGCACCATGGAAAAGTAGTATTGAGTCTCTTGGGGGTCTCTCATTCATAGGACTGCCACACATTGAAGGTGGCTTGACAACAAAGCTAGCAGTTCTCATGTTGGGATGCCCATCCCTGCGATACTCTCTTACCTGGCTATAGTGTGTTAGCAATTTTTGCTGAAGGCCATTATAAATGTACACAGTGCCCCTCTCTTCGTCTTCCAGGGGGGCTCCCACTGCCACATCCATCAGTCCATCGCCACTGATGTCTGCCAGGTCTGAAATTGCTGCTCCAAATCTGCCCAAGGGGTATCCTGGGTCCCCCTTAAGCTCCCCTAGAAGGATGAGCTGATCCTGGAAGGAGAGGGTAGTTTTTCATAGTCTCTGATGCGTTGTGGAAAGACCCTCCTCACAAGTACTTCCCACTCTTTTTGCCCCATTTGCTCACCTCCTCCCAGCCATACACGTAAACGCGACCTCCTTCCGTCTCTGTGAAATGAAATGGGGCCCCAATGAGAAGAAAGTCAGTTTCCTGGTCACTGTCTACATCTAAGGCGCAGAGAACTCCTCCAAAATATGACCCAGTCTGCAAAAAATAAAAATAAAAAATTAAAGATAAATAAACAATCCAGAGAGCTACCTCTAGGTATGACATGCTTACTATATACAGAATGCTTTCAAATGCTCAAAATGCACTGTTTAGCTACAATCTTATAGAAAGTTATTGCCCCCATAACTAATTCTGCAGAGATTGAAGCTGGGAGGAAATGGATGGAGGAAAACCAACAATGTAAAAGCAAGATTCAGATTGAAAACATTTCCCTTTGTCTTCAACTGACTTTAATTAGCATTCAATTAACTCTGCAAGAGAGAGAGGATGGAAGAGGAAACAATCTTGTGCTTCCCAATAGGTTTAGGCAAAAGCAAACTGCTGCAGCCTCTCCTAGAATATGTATTCTTCCTCATTAATGTTTTTATTTTGACCACCATTTGGCATTGCAAACCCTGGAATTTCCCAAAGTCCGGTTCCCAATGAGGTGTTGGGAGGGACATAGGGATACGACAGACTGTATTTGCAAATAGAGAGCTGCGGGTGACAGCGTGAAATGAAGGCACCACCCCGAGATGCAGCTCAGTTGAGTCTTTTATAAGATTTCCAATTACATTCCACACCTTCATGCTTCTTTGTGCTTCTCCCTTTCTCATGGTTTCTATTCCCTTTCACCTGCACATATGGTACTTTGATAGTTCAAGTAAGCAATTTCCCCACAATTTTCCTGATTACAATCATTCACCACCTTGACTTCCTGGGTCCTGTTTGAGGCTTTCATTTGGTTCAATAAAAATACCCTTTCTGTTTTGAACTTTCTTCCTTTATTATGTTTATTGCTCTGTCCAGCCTATATGAGTACTCTGGCTTGACATTCCATGCAGACTTTCAATTGATTCCTGTTGCATAACTAAGGAAGCGATGGGTAGGCAATGGGTTGTTTTATTGCCTCCCTTTGGTAGTGTTTTGGGTTTTATTGTCCTATCAGCCTTTTCCTCTCATGGTAGACCCTTCAACTGTTTTCTTCTAATGCTAAGAAACCTTAGATATGCAGATGATACCACTTTGATGGCTGAAAGCGAGGAGGAGCTGAGGAGCCTTCTAATCAAGGTGAAAGAAAAAAGTGAAAAAGCTGGGTTGCAGTTAAACATCAAAAAACCAAGATTCTGGCAACTGGACTGATTAATAACTGGCAAATAGAGGGAGAAAACGTGGAGGCAGTGACAGACTTGGTACTTCTAGGTGCAAAGATTACTGCAGACACAGACTGCAGCCAGGAAATCAGAAGAAGCTTACTTCTTGGGAGGAGAACAATGACCAATCTCGATAAATTAGTGAAGAGTAGGGACATCACACTGGCAACGAAGATCCGCATAGTCAAAGCAATGATATTCCCCGTAGTAACCTACAGATGTGAGAGCTGGACCATAAGGAAGACTGAGCGAAAGAAGATAGATGCTTTTGAACTGTGGTGATGGGGGAAACCAGTCCATACTTCAGGAAATAAAGCCCGACTGCTCTGTGCCGTCACACTCAGACGCCTTAAAAATAAGACTGTGATGTGCTGCTCTCTTTGTCTGGGCGGACTGCTGGGATCTGTCTTTAAAAGCTCAAACTTTCTGAGTAACTGAGTCCACTTCAAGTATGGAACAGCAAACGGAACATTTATTTCCAAAGTCTTTGTAGACTTGGCACAGCTTATCAAAGTTACAAACAGTCAGTTGGTAAAGCATAGAGATGAGCTTTCTTTCAGTTATTGAGGTACCCTTTTCCAAAAGGTAGAAGGAATTCTGGAATCCCTTTACCCTATCCTTGAGCTCCTATGGTCAGAAAAAAGCAGGTTTTTTCCCCCTATCTATTGCTCAAAGTTAGCTTTGGAGGCAAATGCTCAATACTATCTATCTAACTCAATATAGCTCAATAGTTCTCTATAGCTCAATAGTTGTCTATAACTCAATATTGAATATCTATCTATATTAACTCAATATTTCAATAGTAATTGCAATGGTTTCTCATAGCTATCCTGATCTGGCTATCAGCACATTTGAATTCTTCCTTTAGACTGAAAATGCAGGGGAGATTCTAAAATGGAGATCCCTTCCCTGGGAGAAAGGGCGGGCTCTAAACCCAAAGAGCTGCTCTCTAGGCCAATAGTTGCAAAGAGGCCTGCAGGCTGGCTTTGCAGACTCTGATACTGCTAACCTTTTAGGACTTTGCAAAGCTGCAGCAGCCCTGAGAGAAATGCAAGGGGAAGGCACTCCAAGCAACTAAAAAGGTAATGTAAACCAGACTCCTGGGAGACGGAACATGCTTACTGGAGGGAAGGATATTAGAGGCAAAGATGAAGTACTTTGGCCACGTCATGAGAAGACAAGAAAGTTTAGAGAAGACAATGATGCTGGGGAAAATGGAAGGAAAGAGGAAGAGGGGCCGACCAAGGGCAAGATGGATGGATGGCATCCTTGAAGTGACTGGCTTGACTCTGAAGGAGCTGGGGGAGGTGACAGCCGACAGAGTTCAGGCCTGGGCTGGTCCATGAGGTCACGAAGAGTCGGAAGCGACTGAATGAATAAACAACAAACAAACACTAAGAAAACACTAAGATTTATTTAATCAAAGCTACTATTTACACTATTGCTATATATTAATCAAATTAAATCAGGTCCTTGTCTCGTGTCGCCTTCAGCTTCGGCACATGTGTTTTGGTTTTCCCAAACACATTCCAGACAGTATGTTTGTACATTATCAGAGTTGACCAGACTTTCTGGTCTCCACGATTTCTCACCTGCTGCCCTTCGATCTCTTGCTTTAATGTCCAGTTACTAGTTGTGGCATTGACTTCAAAGATGAAGACTCTTCCCAAATGTTGGTATCGAGGGGCACCAGCAGCATATAGTTCTTTTTGCTGGTGCTGTAGGAATTTCAGGGCATAACCTGGAATGAAAACAAAAATGGTGCAGAAAGATCAAAGGAGAAATAATGATAGTTATTAGGGTGCTTTTGCATAGAAAATGTTCCTCCCTTGAATTAAAAAAATTAAAGTAAGGAAGACCAGAAATTTTCAAGGCATGCCTACTACATTGATATGGTGGCTATTCCAACGGATTCACCAAGGTAATATCAAAATAGAGATCAATATACTAGACTTTTCCAACTTGGTTCTTTCCAGCTCTAGATAGGGTGCATCTATGCTGTAAAATAACTACAGTTTGGCACCATGGAACCCTGGGAGCTGTAGTTTTATAAGGTTTTTATCCTTCCCTGACAAAGACTACTGGTGTTTCACTAAACTATAACTCCCAGAATTTCATAGTATAGAACCATGGCAGTTAAAGTAGAGTAAAACTGCATTAATTCTAAAATCTAGATGTATTCTTGGACTCGAGTTTTCAGTCTCACTGTCAGTCTTCTGTGGGAAACACCTACATTAGATGAGAAACTGTGGAAATTGTAATCCCATGGAATGTATTTGGGAAAAGAAGAAGCTGTGAATGCCCACTTTGTCAGAAATATTAAAAATTAACTAGGTATTTTTAATTACAAAAATGTGAGTCAAGCACTGAAAGGGTGTAATGGATACAATGACTCAGCAAAAGCTGCAGTTCAATATAAGTAGGTGTGTTTGTAGCTTAGTACGCCTCAGTGTTATTTGTCTTTTGTATGAAGAGGCTTCAGTCTGAGAGAGGCCTCAGTGTGAAGCAAACCTCAGTGTTAATAGGTCTTGAGGGGGAGATATTGGAAATATAGATATTTATTTATATATAAATTGTATGTACTTTAGAAGGACTGAAATGTAAGAAAAATCAGGCTCTCTCTGTATCAGAAACCCAAGCTGACAGGAGAAGTAAAAAGTAAGGAGCTTATCCCCCTCCCTCCTGACAGGTCAAAGTAGGCCTCATGATGGATTGATGTAAGCTGTAAACTGCTCCTAGAAAAAATATAGAGACATGCCCTTTGCATGTTGGAAGATAGAATTTGATATTTCTATTTATTTATTTATTTTGTCGTGTCAGGAGCGACTTGAGAAACTGCAAGTCGTTTCTGGTGTGAGAGAATTGGTCGTCTGCAAGAACGTTGCCCAGGGGATGCCTGGATGATTTGATGTTTTTATCATCCTTGTGGGAGGCTTCTCTCATGTCCCCGCATGAGGAGCTGGAGCTGATAGAGGGAGCTCATCTGCCTCTCCCCGGATTTGAACCTGCGACCTGTCGGTCTTCAGTCCTGCCGGCACAGGGGTTTAACTCACTGCGCCACCGGGGGCTCCTGATATTTCTATGATGCTAAGGTGACAAAATGATGATGTCAGTGTATGTAGAAGCATGTTTCTTTGTTTGCCTGCATTTGGAGAGGTATAAAAGGCAAGGCCAATGCCTTTATCCTCACTCTGTGTTGCTTTTGGACACAGCTCCACTCCAGGGTCCCAGCTGGAAATAGATGTACTTTTCTTTCTCCAGAAAGGATATCTTTTGGTATTATCTCTCTTATCATGCTGCTACATTTCCAGTGTGAGTAGGCCTCAGAATTAGTAGGCCTCAGTGTGTGAGAGGCCTGGTGTGAGAAGGCTTGGGTTAGAGAAGTCCCAGGTTGAAGACCTTGTGCGCTGTTGTGTGTAAAAAGCTACTGTGTGAAGCTCCTGAGTAAGTTTAGTGTGAGAAGAGGCTCTGTGAGAGTGGAGCCTTTTATCTGCATGAGAAAGAAGCCCAGTGTGGAAGCAAAGAAGGAAGTATAAAGAACTTTATTGTGTTTATATAAACCTTGTTCTTGTAAATAGTGCAACCATATTATTTTGCTATAAAGAAAAGCCTCCTATGGAAGAGATAACATTGGTCTGTGTATTTTTGTTCTTTTTATCACTTTTGACTACTGGTGCTGGGTCATGCTGCTGCTGATAAATTATTCTGCTGTACATTTATGAGAAGGAACTTTTGTTAAGAAGCCCACTCACCCAACACACTTCCCTCTAGCTGAGGCCAAAGGAGTTGGTGGTTTGCTTCATCCTGCATTTTCACAACGGAAAATGTTCTTCATTTCCTTCCTCTTCCATGTACCTGTCTTTTATGTGACTTCCTTTTGCTAATAATAACAATCAAATCTGGTGACAGCTGGAGTCACTGCACGCAGAAATGCCTATTTGCCTCTCATTGCACCTGTTGTGCTAATGGCAACAAAAAGAACAAGCCACAGGGGCTTTGGACAAATTATAAGGCACTGCTAAGCTGCTGGGTTGGGCAACATGTGGCCTTCCAGATGTTGTTGGATAGCAACTCCCATCAATGGTATCCAGCATTGTCAATGGTTTGGAGGAGATAGAGAAAGTTGTGACCCAGAATACTGAGTATAACCGAGTAACACTGATAGATTTAACAGTGTGATGAAGGTAGAGAAATCATCAATTTCATTTCAACACGGAGTAAGACTGAACTCTACTCTGCCAAACACTTCCCAGCTCCAATGTGATGAAGTCCCCAGTGACATGCAGAAGGCCATATACTGCCCACCTTAATAGGGTCATGACTGCCCCATAAGAAGGATGACTGGGGCTGCTTCAATAAAAAAAAGGAAACAAATACATTTATGACAACCAAATTATTAACTTAATAAACCAATTAAGAAATGTTGGAGCAGAAGGCACAGAGAAAAAGAGGACAGACTGGAGCTTTTTCCCCACTCACCCAAGTAAGCGCCTTCCATCTCCTTCCTGAACGAAGGGGTAGAGATGAACTGCTCTTTACTGAGATCCTTCTGCTGTTCCAGCAGCCCTCCAGCCCAGTTGTCCGCACCGACAGCACCCAAAACCACTCGGTCCTGCAGTTGAGAGAATAAGGAGATTGGCAACTTGTGTGAACTTGGAAACGAAGGCAAGAACTCTACATCCCAAAGGCAGGGGGTCATTTTAACTCCAGGAGCTCAATTCTTAATCTTGGAAGGTTCTTAAGAGAAGAATGGATAACAAGAAGCTCCAGTAACATGGAGTGGTAAAAACAGAGTGCAGCATGAGATGTAAATATGGGCATTTGGGACATTATCCTAGCAATTAAAATAAAAACCACTTCATCTCTAGGAGAAGCATCACTGGGTGGACCACTATATGTGAAACCACGGATAGAACCAAATGCCATTGAATTCTCTCACTTCCTGTCCCAACATGCCATAAAGTTGTGTTGGAGGACCTAAAGATTTCTAAAAAGGTGTTCTCAAGGAATATTCTAGGTCCTCCAAGACAATTTTATGCCTTGAGATCCTAGCAAATTCCTGTGGATATTATTTTTTCACTAGGTGCAAGTAAGTGACTCCAAAGATGGAGTACAACTCAATTCTGCACATATCTGCACATATACAGTTCTGGCCCAGCTTACTTGTCCGAACGTATCTCCCTCTACGTCCTGCCTCACGGTGTGAGATCATCCAGGGAGGCCCTACTCTCACTCCCGTCAGTGTCGCAAATATATCTGGTGGTGATGAGAGACAGGGCCTTCTCGGCGGTAGCCCCCCGCCTGTGGAACTCGCTTCCCACCAAGGTAAGATTGGCTTTGTCCCTCCTGTCGTTTAGGAAAAAACTGAAGTCATGGTTCTGGGACCAGGCTTTTGGACAACAGGCATAGATAGCACTTTGCATATGGAATTGACTGGAATGATGATATGGCTGTTAATACTGTTTTTAATGTTTTAATGAATGTTTTACTTATTGTTTTAATTGTTATTATATTGCTCTGTTATATGTAGTGGCATCAAATTGCTGTCAAATGTAATCCGTCCTGATTTCCCCTTCGGGGGTTGAGAAGGAACGGGATAGAAATATTGGAAATAAATATATAAAATAAATACTTCGGAGCAAGTTCCAGTGCCACAGCTTTCAATGCAGCAAAAAGCAGTTCCGTTTCATGCAAGGGCTTCCTGGAATACACCCTTCCCTGGGAGCTAGTCTTATTGAACTCAGTGACGCTTATTTCCAAGCTCATACAGGTGAATCATTGCAGTGTATGAGTCTCTTCATTCCGCAAAGTACCCACAGTTTACTCTTACCTGGGATATATCGGCACTGAATCCACTGGATGACATCTCCAGGTGGAATGAACTTTTGTCACTGGCACCTGAAAGATACATAGACAGGAAGAGTAAGAGTCATTGGCATAAATCACTGTCCTCTTCTATCCTCCAGAAGTGAATAGATCTCAACACTAACTTCCAAGAAAGAATAACTATAGGTGTGTTAAAGAAACTGAGGTGTAGTTGGAAAACACATGACTACTATATCTACCAGCACCCGTCATGTGTAGATGTGGAGTGTGCCTTTAAACAAAATGTGCATTGTGTCACCTTCCAGCACTGAATTAATCCAGCCAGTGGAATATAAGACATGAGGTACAGTGGCTAATAGATGGGAAAGGAATTTAAGATCTACAGGCAAATAATAATTATCTTTCTTCTATGCACATCTCTGATTGAAGATCTTCCTCTGATTCATTATATGAAAGTGCTGAGTTGTCCTGATATTGCTGAGATGGAGAGAGGCTGGTGGGATGTTGAAGATTTTTCTGTATTTTTAGTGTTATTTTTTAAAAAATCATTGTATTGTATATGGTACATGCTTCATACTTTGGTGGAAATGGCACTATAAATCAGCATCGTTATACACAAAGAATTCTTGTAGCACTTTAGAGGCTAACTGAAATAACAAAGTTGCTAATACAGTATTTCATAGACTAAGCACCTCATCACATTGAGAGAGGAAAGCATGGATGACCATCCCTTTAAGAGCAGAGAATCACCTCTCTTATATTGTCAACAGTCCTGTTTTGAGTTCTGTCTCCCCATCAAACACACACGTGGAAAATTAAGAGCTGGCAATACATTCATCTTTTACATTCATCACAAGGTCAGTATTACTTTTTTTTAAAAAATCAGGACAAACAACAATATCCAAAAACCAAGAAATCCCGTGCCTCGCCCAAAGCACCCTACATTAAAGGAGACTGACACCAGTTTTAAATCACTTCTTTCCATGGGATCCTATTGTTCTGCCCCAAACCCCATTAGATACAAGAGACAGCATTCCAGGTTAAAACCACTGCTTTCCATGGGATCCTATTGTTCTGCACTCTGGAGAAAAAAGGAGCCGTTGTTCTTAAAGCAGACCCTTCTTTTCTGGGCTCCTACTCTCAATCTTTTCTCAATAATGGAAGTCCAAAACAAAGTTTAAAACCTAGCTGTAGAGCCATTTCAAAAGCCAAAAATACTATAAAGGAGAAATGACAGGAAAAACAAAAGTGGTGATCTCTTGAAAATCGGTATTTCTAATTAATTTTTAAAAAGTAGGATTTTGGGAGAAAATTCCAAAGTTTGGTAGGAGACCATCTATAGCAGTGGTTCTCAACCTGTGGGTCGGGACCCCTAGAGGGGTTGTGAGGGGGTGTCAGAGGGGTCGCCAAAGACCATCACAGACAGTATTTTCTGTTGGTCATGGGAGTTCTGTGTGGAAAGTTTGACCTAATTCTATCGTTGGTGGGCTCCAGAATGCTCTTTGGTTGTAGGTGAACTATAAATCGCAGCAACTACGACTCCCAAATGTCAAGGTCTATTTTCCCTGAACTTCACCAGTGTTCACATTGGGGCATACTGAATATTCGTGCCAAGTTTGATCCAGATCCATTATTGTTTGAGTCCACAGTGCTCTCTGGATGTAGGTGAACTACAACTCCAAAACTCAAGGTCAATGCCCACAGACCCTTCCAGTATTTTCTGTTGGTCATGGGAGTTCTGTGTGCCAAGTTTGGTCCAATTCCATCGTTGGTAGAGTTCAGAATGCTCTTTGAATGTAGGTGAACTATAAATCCCATCACCTACAACTCCCAAATGACAAAATCAATCCTCCCATCCCAACCCCACCAGTATTCAAATTTGGGCATATTGGGTATTTGTGACTTTGGTCCAGTGAATGAGAATACAACCTGCATATCAGATATTTACATAACGATTCATAACAGTAGCAAAATTACAATTATGAAGTAGCAATGAAAATAATTTAATGGCTGGGGGTCACCACAACATGAAGAACTGTATTAAGGGGTCGCTGCATTAGGAACATTGAGAACCACTGATCTATAGGAATGCCCATTGCGCCATATCACTGAACCGAACTGACCCAAGGAATCTGACATATTCATCTGTCTTCCCCCCCTTTCTCAACTCAGAAGACTATTTCTCTCCATCTCTATTACAGTTTACTACATTTCAGGGATGAAAGGCAATGGATGACAATGGGAAATAGTTTTACGTTGGCTCTGTGGCACTTTGTCCCTGAAATGTCTTAGAAATGTGTGGAAACGGGAGAGGACTTGCGTCTGATGAGGTCCTGATTCTGTTCCAAAAGTGTCTACCTTTGTCTCTTTCCCCATCTTCCCTCCCTCTCCCAGTACATCAAACCAAAGTGAGACCTTCAATGCCATAAATCTTGGACTGGAGGTCATAGAAGCTGTCTTTTAGTTCTTCAAAGCTGGCGAGGATCTTCACAAATTCACTGGGGGGTTCAGAAGCAAGCATTTCAAGCTGATCTCGAGTTACATGAATCCCAATCTGGGGAGAAAAGGAAGAGCCAAATGAGGTGGAAGGATTCTGTGGTTTCTATACTTGGAGATAAGAAGAGCAGGATGACACGAGCCCAACAGAGTTGATAGCAAAAAAACTCAAAACATATGTGTTGTTTTGGCAGCATTGGTTGATTTTCCTATAATCACTCACATCCAAACTATTATTTGCCAGATGAACAAGTAGAATTTGGAAAGGGGATTGCCAACAGGAAAATTGTGCCAGGAGACCATCAGAAAACACAGTATTTTCTGGGTTGCTGTAAGTTTTTTGGGCTGTTTAGCCATGTGCCAGAAGCATTCTCTCCTGATGTCTCACCTGCATCTATGGCAGGCATCATTAGAGGTTGTGAGGTCTGAGGATGCCTGCCATAGATGCAGGCGAAACGTCAGGAGAGAATGCTTCTGGAACATGGCTATACAGCTCGAAAAACTTACAGCAACCCAGTAATTCCGGCTATGAAAGCCTTTGACAACACAAAGTTTTTTCTGTTAGTCATGTAGGTGCTGTGTGGGAAATCTGGGCCAATTCTATTGCTGGTGAGGTTCAGGATACTCTTTGAGTGTAGGTAAACTATAAATCCCAGCAACTACAACTCCCAAATGTCAAGGTCTATTTTCCCCAAAGTCCACCAATGTTGATATTTGGGCATATACTCAATCTGTGCCAGTCTGGTTCCAATCCATTATTGTTTGAGCCCACAGTGCTCTTTGGATGTAGGTGAACTACAACTCCAAAACTCAAGCTCAATGCCCACCAAACCCAGTATTTTCTGTTGCTTAAGGGGAGTTCTGTGTGCCAAGTTTGGTTTAATTCCATCATTGGTGGAGTTTAGAATGCTCTTTGATTGTATGTGAACTATAAATCCCAGCAACTACAACTCCCAAATGACAAAGCAATCCTCCCCAACCCCACCAGTATTCAAATTTGGTTGTATCGGGTATTTGGGTCAAATTTGGTCCAGTGAATGAAAATACACCCTGCATATAGAATATTTATGTTACGATTCATAACAGTAGCAAAATTACACTTATGAAGTTGCAAAGAAAATAATGTTATAGTTGGGGGTCACCACAACATGAGGAACTGTATTAAGGGGTCGTGGCATTAAGAAGATTGAGAACCACTGATATAGAGAAAGTAAGGAGAACTTTCCATTAGGTCCAAAGGAGAGAGCTCCTGCCTAGCAGGCCAGAAACACAGGACTACAGGATACTTTACCCCAATGGCAAGGCGTATGATGTCCTTATTTCTGGCAGCAGCAATGCTTCCGTGGTCTTCATCTGTGGCTTGTCCATCGGTGATTAGGATGATTGCTTTATTTGCTCCTTTGCGCATGCCACGCGCAGGAGTGAAAAGGTCATTCCTGGCAACAGCAGACAAGGGGAAAGGTTACCCGAATGCCATTGTACTTCCATTCAGCATTCTGATGCTAAGATGATATTTTTGGCCCATTGTTTTGTTTATATCACCTCAATTTTGATATCTCTTCCTTGGTTACCCATGCTTTCTACGAATCAGTATAAGCTTCTTCTGTTAACATTTAAAACCCTACACAACCTAGCCCCTCATTTTCAGATTTTATTTATTTTGCCAGCCTGCCTGAGGTCTGCATTCTTCCAATTCTAGGCTTCTCGCCCAACCAAATGTTTTCTCTTCCTTTGCTCACCTTCTTCCTTTTGTTCTGGTCACCTTCTTGTTTTTTGTTTCGTTTTGTTTGGATTCCATCTGGATGATTTCTTTTGCAAGTGTAATGTACAGTTTGTGGTTTATTGTTCCTCCTTTCCTCTGTGTGCGGATGTGTATGCAGAACTATTTTAGACTCTATGCCTTTGGTACAACCCACTGTTTCTGGATTTACTATAAAGCATCATGTAAACAATAATTTACTATAAAGCAGTGTTTCTCAGTCTGGAGGTCGGGACCCCTGGGGGTTGGGAGGGGGGTTCAGAGGGGTCGCCAAAGTCCATCAGAAAACGTACATTTCTGATGGTCTCAGGAACCCCTTTGGCAGAGAAGGCTGCAGATCTCTCCGCCTGTCCTTCTCTTCCTTTTTGGAAACAGATGGCAAATCCACCAAAAGCTCTCCTTTGCTGTGATTGGCCAGCCTCTCACCCAGTCTCTCAGCCAAGGGGAGAGCTGTTTCTGAGACTCCAAGCGGGGAGGGGAGAGCAGGTGTGTTGGCACATGGCAGCATGGTGCGCATATGTGGCCGAGGGAGAGCGTGTGAGGTGGGAGGGAGGCTCGTGCCAGCGAGTCCGTTCAAGACATAGGGGTTCTGTGTGGGAAGTTTGGCCCAATTCTATCATGCTCTTTGATTGTAGGTAAAGTATAAATCCCAGCGACTATAACTTCCAATTGTCAAGGTCTACTTTCCCCAAACTCCACCAATGTTCACATTTGGGCATACAGTGTTCCCTCACTTATCATGGGGGTTCCATTCCAGGACCACCCATGATAAGTTAAAATCTGCAAAGTAGGGACGCCATATTAATTTTAATATTTATACATTATTTTGTATATTTTATATATTATTTTCTTGCCCATGCTTCCTTGCCCACTTCTGGGCCCATCCCAAGGGCACCGGACTGCCTCCCTGGCCTCCACAGAGCTTCCAGAGCCACACAGGCAGCAGCAGTACAAGGAGGCAAGCCTCCCCTGCCGCGTCTCAGGACACCACACTTCCGGGGTCCCTGGCCTCCCCGGCCTCCACCGGACGTAAATATTTAATATTTTTATCAATATTTTCAAAAACCTGTGAAACATCGAGTCCGCTAAAAGCGAACCGTGAAGTAGCGAGGAAACACTGTATTGAGTATTCATGCCAAGTTTGGTCCAGATCCATCACTGTTTAAGTCCACAGTGTTCTCTGGATATAGGTGAACTACAACTCCAAAAGGGAGCCCCCGGTGGCGCAGTGGGTTAAAGCACTGAGCTGCTGAGCTTGTTGATCGAAAGGTCGCAGGTTTGATTCCGGGGAGCGGCGTGAGCTTCCGCTGTCAGCCCTAGCTTCTGCCAACCTAGCAGTTTGAAAACATGCAAATGTGAGTAGATCAATAGGTACCGCTCCGGCGGGAAGGTAACGGTGCTCCATGCAGTCATGCCGGCCACATGACCTTGGAGGTGTCTACGGACAACGCTGGCTCTTCGGCTTAGAAATGGAGATGAGCACCACACCCCAGAGTCAGACATGACTGGACTTAATGTCAGGGGACAACCTTTACCTTTACAACTCCAAAACTCAAGGTCAATGCCCATGAAACACTTACAGTATTTTCTGTTGGTCATGGGAGTTCTGTATGTAAAGTTTGGTTCAATTCCATCATTAGTAGAGTTCAGAATGCTCTTTGATTGTACGTTAACTATAAATCCCAACCACACTAGTATTCAAATTTGGCCGTATCGGGTATTTGTGCCAAATTTGGTCCAGTAAATGGAAATACATCCTGAATATCAGATATTTACATTATGATTAATAACAGTAGCAAAATTGACAGTAATGAACTAGCAATGAAAATAATGTTATGGTTTGAGGTCACCACAACATGAGAAACTGTATTAAGGGGTTGCGGCATTAGGAAGGTTGAGAAACACTGGTTTAACCCATTGTGTTACCGGGTGCTCCGAGCTATAGAAATAAACAATAATAACCTGCCACTTTCCACATATCACAGAATTATAGAGTTGGGAAGAATGCAGAGTTTAAAAAATCATAGTTCAACACACACCTAGAATCTGCAATGTTCATCCCATGACTAAATCTAGATGGAATGTAGATCTCAGGCAAATTCCTGGTTGAGGTATCTTTAAAAAAAACCCACACAGTCCTCAATCTCCAAATTGTTTTCACTCACTTCCTAAGGTTTTCCCATTCCCAACTCACTTCCCATTGATAACGTTACTCACGCTACAAGTTTGATGGCTTTGAAGGTGTCTGTTAAGCTTTTCATGTGTTTCACGTTGGCCAAAAGCTTTCGAGGGTTGCGATCCTTGGTATAATCATTAAAATCAAATTCAATTTTGGCCTCCTCTGAAAACTGCACAGCAGCAAACTGAAAGATTTGGAAACAGATACTGCATTCAATTTATTGCTGTGGAACTCCTATAGAAAAAAAGCCAGGTGCCCATGAGAATCCTATCAATGCTTTGGAATCAGCATGGAGCCATGAGAAGACAGAGCTGGTGCACCTTACGTATTTCTCATTTGGAATGGTAAGGTCCTTATTCTCCTCAAAGCCACTCTCCTGGCAATAAACCTTGTTACCCAGTGAGTGCTGCTTACATGTATGGTGCTGTTGCGTAGTTCTTCCATGACCTTGATCATGAAGTCCTTAATAGTATTGAAGTCCTGATTTCTCATGCTTTCCGACCCATCAAAGAGGAACACCAGGTCCAAGTTCCCTTTGAGGCACTCTGTGGGATGAAGGGAGAGATGAGGAACGTTACAGGACAGATAGAATTAAAGGCAAAGAGATTAAAAGGGCATGTAAGAAATCATTTGGTGAATATGTTAACTGAAAATGCAAAGCACAAAGCTGATTAGTTGGGCCATGCTCGGGGAGCTAGCTGAGCCTGAGAGTTTTGGCAACAGTTACATATTTATACCTGAGCTGTGCAGCAGCTCAGAGAGGGAGACAGTTTTGCTTCTTGCTGCTAGAAGAGGATCTTCCACATGGACCCCGAAGACCATTTGAATCTCTCCAAAACAGTGGTTCTCAACCTGTGGGTCCCCAGGTGTTTTTGCCTAGATCTCCCAGAAATCCCAGCTAGTTTACCAGCTGTTAGGCCAAAACATCTGGGGACCCACAGGTTGAGAACCACTGCTCTAAAAGGACATTGTGTGAGTCAATGCAACTTTTCACATGATTGTATATATAGAATCATAGAATCATAGAGTTGGAAGAGACCTCATGGGCCATCCAGTCCAACCCCCTGCCAAGAAGCAGGAAAATTGCATTCAAAGCACCCCCAACAAATGGCCATCCACCCTCTGTTTAAAAGCTTCCAAAGAAGGAAACTCTACCACACTCTGGGGCAGAGAGTTCCACTGCTGAACAGCTCTCACAGTTCGAAATTTCTTCCTAATGTTCAGATGGAATCCCTTATATATAATGTTGCTCTGCATTACAAAAAGTAAACTGGGTTGTTGTGAGTCTTCCAGGCTGTATGGCTATGTCCCAGAACCATTCTCTTCTGACGTTTCGCCTGCATCTGTGGCAGGTATCCTCATAGTGGAATTTTTGATAGCATAGAGCTTGATAAGTGAACTGTAAGAGCAAATACATTTGTGCCCCTGGTTGGGAAGGTTAACTGGAATCTCTTTCTACTCCTCTTCCTATAGCTTTTAATAGGATGTGTGTGTGTGTGTGGGGGGGGGGGGGGTATTTACAACAGTGTTTCCCAACCTAGGGGTTGGAACTCCTGGGGGGGGGGAGGTCACGAGGGCATGTCAGAGTGGTCACCAAAGACCATCAGGAAACACAGTATTTTCCATTGATCATGGGGTTTTTGTGTGCCAAGTTTGGTTCAACTCCATTGTTGGTGGAATTCAGAATGCTCTTTGATTGTAGGTGAACTATAAATCCCACAACTACAAATGACAAAATCAACCCCCCTCCCCCAATCCCACCAGTATTGAAATTTGGGCCTATTGGGTATTTGTGCCAAATTTGGGCCAGTGAATGAAAATGCATCCTGCATATCAGATATTTGCATTACGATTCATAACAGTAGCAAAATTACAGTTATGAAGTAGCAACGAACATAATGTTATGGTTGGGGGTCACCACAACATGAGGAATTGTATTAAGGGGTTGCAACATTAGGATTTACAAAGATTGCCAACCCTTAAATGAATGCAGGATGCTATAGATAGGTCAAGATTTCCCTAACACGGTGACTCTTGGGTGTACTGAACTATAACTTCCACTTTCTATGCTGGATGTGGATAATGGGAGCTGTAGCCCAACACTTCAGAAGGACAATGGATTTCGGGAGCTGTTAGGAATTTCTGCATGGGAAAACTGTGTGATATCCATCAGGGACAATTATTCTCAATTTAAAAACAGGGATGTTGTATTCATTTGAATAGAGAATAACTTGTTAAGGGGTTTTTTCCCTGCCTTACTCATCAGTCTCACTTTTACACAGTTTCCACTATTTTTGGCTCTTACGCCCTCTGTTTCTTTTTCATACACACTTCTGAGTCATTTTTCATCTTAGAGCAGTGTGTGGTCCATGCACCACCAGTGGTCTGCAAGAATTAAAATATGGTCTGTAGCCTCAGCATTACTACACTGTTGCAACAAGAGCAACTGGTCTCATGAAACTTCTTATAGTGCCGAGGCTTATTAAATATGGTTTTCTATGGGCAAGCAGATGGCCATTACTGGATGGCATATGTTCTGTATCAGAGACTAGAGCTGATGTGCTCCAATGCAATTTTCTGAATCAGCCCCCAAATAACCAAACTGAATCTAAAGTTGACCAAAAACTGATTCATAACCCTTTGGTACTAATGTTGGAGAGTGGTCCCTGGTCAAGTGGTCCCTGGTATAAAAAAACAAAAAAAGTTGGGAACCACTGTCTTAGAGGAACAAATAAGGGAATTTCTAAGATGCTGTGGTCTCAGAACACTAATAATAAATGACCCTATTTCCAATGCCGTAATAGAAGCTTTCCCCAAGTAAATACCTTCAGAGGTTAAATGTTTTCTACCCAAAGTTAAAGCACATCTCCTCCTTACTTTGATACCCAGTAGTGATGTTTTGGGGTTTTTGCAGTTTGGCTTCAAAGAGATAGCAGACTCCGCTCACATAGAGATTTTTGTCACAATGCTGTTCGACTCCCGGTGCACAAGCCTGTAGAAAAGAGAGTTTAATGTAGAAGAGGAAAGTGGGAATAGCAATAAAAGGGATTTTACTATAGAAACAAAATAGAAGTAGGACACTATCAGGTATCTGAAATTGCAGCCACCTCTCCACCAAAGTCAACATCGACACCAAAATACAACACCGCCTGAGCTCTGCAAGTGCAGCATTTTTCCGAATAAAGCATAGAGGACCGGGACAGCCGTAGGGAGACCAAGGTGCTTGTCTAGAAAGCTATTGTCCTCCCAACCCTGCTATATGCCTGCGAAACGTGGACTGTCTACAGACGTCACATGCAACTCCTGGAACGATTCCATCAGCGCTGCCTCCGGAAAATCCTACAAATCTCTTGGGAAGACAAGCGGACAAATGTCAACATGCTGGAAGAAGCAAAGACCACCAGCACTGAAGCGATGGTCCTCCGCCATCAGCTTTGCTGGACCGGCCACGTTGTCCAGATGCCTGATCACCGTCTCCCAAAGCAGTTGCTCTACTCTGAACTCAAGAACGCAAAACGGAATGTTGGCAGGCAGCAAAAAAGATTTAAAGATGGACTCAAAGCCAACCTTAAAAACTCTGGCATAAACACTGAGAACTGGGAAGCCCTGCCCTGTGAGCGCTCCAGCTGGAGGTCAGCTGTGACCAGGAGTGCTGTAGAATTTGAAGAGGCACGAATGGAGGGCGAAAGAGAGAAGCATGCCAAGAGGAAGGCGCATCAAGCCAACCCCGACCGGGACCGCCTTCCACCTGGAACCCAATGCCCTCACTGCAGGAGACGATGCAGATCAAGAATAGGGCTCCATAGTCACCTACAGACCCACCCTGGAGGATTATCCTACTCAGACAATGAGGGATCGCCTAAGTAAGTAAGTAACTAAGAGGTAAGTTTGAAGGTGCTATTTCAGGCACTCTTTCATAATACACAGTTATAGAATTATGATGCTACTTGAACACCTATGGAAACATCCTAAAAATCATGGAGTATGTAGTTTGATGAGGCCCAAGGGCCTTCTTTCTGGCTGAGCTCTCCTGAAACAGCAAAGCTATATGAGATTGTTATGGTAGTTTGAAGCAGAATTATAAAGTAATGTGAATGAGCACCATGTTAGGGTTGGAGACAATACAGCAGAAGATAGCTAGGACCCCTGAGGCAGAAATATTCCTCCTCAAGTGCCTGTCCAAGCCCCAGTGGATTATACCCTGTATTCATGCAAGTATGTCATGAATGGGGCAGTAATGCCATCATATTCTCCTATCGGTTAAGGAAGGCATGAGGAGGAATATTCATAGGATCATCATAAGTCAAGGCTGTCTTGACAATACATAACAGCAACAATGGAGCCAAGGGTACTCTTTGGGCTGTCCTTCCTCTATACAGATGTCTAAAGCTCTAAAGGATCTCAAGAAGCAAAGACAGGATATTGTACAGGCAAACTGTGGAAGCATAATAATTGCAAAATGAAAATGAAAACCCTACAAAGCTTTTTACAAAGACTCAAGTGAAACCATCTGACTTTCCCCCCTCTCAGACAGAAATTGAAGCATTGCCCGCTAATTCTTCCTGTCATGTCATGGTTAAAAGAACCTCAAGTGCAGTTTATTTTGCTCAAAGCCCTCATTCCCTCTCTGTATTGCAGTGCAGACTCACAATCATCTTGGATCGCTGGTTGTCACTTGCCAGGGTCATGCCCAAGTGGGGGACTCCTGAGCTCCCTGCAAAAAAAAGAGAAAAGGGTTACTAGTGGGAGAAAAATATGCCTAGTTTCCTTTTTTATTCATAGGCATCCTCTCCCTGCATGACTGGGAACCATTTCACATCACACAACTAGAGTACTTCCATTCCACTTTAACTGACGTGACTTCATGTTGTGGATTCCTGGGATTTAGATTTATTTATCATGTCAGAAGCAAATTGAGGATACAGTTCTAATGTATTTAAAAACACAAACAAAGTTAAAACTTTGGCATTATACTAAACTTTCTTTGACCAGAAGCTGGCCACTTGGAGTACTTCTGGTGTTCCTGAGAAGGTCCTCCATTGTGTATGTGGCAGGGTTCAGGCTGCATTGTAGTAAGTGGTCTGTGGTTTCCTCTTCTCCACTCACACTCACATGTTGTGAACTCCACTTTGTAGCCCCATTTCTTAAGACTGGCTCTGCATTTCGACATGCCAGAGTGCAGCCTGTTCAACGCCTTCCAAATCACCCAGTCTTTTGTGTGCCTAGGAGGGAGTTTCTCATTTGGTATCAGCCACTGATTGAGGTTCCTGGTTTTAGCCTGCCACTTTTGGACTCTCACTTGCTGAAGGGTCCCTATGAGTATCTCTGTAGAGCTTAAAAAGCTGTTTCTTGATTTAAGTCATTGGCTTGCTAGCTGATATTGGAACAGAGGATGGGCCAGAGATATCAGTGCCTTGGTTCTTTCATTGCCAGCAGCTACTTCCTGGAAGATACAAGGCAATGCAATACCGGCTAAACAGTATAATTTCTCCAGCAGTGTTCAGCATAGACATCCTGTGATGATGTGGCATGTCTCATTAAGAGCCACATCCACTGTTTTAACGTGGTGGGATGTATTCCATACTGGGCATGTGTACTCAGCAGTAGAGTAAAAGAAAAGAAAACTGTGTCAGGGAAAGTGGGATGCCACATAGATTTCCCTAAGCCACTTGGAGGAAAGGCAGCCATAAAATATCATAATAAAATAAGGATCCTGAGTTTCTCTTTCCACTAAGCCAATTATGCCTAGACTCATCAATGGGTTTTTACGGAAGACCTACAAAATCTGCAACGGCTCACCCGTCAGTGGAATCGCCTCACACTCCTTCTTCTGCATGTCACACTGGTACACTTGGCCTGTAGAGTTCTGCTCCCCAGGCGCTCCCACAACAATCCTGAAATTAATGGATATATGGAGTAGTATCAATAACCTTTCCACAATTCAGATCTAGAATTGGTATCTTTTCACACTTCTGTGCCTTCAATCACAATGTGACAGAATGAAGTAAAAGCATATTTATTTATTTGCAACATTTATATGCTGCCCTTCTCACCCCGAAGGGGACTCAGAGCAGTTTACAAGATATTTGTACATGCAATATATTATATTATTATCATAGTTTTGGAGTTTGGTACCAAATTTATGCGGATGACATCCAACTCTATTACTCCTTTCCACCAAATACCAAGGACGCCATTCTGGTCTTGATCCAGTGCCTGTCAGCAGTAACAGACTGGATGAGAGCCAACAAACTAAAGCTAAATCCAGAGAAGACAGAGATACTCCTGGTCAGTCAAAGTGTGTGACTTCGGCCTGTGTTGGATGGGGTCGTACTCTCCCTGAAGACAAAGGTCCACAGTCTGGAGGTGATCCTGGACTCATCTCTGACCTTGGAACCCCAGGTGTCAGTCATAGCCAGGAGTGCCTTCACACAGTTAAAACTTGTGCGCCAGCTGCGCCCAACCTTGAGACACCAGATTTAGACATAGTAATCCACACCTTAGTCACCTCCCATTTGGACTACTGCAATGCTCTCTACATAGGGCTCCCTTTGAAGATAGTTCGGAAGCTACAACTAGTCCAAAGATCGGCAGCCAGGTTATTAACTAGAGCTCTGTACAGGGAGAGAACCACTCCCATGCTACGGCTGCTACACTGGTTGCTGGTCCACTTCCAGGCTAAATACAAAGTGCTGATCGTTACCTATAAAGCCCTAAAAGGGTTGGGTCCAGGCTATTTGTCCAATCGCATCTCCCTATATACACCTTCTCGTGCACTGCAGTCAGCAAAGGAGACCCTGCTCTCAGTCCCACCTCCATCTCAAGCACGGCTGGTGGGAACGAGAGAGGGGGCCTTCTCTGTGATCACTTCCTGTCTCTGGAACTCCCTCCCTAAAGAAATAAACACGTTCCCACCTTCCTCTCCTTTAGGAAATTTCTTAAAACATACTTATGCACTTTAGCGTATGGAGAGGAGGAGGACTAGGACACTTTAATCCATCAGAATCCTGGCTAATCCATTTGCACTATATGGTGGTTATGATACTTTCAAATAAACACAGGTGTTAGCCATTTTCTAAGCATTTTTAAACTGCTTTTAAAGGTATATGTTTAATGTTTACTCATGTATTAGTTTACTGTCTTATTGGTTTATTGCTACTCAGTTCCCCTTTCAATGTTTAATCTTTTCATTATAAGTTTATTATTGCGCACTGTTTTGTATTATTTTTGATGTGCTTGTAGGGTGTCAGATTCATTCCATATGACAAGTGTTCCATCCTGATCTTCTGCTCTCACTTCCTAAATCAAAAGAGGAACAGACTATACATGGCTCCCTCCCCAAACACCCTGATTGAACCTGAATGGGGTGTGGATGCACCAGTTGGCCAAATTCTGAAAATCCAGAATATTGAAAGCAGCAAAAAGCATAGGTCTGGAATTCCCTTTCTTTTAAAGGCAGTGTCATGGGTTTCATTCTTATGCTAGGAAAGACTCTTATTATAATTTTCCCTGTGTCATAGAACAGAGTTTTCCAAATTGTGTTTTGGGACACTATAGTGCAGGCATGGGCAAACTTGAGCCCTCCAGGTGTTTTGGACTAGGAGATACCACCAGAGGTCATCTAGTCCAACTCCTTTCAGCCAGACAGGCACAATCAAAGCACCCCTGACATTTGGCCATCCAGCCTCCATTTAAAAACCTCCAAAGAGGTGTAATCACTACAGAAGTGGGGCACTGGCACTGTTCATGTGTAGGTGTTGTTATGACTTCTATTATTGTCCCCTGGACAATGTCCTTGCAGACAGCCAATTCTCTCACACCAGAAGCATGAACTCCCACCATGAAATATGGACTTCCACCATTCCTAACAGCCTCAGGCCCCTCCTGATACACACAAAAACCAAAACCTAAGCCATGGCTGTATTGCACTGCCCAATATACACCTCTGGATTACCTTGCTTCAGGACCTTCTCCAATCTGTAGGACCTGATATCCAAACTGCTTGCTGATGTTGGAGAAAAAAGCTGCCGGAGAAGCATCTATGTTGTATCCCATGGATTGTGAGGGGCCTGTGGAAAGAGGCAATTCAATGTTTATTCAGGGAGTTAAAAAAAAATCTGTATTTTCGACTTTCACAACAGGGTCTCTGAATGACCCGGGGGAAAGGTGTCTGTCTTGCTCCAATGCCTATAGTTTGAGCTGCATAAATCACAATAAATTAGATAAACCTTACTACCCTCTAGTTCAGAGGTGGACGAAGCGTGGATTACAACATGTATGCAGTTCTCCAGCGACATTCTTGGAACCTGCATGGGTTAAAAAATGGCAGAACAATTCCTTTTTAATATTTTTTTATTTATTTCTGGTATTTATATCCCGTGTCTCCTCTCTACCCAAAAAGGGGGACTCAGGACAGCTTACATAGGCAGCAATTCGATGCCGTTACATGAACAATTAATACAATAACCATTAAACAAACCATCAAACCATTAACATACATAAAATACGTAAGCCATTAATTAAAAAATATAAAAACATTTGTTACCAAATAGAATAGTATCCGCATGTAAATCGCCTTTCCAATCCATTTCCACTAAAGTGCTAATTTATGTCTGCTGACCAAAAGCCTGGTCCCAAAGCCACGATTTTACTTTCTTCCTGAAAGCCAGGAGGGATGGGATTGATCGTATCTCACACGGAAGTGCGTTCCACAGGCAGGGGGCCACCATCGAGAAGGCCCTGTCTCTCATCCCCATCAGCTGCATTTGTGATGTTGGTGGGATTATCTTAAATTATGAGGTGGTACGTAGAGGCAGATGCATTCCGACAAGTAAGCTGGGCCAGAACCGTATATATCTCTACTTAATAGATCTCCCTTCCAGGACTCTTGTACTTTCATAGAATTATAGAGTTGGAAGAGACCTCATGGGCCATCTAGTCCAACTCTCTGCCAAGAAGTAGGAAAATCGCATTCAAAGCACCCCTGACAGATGGCCACCCAGCCTCTGTTTAAAAGCCTCCAAAGAAGGAGCCTCCACCACACTCCGGGGCAGAGAGTTCCACTGCTGAACAACTCTCACAATCAAGAAGTTATTCCTAATATTCAGATAGAATCTCCTTTCCTATAGTTTGAAGCCATTGTTCCGCATCCTAATCTCCAGGACAGCGGAAAATAAGCTTGCTCCCTCCTCCCTATGACTTTTCTTTACATAGCCATTATGTTTCATCTCAGCCTTCCTTTTTTTCCGGCTAAACATGCCCAGCTCTTTAAGTTGTTCCTCATAGGGCTTGTTCTCCAGACCCCTGATCCTTTTAGTTGCCCTCCTCTGGACACATTCCAGCTTGTCAATATCTTCCTCCAATTGTGGTGCTCAGACACAGTATTCCAGATATGGTCTGACCAAGGCAGAATAGAGGGGTAGCATGACTTCCCTGGATCTTTTAATGATTGTGCAAAAGAGAGAGTTTGAACACATTTTGCTTGTCACACAACCAGGTAACAAGCAACCCCTGCTAAAATTATCTCTCTTACACAACCATTCAACTTAAGGAGACTTTTCCGGTTTTTATTCTGGCAACCTGAGCAAAGGACGATGGGAGCTTCAATATAGCTCATATATTGCGGGGCCATATCTTGCCCTCACCTGGTTTATGTTCTGGTTCCTGGTTTACTTCAGAAGTACAAGCAGACCTGTTGTGAGATTATGGGTGCATCTACACAGTTTGACACCACTTTTGCTGCCATGGTTCATTGCTATGGAATCATGGGAGCACCTTCTTTGGTGCTTTAGGGTAAAGGGTAAGGTTGTCCCCTGACATTAAGTCCAATCATGTCTGACTCTGGGGTGTGGTGCTCATCTCCATTTCTAAGCCGAAGAGCCGGCGTTGTCCATAGACACATCCAAGGTGATGTGGCTGGTATGACTGCATGGAGCGCCGTTACCTTCCCACCTGAGCGGTACCACATTTGCATGTTATCGAACTGCTAGGTTGGAAGAAGCTAGGGCTGACAGTGGAAGCTCATGCCGCTCCCCGGAATCGAACCTGTGACCTTTTGGTTAACAAGCTCAGCAGCTCAGTGCTTTAACCCGCTGTGCCACTGTGGGCTCCTTCTTTGGTGCTTTACCAAACTACAATTCATTGAACTGTGGCAATTTCAATATGTCCAACTGCATTCATTCTACAGCCTAGAGGCTCCCTAAGAGAGATAATTTCAAAAGGGAAATGAAATGTTGGAAGTACAACTGTAATAATTACATGTTCTTAACAGTGCCATTCACAAAACAGTTGCTGATAATGATATCACAGACATCCTGGCCTTGACAAGTTAATTAATACTCGCCTTGTGATAAAACTGACAAACCAGCCTTTATCATAATTCAACTGCTGATGATTCATGTGGTGAATTCTAACCCACTTTTGGGTGGAGCTAGACCAGAGATTTCCAAACTGTGTCATTTGCAGTAGTTTGCAGTCATTTTAGCTATAGTCATGGCTATTTTTTCCAGGATTTTATTTTTATTTATTCAAATAAATTCAAAAAATAGGCATACATTTGTAAGTGTTTGTTGCATAGGGCAATACTTTCCATCTATTAGTGTTCCATAATCATTTCTCAGATAATATATTTTCTTTAAGGGGTCACAATCTTTTATTTAAATAGTACATATAATTTATAAGGTATCATGTGCTCTTAGTTAACATCTGCTTCCTCCTTGTCTACAGTCTTATAGGATCAGCTATATACATTTTAGTACAGTCTTATAGCATCCTCTATATACATTTTAGTTTAATTTTACATCGAGATGTTGAATCATTGGTTGCCATCCTGTGGGAGGCTTTTCTCATGTTCCTGCATGGGAAGCTGGAACTGACAGACGGGTGCTCAACTCGG